TTGGCGTTGCTGCAAACTGGATTTGGCTGCTTTAGGACAGAAGCACTTTGCAATAGTGACAAATTGCTTTGCAGCAATTTGGGAAATGTTGAAATATGGCTTGCTCAAATATAACCTTGGGAAGGAATCTGAAAATCCTAGATAATGTATTTGTATTTTCTTATCACGGTGTCTTAGAGCAAAAGGACCCATCAACCCATGCTCACTCACACTAGACGAGCTTAGTCATTTGAGCAGCTTTTGAACAGCTTTGTTCGCATTAGTGAGATTGCTCGCATACGTCTGTGGGAGGAGACAATATGGCCATATAATTGTATGCTAGTTCATCGGTTTAAATATGTGACATAATGGTAGACTGGAAAGCAGGAGGAAATAAATACTTTCTGTAGGATATGCAAATTTGAAATCCAAAGTCAAATATAATCATTTCAGAGTTTTAAATCAAAGAGCACACATTTATTTGTGTCAGCTGTGAAATATACACCACAATTCAGTTTCCGAAAGTCACTTTAGAATGGTTTCCTTTCTGACAAAAATCGTAAGTGCAGACTCCTGTGGTCCACCTGAGCACCATCCAGCACCACAGCGCTGAAGCATCAGGGAATGCCTTGGTTCAGTTTGCTACAGAAAATCATACATGGCAATTTCCACGCACATACGGTAAGTATTTTCCCACTAACGGAAACCTTTTCCCATTTCTGCAGAGATTCCTCTGGGAAGTGACTGAAATGAACTCCAGGATTGCACCCAAGGCCTTCTTCCCTTCAAATTCTAAACATAAGCCATTATAACACAAGACTGTCAGATGGTTTCTGTTCTAACCTTTATAACCATATAGTAAATGTGAGTAGGTGGAAAGAAGGCTTTGAAGTGTATTCAGTTGAACACACCTAGAATCCCTCTTCTTAGTGTGCTACCACTAAGCTACAGTTCTTTCCCCATATGCATTATCCATTATTTGTAAAGTGGAACATGGGCAACCTTCAGTTTGTGTCACTAAATGTAAAAATATGCTTATTTGGAAAAGAGGAGATTGCAAGGAGATATGGACGCCATCGTCAAATATCTAAAGGGCTGTCCCATGGAAGACAGAAGCTTGTTTTTTTCCTGTTCTGTAGGGTAGGATCCAAACCAATGGTTTCTTTTTTTTTTCTCCCTCCCTTGTACTTTAATTTTTATTATTTTCAATTCATTATACAACACCAAACATTAAAACAACAAAAAAGACAGACAAAACACAAAAAACAGCAAAAGAAGAAAAACATTGCAGAACATAAGACACCAACAAATTAAACTTACGGTAACTAAACAACTAAATCACACAACAATAATTGACTTCCCTTCAACTCGGTTTCGGAATATGTTACAAGGAGTTTTCCATCTGCAGTTTCATTTTCTTAAAACTCTTTACGTCGCAAGCATTATATCGAACCTACTGTGATTTTTAGGTTTTTTACATCTGTTTCAATATATGTCATAAATTTATTCCATTCATTATTAAACTTTGTACCTTTTTGGTTTCTTATTTTCTGTGTCATTTTTGCCAATTCTATATAATCAAATAATTTAGATTGCCACTCGTTTATAGTTGGGATTTTTGATGTCTTCCAATTTTGTGCTATTAGTGTTCTGGCAGCCACTGTTGCGTATTGGAAAAGTGTTTGGTCTTCCTTTTTAATTTCTTCTCCAATTATCCCCAGAAGGAAGGCCTCGGGTTTTTTTGTGAAGGTATATTTAAATATCTTTTTTAGTTCATTGTAAATAGATTCCCAAAACTTTCTAATTACCTCGCACGACCACCACATGTGATAAAAATTGCCTTCCTTAATCTTGCATTTCCAGCATAATTTGTCTCCGGTTTTGTACATTTTTCTAATTTTACAGGCGTGATGTACCACCTGTACATCATTTTATCCATGTTCTCTCTAAGTGTTGTACATGCCGAGAATTTCATACCTTTATTCCAGAGTTTCTTCCACTTATCAAACTCTATGTTGTATCCAAAGTCTAACGCCCATTTCACCATTACTTCCTTTATTTCTTCATCTTTGGTGTCCCATTCAAGCAACTGGCTGTACATTTTTGATAGGAGTTTTGATTTATTTTCTAATATTTCTACCTGGAATCTGGATTTTTTTTCGTTCATCCCATTCTTTTTATCATCAGTCCACATAGCATTAATTTGGTGAAATTGGATCCAACCTGTCAGTTTATTCTTTATCTCTTCATATGGCCTAATCTTCCATCCATTTTCTGTTTTTACTAGCAGATCTTCATAAGTCCATCTTTCTCCTTCAATTGTTTTTTTTTTATTGTTAAGATATCGATTGGTGATAACCACCAAGGGGTATTTTTTTCCAATAATTTTTTGTTTCTCTCCCATACTTCCAACAATGGCCCTCTTATAATATGATTAGAAAATCCTTTGTGGACCTTTTCCTTATTACGCCACAAATAAGCGTGCCAACCAAATCTTATATTGAATCCTTCTAAATCTAACAGATCAGTGTTTTTGATGACAATCCAATCTTTAACCCAGCAAAGGCACGAGGCTTCATAATACAGCTTCAAATTTGGAACCGCAAATCCTCCCCTATCTCTTTGATCTGTGAGTAATTTGAATCTAATTCTTGGACTTTTTCCTTGCCATATAAATTTGGACAGTACTTTCTTCCAATCTTTAAATACTGAGGTTCCCCTGATTATCGGTATATTTTGAAATAAGAACAGCAATTTCGGTAATAAACTCATCTTAATTGCCGCCATTCTCCCCGACCAAGAGAGTTTTATTCTGTTCCAGGTATCCAGGTCCTTCCTTATTTCTTTCCATGTGTTTATGTAGTTGTCTTCCATTAAATTTATATTCTTCATCGTTAGCCAAATTCCGAGGTATTTTACTTTTTTAGTTGCTTTGATCCCAGTCTGTAATTCAAGATGGTTTTTTACCTCTTCTTTCATATTTTTAGTCATCATTTTAGTTTTTGTTCTGTTTAATTTAAAGCCGGATAACTTTCCAAATTCTTCTAGCAAATCTAACACTTTACCGACACTTTTTTTTGGCTCTTCCAATGACAACATAAGATCATCAGCATATGCTTTCAATTTATATTCTTTCACTCCAATTCTTATTCCGCGTATCTCTGAAGTTTTCCTTCTTATTTGTAATTATTTCTAACACCATAATAAACAAAAGAGGTGGCAGAGGGCACCCCTGTCTTGTACCCTTCGAAATTTCAAAGGATTCTGTTAAATTGTTATTAATAATTAATTTAGCACTTTGTTGTGAGTAAATTGCTTTTATTCCTTCCAGGAATGTGCCCTCTATCCCTGTCATTTCCAAACATTTTATTAGAAAATGCCAAGATACATTGTCAAAAGCCTTTTCGGCGTCAACGAACATTAATACCGCGGGAATTTCATTTTTGCATTCTAGGTATTCAATAAGGTTTATTATATGTCTTATGTTGTCTTTTATTTGCCTATTGGGTAGAAAACCAGCTTGATCATTATGAATAAGATTGACTAAGCACTTTTTAAGTCGACTCGCCATTACATCTGCAAAGATCTTATAATCATTATTTAATAATGAAATCGGTCTGAAGTTCTTAATATTAAGTTTATCCAAGTCAGGTTTCGGTATTAGCGTGATGTATGCTTCTTTCCAGGACGCTGGTATTCTTCCTCCTCTTAAAATCTCATTCATTACTTCACAAAGCACCGGCGTTAAAAGTTCTCCTAGAACTTTGTAATACTTGGCCGATAAGCCATCTGGCCCTGGAGCTTTCCCCACTTTCATCTTCTTTATCGCCTCCTGAATTTCCTCTACTTTTATGGGTTTATTTAATAGACTTCTTTCCTCCTCCGATATACTGTTGATTCTGTTTTCTTCTAGATAATTTCCTATTTCTATTACATCTTCTTCTCTTTTATATAGATTTTCATAGAATTTAAGGAAGCTCTTTTTTATTTCATTAGGGTCCTCCAAGACTTGTTCTTCTACTTTTACTTTATTGATCACATTTTGTTTTCTCCTTTTTCTTAATTGCCATGCCAGGAATTTTCCAGTTTTATTTGCAGACTCGAAATTTTTTTGTTTCATTAACTTAATTCCCCATTACACCTCTTGATTTATTAATATTGAATATTGTGTTTGTAACATCTTATACAATTGCTTATTACTTTCATCATTCGGTTTCCCTATCAGGTTCTTTTCACATTCTCTTAGTTGGGTAATTAACTCTTCTTCTTTTTGTTCTCTCACCTTTTTTCTATAACTATTTTGTTGTATCAAAAAACCTCTTAGCACTGCCTTACTAGCATCCCAGACTATATCCATATTTGTTTCTTTATTAATGTTTAGATCAAAGTAGTCTTTCAGGGTGGTTTTAGCCTTTTCAATCACTTCCTCTTTTTCCAATAAATAATCGTTCATTCTCCATCTGTACATACCCTGGGTCTCCCATTTTAAATGTAACATTATTGAACTATGATCAGATAGTGTTCTGGGTTGTATCTCGCATTTCGACACTCTTTTTGTTATTTCTCTTGAGATCCAAATCTGATCCAGCCTGCTCCAACTCTAATGTGGCTCTGAAAAGTGGGTGAATTGTTTTGTCATGGGGTTTTTATGTCTCCATATGTCTATTAAATCTAAATTTTCCTCGAGGTCATTGAACGATCTTGGAAGTTTCCCTTGATTTAAATTCTTCCTTTTTGAGCTTCTAATTCTGGTGTGGGCACTCCATTTAGATCTCCAAGTAAAACCAATTTATTATTCTCTAGATCCAGTAAAGCTTGTTCCAATTTCTTGAAAAACTCCGTTTTGTTTGTATTTGGCGCATAGACCGTTACCACATTGAGTTTTTCTCCCTGATAGTTAATTTGTACTCCTAGGATTCTTCCTTCCTCATCCTTGCATACTAATTTAGGTTCTAATTTCTCCTTCACATAAATTACTACCCCTCTTTTTTTCTTAGAATCGGAATTAATAAACTCTGTTCCCAACTTTTTATTTATTAAAATATGTTTGTGTTTTTTGGCGACATGTGTTTCTTGGCAACAAATCACATCAATATTTTTTTTCTTTACAATTTCCCCAAATTTATTTCTCTTAGACTTTTCGTTAAGACCGTTCACATTCCAAGACAGAAACTTAAGGGTCATTTCAATATTTAACTAGCGTACGCTTTATCCTAATTTCTGATTTAAATTCTAGTACTTCTATTTCCAATGGTTTCCTCGTCTTCCCCCTCCTCCTCCTCCCCCGAATCCGCCTCTTCTGCTTCATCCAATGGTTCCAACTTGCAGGAAAGGAGACTTCCATTAGGCATCAGGAATAATTTTCTGATGGTAAGAGCTGTTTAACAGTGGAGGAGACTTCCTTGAAAGGTGGAGGACATTCCTTGCAGGTTTTTAAGCAGAGGTTGGATGGTCATCTGTCATGGATGCTTTAGCTGAGATTCTTGCCTTCAACTAGATGATACTCAGGGTCACTTCCACCTCTACAATTATATGATTATATGAACTACAGTCCACAGCACACAGAAAGGGCAATAAAGTTTAGTTTGAAAGCAACGCTTTTGCAGTCAATATTCCAACTCCAGAAGGACTCTAGTAACAGTTTCAGCTAATATGAAGCAAGAAGAAGATTTGATAAGATACCAGAAATTATGGCAGTCTATCCACCCACAGCCTTCTTCCCTTCAAATCCTAAACATAATTCATTGTCAGCAAAAGGCAGGGCATATAATATCCAGTTTACAAGATTTCTTTTAATAAAAAAAGTGATGGGTAGATCCAGCATCTCCAACTATTAAATCACATGGAAACCTGGCATACTGATTAAAGTTAATGTTCATGCTGCAACACCAGAAACATGCTCAAAAATAAAGTTGGGAAGAACATAAATCAAATTTAAAATTGTCCAGTCCAAAGACCTTCATTTTTCATGAAATCTAGATTAATATCACCGGGTGAAATCAATTCACCGTGGATTGGGAAATGGCAGCTAAAAAGTTAGAAAGTGTCATAAAGTTTTTACTATTAGCACTCTAAAATAATTACGTTTTCTTATCAGAAGGTCTGGAACTGAAAAGAGTGGTGGTGCCTCCACCATGTTGATTGATTGCATCACATGGGATTACCTGAAGATAAATAGGTAAGTAGGTAGGTAAGTAGCCAGGCTCTCTTTCATTTTGGTCTAGCCAAGAGTTAATATAATTGAAATTTATTCTGTTCCAAAAATGTATAGAACCATTACCAATAATTTCCATGTACTTAACCTCAGATCTATTAGATGTAATTCATCAGTAGTCACAGCAAATGGGTTTGCTGTACTTAAAGGCTCTGGGTTTCAAATGGCTTTCTGAATCAGTTAGTGTGGATGTTTTGAAATAGTATTAGACATTCTGGGGGAAAAGCATTTCTAAATAAGAAGCTTCAAGCATGCTATTTCACACCTGAAAACAGAAACTTCTAGTAAGAATTTTATTTTTAAAGGATATACTGTATTGCAGTTATATGCATATCAAGGAAAGGTAAAGAGAAGTAATAAACTCACATTCTAAGGACCCAAATCAATGAGGTGCAGGATCCATAACTGGGTCCCGAAATCTATGTACATGTTTCTGTGTGGTTTAACTAAAAGCTTATGTAAGTGACTCACATTTTGATCAAAACACAAGCACTGAGGGAAAGTGGCATGTAACTTCCCTATTCACAGTTTCTTCAATTCTTTCAAAGGTATTAACCTCACTGGCAGGGAAAAGCAAATGCCTGTATCACACCTGCATTTCCCCCCCTGCACTAAAGCTAGTAGCAACTTTGAGGTATGAGGCATGTTTGATAATAGATATGTAGCTGTGGTCCATGTCATATTATAAGCTGTTGCAAATTATCATTGCGGTAGTTAGGCCAGTTAGCATTGTCACCGTGATTCAAGTCAGGCAAAATACCACCTTCTTTTGCAGATTTGCAGGACTCTTACTTATTTTGACGTCCTCTTTTTCCTACGTGTGTTTTCCAGAAAAATTTCAAATTTGTGAAACTTCTGTCTTATAGTTTGTATCATTTGCGGTAAGAGCACCACATTCAGCTGCCTTGGTGTTAGTTTCAACAAGTGTATACATATTCTTCCATTGCTTTCTGTGTACAAAGATATTTCAGGAGGAACCCCTCTCGCTTTGCTTGATCCTTAATGTTTTCTATCTTTCGTTTGAGCTCCAGATGGTCGGGTTGTTGTTTTTTATCTGCCATAGCTTACTAGAAAAATGAATGTATTTTCAAAATAAGGTTAAGATGTGGCTGTAAGTGCATTTTCACTTACTATGTGTATGTATTGGGACGCGGGTGGCGCTGTGGGTAAAACCTCAGCGTCTTGGACTTGCCGATTGTATGGTCGGCGGTTCGAATCCCCGCGGCGGGGTGAGCTCCCGTCGTTCGGTCCCAGCTCCTGCCCACCTAGCAGTTCGAAAGCACTCTTAAGTGCAAGTAGATAAATAGGTACTGCTTTATAGCGGGATGGTAAACAGCGTTTCCGTGTGCTGTACTGGTGCAGGCTCGCCAGAGCAGCTTCGTCACGCTGGCCACGAGACCCGGAAGTGTCTCCGGACAGCACTGGCCCCCGGCCTCTTAAGCGAGATGGGCGCGCAACCCCAGAGTCGGTCACGACTGGCCCGTACGGGCAGGGGTACCTTTACCTTTACTTTTATGTGTATGTATTACATAACCTCCAAACAACTCTACAGTCTATTTCATATATACATAAAAAATATAATATATGAGTTATCTCAAAAAGGATAAAATATAAACTGAAAATAAAATATAATCTGAAATTTATAAGCTATAGCAAAAACTAATCTCTATAAACTGTGCACCTCAAATGTCAATACTGTGCTCCTCCGAGATCTGAGCCCTTGGCAGCTGCCTAGTTGGCCTAATGATAGCACCAACCCTGCTGCTACCTTTGATGAAGAGTGGGCTTGTAGAGCAGATTCCCATGCAAACCTTCCGGAAAGTAATGATCATATTTGATGGCCATGAGGTTAGGAAATGGCAACCAGAGAAAGAATCATTCCCAGCTGTAGCACTCCACTTGAGAAAGGCTGGAGACTTGGCTGGGGCCAAACTTTGAATCATTCCAGCAATAGATGAAGACATTTTTATTCACCCAGGCTTTTTAATACCAGCCTTTAATGCCTGCTAAATGTACTATATGTGCTGTTGTTGCTTATTTGTTCTGCTGCTTTTAGTTGTGTTCTATTATGCTTTATCCTTGACTACTTTTAATGTTGGATTGCAGGCTACCCTGGAAGTTATGAAGCTGAAGGGTTGGGTAGCAAATAAACTGGAATACATCTGCAAATAACATATTTTTTCTTTAGCTCCTTTTGAGGTTCACCTCCTGGGCAGGGAGCTTGTCTTAAATGGTTGCAATCACCCCCCCCCCATAAACACACAACCTTCCTCATAACTGTTGCTCTAAAATTAGAATCTCATAGGTGCTTTTAAGTTTGTGTGTCTATGTTACAAAATGAAGACATTGGGATCATGAATCTCATGTGTCAACGTCTCGGGGGGGGGTGGCTAACAGGAATCACTCATCTAATTTCATTGTTGCTGTCTTTTTATCATTATCCTAAATATCTATGAAATCTCACAATGCCATCTAGTTAATTTACTTAATATACTTTTCCCATTTGGATTAAAAAGGTGTACTCTTAATAAGTGAATAAACAAACAAATTGACGTTGCTATGTATTTTTTTCCTGCTTCAAGAAATGGCAAAACAAAGCAAGGTCACTTTATAGAAGGGGACAAGGAGCTGGGTGCCTTCATAATGTTGCTGGACTTCAGGTAGGGCTGATAGAAGCTAGAGTCCAGTGGCATCTGGAGAGCTGCAAGTCGGCTGCCCCTGCTTTTCCCCCTCTTAAGCCTCAATTATGCTGGGCTAACAAAGAAATCCCCTTCCTTCTCCAAAATCTTGCCTGGTTCCAGAACAAAAAAAACTGGTGGCACATGATAACATGGTGGTTCACAACTGGCTGGCCACTGGCAAGAAACTGCAGCACAAATTAAAAACAGAATCTCCAGCACTTACCATATTGTCTTATGAATTTTGCAGCACAAATACGTACAGGTTTTTTTCTGGGGGGACACAGAGGTACGCATACCCCTAAACATTTTGTGAATCTAAGTCTGGCCTCATTGAGGGGAAGTATTTCAATACGTGTAGTAAAATACGTGTAGACATTTTTTTAGAAAAAAAAGCATGGAGTACTTATACGTGTGGCACTGAAATTTTGAATGGCAACACTTGTGTACCAACACTTACCAGTTATTCCTATAGCTTACTAGCAGATGTTGATGGTATTGCTAAGAGTGAATGGAGGAAGGGTTGTGTTAGGGCTTCATAGTGCAGTTCCCACACTATGACGCAGGGGAGTGACTACTGTCCCCAACATGGCTGGAGACCAGTAAGATCATTGATCTACAGGTTCTGTTGCATCTGCAGCATGCAGCTCCAATCTGCTTCTACTTCCTCCACTGGTGGCCAGCAGCATCCACAGGAACTTCACTATCCTCTTTACACTGTTCAGTGCCAGCAGCCATGTTGTACTTTCTTCTGCCCTCCCCACATGCACCACCAGAGGAGGGATGTCAGAAGAGGGTCAGCACTAGGACAAGTCAATGTGAATGATGCTGAAACAGAGGTGCTTATTCTTTTTTCATTTCAACACAATGCAATTCGTTTAAACCAGGTACATTGCTGAAAGCTTTCCCACTTTACTAAGATGAATGGCTGAACTGAAAAGGGCTTCTGGGGGAACAAAATGTTGCTGTTGTCAAAGCTGTTTAAATGATTGTTCCATTTTTGCTATAAAAAAAATTCAGTTAAACTTTCAACAAGTTTTTGTGTTAAGATGTTGCTCCAGAAACAAACATTTCCCCCACCTAATTTCCTAACTGGCCAGCCAGCTGCTCCCAAAGGTGGTTCCAAAATGTGGCTGCAATGCACAGTGCAATTGGAACATGGTGTTAGAGGTGCCTATTTGACTGTGTGATTAAATGGCTAATGTGAGGGGGAAAGATTGCTACATTTGTTTTAGCTGAATTTGACATTGACGTTAAGCAGTGGTACATTGAGTTAAGTGCATAGCACACAGTCAGAGTAATGATTATATTAATAGACAGTGCAGACAAAAATCGGTTTCATCTGTAAACAAAGGTTTTCATCTCAACCTGTCCAACCTAAATATCATTTGGCAGTGGAGTGTAGGAAATAATGTTCTGCATGTTCAAACATGCAGTCATAACCCCATTTTTGTCATAGTTCTGGTTTTTCTGTACCCTTCACTTCCTGTGGTAATGTCTAGGGGTTCAACTAGCTGGCTAGGGTTGATGGGGGTTTTTACTAATCCATCAACATCTGAGGACACAAGGCTGAAGTACGTTGTGTTAGGATATTGATGTTCCATTCCACCTTAAAAGGAACAGACATGACTGTTGTATGTCACATGTCTGTTTACTCTCCAGCACAGCTTGCTGGGAACTTCCGTTTGTGTATAATGATAATAATAATAATTTATTATTTGTACCCTGCCCATCTGGCTGGGTTTCCCCAGCCACTCTGGCCGGCTTCCATAGAAACCAAAAATACACTAAAATATCACAGATTAAAAACTTCCCTGAACAGGGCTGCCTTAAGATGTCTTCTGAATGTCAGGTAGTTATTTATCGCTTGGACATCTGATGGGAGGGTGTTCCACAGGGCGGGCGCCACTACCGAGAAGGCCCTCTGCCTGGTTCCCTGTAGCTTTGCTTCTCGCAATGAGGGAACCGCCAGAAGGCCCTTGGCGCTGGACCTCAGCGTCCGGGCAGAACGATGGGGGTGGAGACGCTCCTTCAGGTATACTGGGTCGAGGCCGTTTAGGGCTTTAAAGGTCAACACCAGCACTTGGAAATGTACTGGGAGCCAATGTAGGTCTTTCAAGAACGGTGTTATGTGGTCTCGGCGGCCGCCCCCAGTCACCAGTCTAGCTGCCACATTCTAGATTAGTTGTAGTTTCCGAGTCACCTTCAAAGGTAGCCCCACGTAGAGCGCATTGCAGTCGTCCAAGCGGGAGATAACTAGAGCATGCACCACTCTGGTGAGACAGTCCGTGGGCAGGTAGAGTCTCAGCCTGCGTACCAGGTGGAGTTGGTAGACAGCTGCCCTGGATACAGAATCGACCTGCGCCTCCATGGACAGCTGTGAGTCCAAAATGACTCCCAGGCTGTGCACCTGGTCCTTCAGGGGCACAGTTACCCTATTCAGGACCAGGGAGTCCTCCACACCAGCCCGCCCCCTGTCCCCCAAAAACAGTACTTCTGTCTTGTCAGGATTCAACTTCAATCCATTAGCCGCCATCCATCCCCCAACCGCCTCCAGGCACTCACACAGGACCTTCACCGCCTTCACTGGTTATGATTTGAAAGAGAGGTAGAGCTGGGTATCATCTGCATATTGATGGACACCCAGTCCAAACCCCCTGATGATCTCTCCCAGCGGCTTCATATAGATGTTAAAAAGCTTGGGAGAGAGGACGGAACCCTGAGGCACCCCACAAGTGAGGGCCCAGGGGTCTGAACACTCATCCCCCCCCACTTTCTGAACGCGGCCCAGGAGGAAGGAGCGAAACCACTGTATAACAGTGCCCCCAGCTCCCAGCCCCTCTGGACGGTCCAGAGGGATGTTATGGTTGATTGTATCAAAGGCCGCTGAGAGATCCAGCAGAACTAGGAAACAACTCTCACCTTTGTCCCTAGCTCAACAGAGATCATCAACCAGCGCGACCAAGGCAGTTTCAGTCCCATGATGAGGCCTGAATCCCGATTGGAAGGGATCCAAATGGTCCGCATCCTCCAGGCATGCCTGGAGTTGTTCAGCAACCACACGCTCAATCACCTTGCCCAAGAATGGAAGATTTGAGACTGGGCGATAGTTGGCCATACTGGCCGGGTCTAAAAATGGTTTTTTAAGAAGCGGTTTAATGACCGCCTCTTTCAGCGGATCTGGGAATGTTCCCTCACAGAGGGAAGCATTCACCACCCCGCAGAGCCCATCACCCAGCCCTTCCCAGCTTGCTTTTATTAGCCAGGATGGGCAAGGATCAAGGAGACAGGTGGTTGGTTTCATGCGTCCAAGCAGCCTGTCCACATCCTCGGGGGTAACGGATTGAAATTGATTCCATACAACTTGACCAGACAGAGCTCTAGCACTCTCCCGCCCCAGCCCTGCTCCCACGGTGGTGTCTAGCTCCTTCCGAATATGAGTGATTTTATCTGCAAAAAACTTTGCAAAATCGTTGCAGGAGATCTTGGGGTCTTTACAAGGCCCCGGTGGTAAAGGTGGTTCTGTTAAATTGCGAACCACCTGAAAGAGTCTCCTGCTACTATTTTCTGCAGATGCAATAGAGGCGGTGAAGAAAGTCTTCTTCGCCGTCGCTATCACCACTTGGTAGGCTCGACGTTGAGCTCTAACCTGTGTCCGGTCAGATTCGGAGTGAGTTTTCTGCCACCGACGCTCTAGCTGTCTCAGCGATTGTTTCATCGCCCTCAGCTCCAAAGAAAACCACGGGGCTGTCCGGGCTCCATGCAATCGGAGAGGGCACTTCGGAGCCAGACAGTCGATAGCCCTGGTTAACTCCGCATTCCAGCGGGCCACCAGGGAATCAGCTGAAAGGTCATCAACATGGGATAAAGCATCCCCTACCACTCTCTGGAAACCATTTGGATCCATTAAGTGGCGGGGGCGGACCATCCGAATTGGTCCCACCTCCCTGCAGAGGGGAAGGATTGCGGAGAAGTCCAGTTGCACCAGGAAGTGATCTGACCATGGCACTTCTTTTGTTTCACTTTTACTTAGTGTCAGATCACCCACGTCACTAGAGGTGAACACCAGGTCTAAGGCATGTCCATGACTATGAAATGGGCCAAACTTATTCAGGGACAGCCCCATGGAGGCCATGCTTTCCACGAAGTCCCGAACAGCCCCTTGTAAGGTCGTGTCGGCATGGATGTTAAAATCCCCTAGGACAACCAAACTAGGTGTCTCCAGGAGAAAATCCACCACGACCTGAAGCAGCTCGGACAGGGAATCCTTGGTGCAGCGGGGAGGTCGGTACACCAAAAGGAATCCTGTACTGCCCCTATTGCCCAACTTCCAGAACATGCACTCAGAAAACTGGATCTTCCCAGTAGGACACCTGGTGCAAGCTAGTGACTTCCTAAAAATCACTGCAACCCACCCACCCCGCCCACATGACCTGGGTTGCTGTGCGTAAGAGAAACCTGGTGGGCAAGCAGCGGCAAGGACAGGCCCATCTGCTTCCTCCGACCAGGTCTCTGTCACACATGCCAGGTCAAATCCTCCATCCACAATCAGGTCGTGGATGGCAGTGGTTTTATTCATCATTGACCTGGCATCACACAGCAACACCTTCAGGTTATGTGGGTTTCCCCTGTTGATTCCAGTATCCATCCGGTCAAGGCCAGACCCGGAGGCAGGGATAGTCTTCAAACAACGACTAAACCTGCCTCCTCGGTAATGACATGGTCTGATCTTAGCGTAACTCCGCCTCCTGTCCATGATCACCGAGATCGGATGTCCCAGTGCTTCCGCCCCTGTGGAACTTGTCCCAGCCATTGTGTTGGCTGGGGCCCCACTCCCAGGCAGCCCTGATCCCGCCCCTTAAAAACAAAACACAAACTATACAGAACCAATAAAACAAAAACAACAAAAGGAACAGAACAATTATACTAAAATTAATCCCCAACCAAATATCCATCCCACCCACCCACCCCCAACAAAGGAAAAAAGGGAAAAAAGAAATAAAAATTTAAATTGCCATTGACTGCTTGAGGACATTTTAAATCACATTAACCACCTGGAACAGGGAAGCAATGGCAGAACACTTCCCACACTTCCCCAAAAGTTTGTTCCAAATAAGGGCCTGGGCCACGGCCCCTGGGCCAGTTGGAAAAGGCCCTGGAAGGGAGCAGGCCCTGCAGTCCTCACCCAGCCGATGGTGTATAGCTTTTGCTTTTTGTTCCTGCTCTTGGACATGCAAGAGAGCAGACATGTTTTCTTTGTCCTGAAGTATGCTGAATAAACTGCTTGTAAATATGCTTTACATATCCACCACTTCTGTTACGTGTTATTCACTCTGCTGGTTAAGGTGTGCTCAAGTTTCTGACGGCTTCTGAAGCTGTGTGCCGCTGTTTTGATGCTGTTCCAAGGACCAGAGTTCGCCTGGCTGCCGGCCGGTGGGCTGGAGCCAGCTGGGGGCCTGTAAATTGCCCCCGTTCTCCCTTTATGACAAACTTAGCACCAGTAAGACTGGCTGTTTGAGAGGCCAGGCCAGAGATCCAAACTGAAGGTTGGCCTGATGGTTCTTCTCCCATCATATGAACCTGAATGAAGTCCACTTGAAACTCAAGTTATTACTATTCACACTGCAAAATAAGGAACATTAAACGAACAAGCAGAAACACCACTTGTAAAGAACCTACAAGAGTCTTTTGGGGGAAAGAGGTAATATTAAATCTGAACTTAAATCACAAATATTAACTAGTGCATAGAACCTAAGGATCATTTGCTTTTTGTTTTTTTAAACCCTTTGGAAATAAAAACAAAAGGTATTGAAGGAAGTATAAAAGTGTGAGCAAAGCATGCTGTTGCCTTGTGCTCCTTAATATGCACAGGCCTATTAATTGAAGCCCTACATAGCATAGTCAACACCATGTTCCCCCTAGCAGTAGAAATTCTTCCCCACAGTGAACTCAATGAGTTCTACCAGGGACTTGAATATTGTTTTTGTGTTGGAAAAGCACACAGCTGATTCAGGAACCCAGTGGTTTTACTTCAAGGGTGTGCTGTTCTTATAGAGAAATTACACTTTCCCAAAAACTAAACACAGTATTTTGTTCCGATTCCGCCCCCGCCCCCCACCAATTAAGGGACCTACTTGATAGCTTGTGCACCATCTTTAAATACAAGTGCCAAGGACAACTGTTGCCTACAGTACATGACATCATGTGATATAATTCCTCTTATTCCTCATTTTGTGGTTTTTGTGACTATATATGAACATGAAACACATAATACAAATAAACTGCCTTATCCAGTCTTAGGCAAGTCCTGTCTACCATTGTAAATCCCCCTTCTGCTGTAAAATTGCTGTAAAAACACCTTAACGGAGAAATGTGGTGCATGTATAGACCGCCTAATTTCAACTACCTGTATTTCAGACTACCCCAGCAAATCCCATTTCTATCAGCCTGAGGCTTTTTAGTTTTCGTGAGTCAAATATTTTGTTCTAGCTGTGCATTGCTTGCTCTATACTGGACAGAGATGGAGCGATCGTTTGAAAGGGCAATCTCAGAAAGCTGTTCCCATTTCAAGTTGGTCCAGAGACCCATGCAAACCTGGATCAGGTCTTAAAGGGGAGGGGCTTTCTTTCCACCCCGCTGAATGGATGCAAGCATCAACAGGTGCCAAAGCACTCCAGTTTACAACTGATAAAAGTACACTCAGTCCATACAATGTGCTCTCAAACCTTATGACGTGTTGCAATTATATGGAACAAAGTACCACTATCCTCTGTTTTATGTGCATAGCATTGGCTACAGGGGGGGAAATGCTACTTTGTACTTAGAAATATTCTTCTCTGTTTCTGTAGCCAAATTTTACCCATGTAAATACTACTGCATTCAGTGGGGCTTATTCCCTAGAAAGTACACAGAATTGCAGTGCAAATGTCTCTTTCAGTTTCCCTCTAAATATCTACTACAGTTCTGGTTGATGTTAGAAACCGCAACAAAGGTGAACCCTGCTAGAGCGGACAAAACACCCATCAAGTCCAGCATCCTGTTCTCACAATGATCAACCAGATGATTCTGGGAAGCCCAGAAATATGACCTAAGCGCAACAGCACTCTCCCCACTTGTGTTCTCCAGCAACTGGTGTACAGAAGCTTACTGCCTCCAATTAGTAGCCATTGCTAATCTTACTCTTCATGAATTTGTCTAATCTTTTAAAGCTATCCAAGTTGAAGCCATTCACATTCCAACATTTTGTGGCAGAGAATTTCACGGTGTCATTCAGACAGATGTTTTCCCCAGTCCTGCCTGTGATGCTATGGACTGAACCTGATATATTTTGCATGCAAAGCATTTTTTAAAAGAAGTTGTTGTTGTTGTTGTTGTTGTTATATTACTTTAAAAAGGAGATGAACTCAAAGTGACTTACAAACACATATCCTGTCCTTCATCATAGGTGATCTCAGGGCATGTAAAAAAAATTAAGATACAATGAAAGAGAAAATAAGATCCCGTTAAAACAAATATAGTATAACTCTCCTCTGTTGTCATGCTGGCCATATGCTCTACTGCTGCACAATAGCCCCTAAAAAAAGTGTTTGAAGGTTGACCTAAACAAACCTATCAGGCACATTTTTACTATAGTGCTCCAATATAGAATATAACACTAAGTGGTTTAACTGAAATATAGACATTTCTGAGAGTGGTTAAGTTTGTTGTCTCTGGCTACAAACCCAGATTATAGAAACCTCAGTGGGCTTGTCACACATCCAGGGAATGAAAATCTTAAACTCCATTTGCTATTAAATCCAGATGTTGGTTAGCTGAAAGTGCATAAACTGATTATTCCTCTTTCCCTTGTGGTGCATAATATATTAAATCCTCAACATTGTTTTTTAATAAATGGGCATAGCTGCAATACAACAGCAAATGAAATATCTTGAGAAGAAGATGCTTTTGAAACATACATGCAATCATGCAAAACGGAATGACAAACCTGATCATGGTTGGATATAACAGTAAGAAATTCCTGAAATAACCCAGTGCTACATCTTTAGCTTGTCAAAAGAGATTGCCACATAGCAGAGGAAAGAAAGGTACTTATCTGGTCCAAAGGCATGGTGGGAAAATGAAGCCGCTAGCCTCTGGCTAAGGATGCTGCAGTTATCTGTGAAAAGAGATATTCATGGTAAAATAGGAAGTTTTGCTAGGTCAGGGTTCTTCTCTAGATCTTTGGCCCACAACGTAGGATGTGGGCTTTGGGATGAAGAAGCAATACATGGGACAAGCAGATGCAATATGGAATGTGTCTCTTGAAGGCGCATTTGTTTTGTGCTGTTTTTAGCTGCTGGGTGAGGGGATTTTTGCCCCAGTCCTCATTAAAATTTTCCCCTCCAAAGCTGCTGCTTATCTCAGAAAGGAAGCATCCATTGGTGGCAATGGAAGAGGGCTCTCCTAGGACTAATAGCAACTTTGGAGAGGTCATGGACTTCATCAGGACCCTGGCAGGGAAGCAAAGGCTCGTTCCCCTGTTCCCCACACAATGTTGTCCTGATACAAGTCCCACCTCCTGCAGTGACTATTAAAAGTGCCACACAAATGCAACTTCAAGTGACCCATTTAGTATTATGTATGGTTTAGCACACACGTAATGTTCTCGTGAAGTCTAACTATAACTGAATTTGCTCCTGTCCTTCCCTTGCTATCTTTGTTCCTCCCCTCTTTATGTCCTCTTGTCTTTCTCTTCCTTCTCCTCCCTATGTTCATCTACTCTTCTGTCAAAATTTAGACCCGAGGTTCCTTGGGGCAAAGACATTTTTGTTCATGAAAACACATTATACAGTATATAAGTACGTAAACTGTTTGATATGTCTCAGCCGTTAGGGGTGTTATCCACTGTTATCCTCAGAGAAGACCCATCAATATGAATGGTCTACTCTAATTTAGTTGGGTATCACCCTAGATGTACTGGAAGACGCAGCATGCTATGCATCTACTCAGACCCAGTACAAATCTTTGATCTATGTATCCCCAGTCATATTAGCAATTACAATGCAATAAACGTTATGGAACTGCCAGCACTTTCAAGTTCTTGCCAATCCTTACAGCTCTCTGAGATTCATTCAGTAGATTAGTTAAAACATTATAGAGAAGTTGGAGACGATGACAAAAGCTGATGACAACAACATTTGTCTGGCCCTCTTGAAATCATTTGAAAAACTGGAGGTCGTGTACGGTCTTGAAGCAAAAGTTTTATTGCTTCTTAAGGAAACATTTGCATCGCTAATAGCAACCCAATTGTGTGTCACTAACTCAACTGACTGAGTCAGATTTGTGCATTGATTCTGTCCTCATCTGCAGACTCAGAGCAGAGGATAGTTTGCGATCAGTGTTTTACATGAGAAAAAGGTAGGGCAGGTGGTGAGCCAGGAGCCAATGCAATTGAATACATGTCTATGTGCATTCAGGAAAGAGCTTTCAGGATGTCACAACTGAAGAAACTCTTTGGCTATGCAGTAGCATTCTGGAACAGCTGGATGCAACTTCCAGTAAACCCTTTGCCAAAAATAGGGAGGGTGCTGTGTATTCCTTTACAGATCAGCACTAAAGGGGGGGGGAGAGAAAAACTTTTTCTTTCTATAGTCATGGTCTGATCCTAGCAGTCTACATTCTTATGCTGAGAACTTTGTTTTGAATTTGATACTGTTGTGATTTTCTGTGGTTATATATGCTTTTGAAATGTTTTCACCTTTGTTAATTAGGTACTGGTTTTGCCTTGGTTTTGTCAGCTGCACTGGATCTCTTTAATGAGAGAAACGTGGGATACAAGTATTTTATTAAACTAACAAAAACAACAAGCTTTTTCATCACTACCAGTTGCCTGGGAACTTGGGCATTCCTCAAAGGATGGTGGCGATTCACAAGGTACCGTAATCTGCCCTGCGTGTTATAGCCATGGCACAAAGCACTTGCCACAGAGAGTCTGTGATAAGTATAATGTGCTCAAAGGCCTTTAGATTTCAGAATCCTTTTTGGAGTGCTACTGCTAATGAAATAGAAGGTCAGACAGCTTCTTCTGAATGATAATTTGCATTATTAACACAGATTCAAATGCAGTTGAAAGGCAAGGAACTTGGGGCAAATAAAAAATAATCCATATGATCTAGCATTTCCTTTAAAGGCCTCTTAACGTAAGCCATTCAGACACATCAGGGTGGTTTCCATCAAGCCATAGATCACTGGTGGTGAATGATGCACAAGCAGAGGTCAGTGCATGGGTTAAGAACTCACCAAATATAATGCTGGACTGCATAGAAGTTATTTATGTGCACATAGTGTTTTATTTAAACTGGCTCTAATGCTCCTTGTTTTACTGTTTTCATGGTCTTTCCACTGAAAGTGGTAAACCAGCTGTGAGTAGAGAGAACACCAATTTTACTGGGAAAAGTGTATTCAGATTCTCAGCTGTCTAAAGTATGCATAAAATCCAAACTGTAAGAACACTGCACTTTTAAAGCCAATTTTCAGAATATTAAATGAATGTTTTTGACAGAGATTTGAGCTTATGGTGGGTATAAGTGTTCATATCAGTGCTCAGCTTTTGATAACATAGCTTAAGAAAATGGGTTGGAACTCAAATGTATTATTTACTTTGCAAAAATGGGAATTCTGAATTTTAAAAATGTGAGATGTAATATTTACTTACTTACTTACTTATTCATGAGATTTACTGCCCTTTACTAGATGGTCTCAGGGTGTAAGTACATAGATTGTTAAAATGACAGCGTGATTGCTCTTTTGGGTGGCCAAACATTGGAACAGGTTTTCTCAATGTCTTCATATATAATAAAAATATAAGGCTGTCACCATATTGGCTTGTTTGGACATCAATAGGCTGCTATGCCAAATCTAGGTGATGAATGGCAGATGGGCAGGTGAGTAAGCAAGCAGCATGTCAGAAAACCGCTAAGGTTGGGTTGGGTTGGGTTGGGTTGGGTGAGCTGTGAGGCATTGATGAGAGGCAGATTAGGTGTAAAGAGTAGAATTATGTTTTATATACTATTCTCGGATGGAGATTCTTTGAAAGTTTGAAAGTGTATAAATCCTGAAATGAATTAAAAATACCTCCTTTCTCAACTAATTTGAAGTCCCGTTGCTCATGAAGCCAAATTCCCTAGTCAGTCAATGAGTCCCTCAGATATAGCACACTTGTTTTGTATCAGAGATCATCCATTTCATGCATGAAATGTATGCAAATGCATGTGTGAGATCGAATTAAGGCAAAATTTTTGTTGAAAAAATACAAGGTCTGCTGGATGAGTCCAATTGCCCATTTTAGCCCAGCACCCTGTTCTCACAGTGGCCAACCAGATGCCTTAAGAAAGGCCCAAAGCAGGACCTGATAGCAACATCACTCTCCCTACTTGTGACTCCCAGTAATAGACACCCAGAGGCATATTGCCTAGTAGCCATTGAGACTCATATCCTCCATGAATTTGTTGAATCTTCTTTTAAAGCAGTCCAGGTTGGTGGCCTTCACTACCTCCTATGGGAGCAAGTGCCATATTTTAACTATGTGAAAAAGTCCAATTATTGCCCAATGAATAAGATGAAACAGCAGATGCCCTAGTTTGTGCAATTCTTTTATGCTTATGCTTAACTAGTTAGTTCAAACACAAAGCACAGGAACATAGGAAGCTGCCTTATACTACTGATCCATCTAGCTCAGTGTTGTCCACACCGACTGGCCAAGGATTTTTTGGCAGGCTTCTCTTCCAACCCTACTTGGAGCTGCTGGGGATTGAACCATGGACCTTCTACATGCAAAGTAGATGTTCTACCACTAAACCACAGCCTTTTCCCAACTAAACTGCATCTATTGCCCCAGGAGTCTGCAAGGACCATCACTGCCCTTTGTAATTTTATTCAGGGTATAGAAACTTCACTCATGAGATTATTTCTCCTATTAAATTAAGCATGTAATTTTATGCTGATCACTTTGACTTTCAGTCATATGGCATCTGGATTAGATTTCTACAGTTTCCCAGATATTAAATCAAAGACAGTGTTAGTAACAAGAGAAGACATCTGAGCTAGATTTGGAAACCAAGGTGCCCCCAGTGGCTTCCTTAACTCCTGCAGAATGAAAGGCATTTGCTGAACTCCTTTTGAAACAATGGCATTTTCCTCCCAAACGTTTTGCATGACGGGCATGCATTTTGGGGTGTAAAGACTTGCAGAACAGGAGCTATTTTGCAGCATTGTAAATGGGTGGAAAAGAAATTGCTTTCCTTAAGATGGGTATGTTCAGTGCTTTTTTCCTGGGGGGACACAGAGGTATGCATACCCCTATTTCAATATGAGTAGGAAAATGAGAGTACCCCTAAACATTTTTTTTTAGAAAAAAGCACTCGGTATGTTACATAGAAGCCTCCAGGGAACTATGATGACCAGAGAACTGTTTCCACCCAACTTCATGTGATGAGTTGGAGCCAAGAGAGATAATAAACTTCTTTGCTAGTTTCCTCACTGGTGACAGAAGGCCTGGATTAAATGAGACAACAGTCACATACAACACAGGACAGCAACACATTTAAATCAGAGTACAGATGCTTCCCGTGAGACACTGAGAGTCCTAGAGAAAGTGAGAATCTAAATGCACAAAATTCATATTTCAGTCTCACCTCACTGTCTCACCAGAACCCAAATCCCAGTTCTGCAACATCTCTATTTAAAATTGAAACTCACATGCTGATGAGATAAAACCACCAACTTTGGACACTCTGCTGTAAAGTGACAATAGTTTCTTATTAGCTGTACAGGAAACCATGCCAGGCTCTCTCTGAAAATAGTGCAGTGAAATATGAACAGGAAATAATGCATTAATATAAATTACAAACATAAAAATATTTAGTGAAGAGCAGCAAACAATCTGCTTGCTCAAACATGGACTGGCTGCTCTATCAAATGAAGGACTTACAATTATCACACTATGAAAACTATCAGAGCTAAGAGATGTCTTAAAAGAACTGCAAACTGCAATCTGTTCACAAAAGCCTTATGATGCTTCTTCCAAGGTATAACATAATAACAGCTGCACAATTTTTATGCAAGGCTTTTAATAATAAGGTACCATGTGTTTTCTACAAGCAAGATTTACTTAAATAAACTTGTTACAAACCCTGCAGGAGCACTTAGACAACAAGTGGAACATCAACAGAAGGGAAGGTGTTCTCTGATGGACATTCAAAAGATCAGAACCACAGAACTATGAAATTTCAGAGATGTCTGAAATGTTAATTGTCAGCTTCATTTTCTGATTTCTCTGTTACTAGAGTTTATGTAGCATCACCGTCCATTAAAACACACCTTTAAATATGTAGGAATGTGTGAATATGCCTCTGAAAAGCTGAAAACATTTTATTGGAAATTAAAGAGATGAAGAAAATAAGAAAATGGGGTTAAGAGCTAAGAAAGAAAAACTAACATAGCAGCAGCATGTTCAATTTAATTCCCAGTTTGAACATGGAGACTATTTCACTTATTTACATTTTTATTTTATTTTTTGCTTTGGGGTGTTTGGTATTTTGCCTTCATAGTAAGATTACCAGATGTCCCCGTTTCCCAGGGACAGTCCCCGGATTTACAAATCAGTCCCCATACAAAATCCATTGAAGCTGAAAAGTGTCTCTGGATTCACTGGGGAAAAAATCTGTTAATCTTACGTCATAGGCTACCCACGCATTGGTTCCAAAATGTTTTATTCCTTGTTCTAGCATTGACAATATCCATTTGCTCACAGCCAGCTGAGAAACAAAATGAGCCATCATGTTAGAATCATTAGTCTAGATTACATGACAAGCATGGAGATCAATGTAGTTTTCCTACTTGACGTGGCTAGCAAACAATAATCCACCCAATACTTAAATGCGTTTATTCCATTGAAGCCAATAGGTTTACCAGCCAATCTTATGAATGCCCACACAGAAGTAAACCCCGTGACATTTAATGGGGCTTAGTCCAAGTATGTATAGGAGAGGAGCCTTAATTGCAATTTACATTAGGGGTTTTTACTGGGACTCTGCCCAATGTTCTCCTGTTTCAGTTTTCATATGAAACTCAAGTGCTTTAGGGAGGCAGAAATGTTCTTTCTAAAACTTCTTTAATTGTGGGGCATGTTCACATTTTTTAAATGAAAATCCTGATAACTGTCATTATTTTTGTCTCTCTGTTCTTGCTTTGGCACAATTCCGCCTGTGTAATTACTTCATAGACTTCTTCTAGAGCAAGGACTCACCCACACTTCAGCTTTTCCTGTGCCTCAAAAGTGCAGGTCCAAGCAGTTTTCCACTTGACCCACACTTTCTAGACACAGATCCAAGCAGATTTGACACAAAACAGTGAATTGCTGTTTGCTCCGATTGATGGGAGCAGCAGGGGGGAAGCAGCAAGACAAGAGGAAGTGTGGATAAACCCTTAGTGATATAAAGGTAAAGGGACCCCTGACCATTAGGTCCAGCCATAGCCAACTCTGGGGTTGCGGCACTCATCTCGCTTTAGTGGCTGAGGGAGCCGGCGTACAGCTTCCAGGTCATGTGGCCAGCATGACTAAGCTGCTTCTGGTGAACCAGAAGAGTGCACGGAAACGCCGTTTACCTTCCTGCCGAAGCAGTACCTATTTATCTACTTGCACTTTGATGTGCTTTTGAACTGCTAGGTTGGCAGGAGCTGGGACCGAGCAACGGGAGCTCACCCCATCACGGGGATTCGAACCGCCCGCCTTCTGATCGGCAAGTCCTAGGCTCTGTGGTTTAGACTACAGCGCCACCTGCGTATAGGTAATCCCAAATATTCTGAGATATCATAGCAAATGAGAGGATGTATTTGGTGTTCAGTAGTTTGGTACAATTAATGGGGCACTTGTATGTGAGTTCACACATGCAAGCACATCACACAATGGCAGCAACGTCAGGCAGTGATTGACTGTGTACATACTTCAAACAAAATGTGATACAGTAGACTGGGAACCTTTAGACCAGAAATTTGTATATTAAAAACATTTAGCCTTGTCTCAGTTTGCAATGAACCTGTATACAAGTTCTCCTAAGAAATACCAACTTTGATTTGCTAACAGAACGATCTCGTTCTCATTTGCTTGTCCTTAAGAGTCTCTGATGCAACTGAATACAAACATTAAGCTTTTGTAAAGAATACAGTGTGTGAATGGCGAAAATGTAGAATAGGTGGTTTTTGCATATACAGTACTTCCATTGACAAACCAATCTGGAAACTGATCAGATATGAATGGAAGGCTCAGAGCAAATCAGGTTTTCATGTCCTCAATTGAGTCTGGATTGGCTCCAGGAGCTAATCTGATGTCAATGAAAGGACTATACTGTATTCATTTGGAGATACTATTGCTGTAAAAGCTGCTTGTCTGGATTTTAATTAGGGAACTAAAAACAACTTGGGTGGATTATATTTTAATGCATCTATTGAAGCTTTATTAAAAGATTGGGTGGGTTTTTTTCTAACAATCAAAGGTCAGAGGTTAAGCAGGATACTATTAAGAATATTTTGGGTTTTATTTTTAAAAAAATTCACTTGTTTTCGTTTTGATTTTGGCCTTTGCTTGTCTTTAAGATACCTTTCTTTCAAACATGATTCAGCATTTATAAGGTTTTAAGTCACACTCAAAACCCAAAGATATTTCCCATGGGAAAAGAAACATACCAAGATAAGCTATAAATCAGTACTTTGTACCCATAGTGCAGCAAAGGCGAGAATAAGAAAAATTACTGACTAGATGGAAGAAAAATAGGCCACAAATTTATTGTAACTTTCAACACATTGTGGTTTGGCAGCACAACAGGAGCCTTGGACCACCTATTGGTGGCACCTGGGTGAAAGAGTAGCATATATTGAATGCCCATAGTTAGTAGGCACAGTTAGTGGGCACAATGGCATTTGGAATTATGGCCAGCTTCCCTCTCCTGCATTTGGTGAACACATGAGAAGGATGATTTGAATGCCTCTTTACTCTCCTGCTGTCTTAGCCTTCTTCACACCTTATAAGCCTGACTTGTGAAACTGGGAGCAAATCATGAGGCCAGGCAGGATGGCCCTGTTCCCCTGCCTACAACATACCGAAAGATATTCCAGTAGACAAAGTTCCTGGTTGCATGAAGGTGTATATTCATGTTCAAATGAACACATACACAAGCTTCCTTCAGTATTTACTACTGAATGTGCTATGTGGGAGGGGACTACGGCCCCACAAACTGGAAACCAAAAAGATGTGACCTCATTTGCACAGTGTTGGCATAACTTCTCCAACTCCTTTCCCCCCTAAGCCATAGAGGTCGGTCTTTTAACCATTGCTTATAATTTCTCAGTTCTTGTTAGTCTTATCTGCAATCTTTTAAAAAACGGAGCGCTGCACCAATAAATCTAGCTGCCATTATTTGTATTGCAACAATGCAGCATACTGCAAAGGGATGCCTTTCATTGTACTGTACAATAATGCTACTTGCGAGTAGATGAATTATAAGGAGTACATTAACATTTTTCTTTCAAAGATCCTTGCACTCTTGGATCTAGCAAGGGAAACCACCCAGTCCAGAAGGGGATTGCTGAAGCCGTTTCACCATGGATTCCCCTTACTGGATCAAGCTGCTCATAAATACCACCATTTCCAAGGAAGGAAATAATATTGTCATAGGTACAGAGTAGTATTCCACTAAGTTTAACACAGATTAGACCAATTAAAATTAAGACGCCTAACTTAGTCATGTTTATTAATTTCTGTGGGTCTAATATGAGTAAAACTTACTTGAATACCACCCATAAAATTAAATTTTGTAAACTCCCATTGCATTATCTTTCAAGAAAATGTGCATTTAATTGACTCATTTTTAGCAATTTCCTTCTTCTGAATTCACATTTAACATGTTTATGTCCTTCAAAGCTTTCAAAATAATCATAACTTTAAGTAGCTTCTCTGGCTTGTAGACATATCCATGCTTCATTGTTATTGGAAACATATCATTAAATTAATCATGCTAGCTTTATGGAAGCAAACACCATGTTGAGATTTCAATAATCTGGCATAGGGTAACCAACTGTGCAGAAAAAGTAAGCCAGAACTGCTGCTCTCATGTGGCAGCTTGGTATGCTTAAAATGCAGGAATTAGCAGGAGCAAACACATTTTGGGAACTTTGCAGAGAAAGAAATCACTTTGGAGTGGCAATATGAAAGAGGGAACTAGCAGTTTGACCCTCCATCACTTCTCTGCTCTGAATTTTCCACTGCTGGAGTTGCTTTTCATTAAAGACAGCATTAGCCGGCTCAGATACCCATGCCCATGCATTTAGACCTAAAGCCTAGAGTGAGTGTGTTTGCTGGTATTAATTGCTATGTTTGCCTGCTTTTTGGCTCCTTTTCATTTGCTATCACCCCCACTCTCCAGCTTCAGACTCTTTGCTCCTTGGAGCAGTAATTTGCCTTTCTTTGTTCATGTGGCTCAGTAAAATTTAAAACTCATATGTTGCTGGTGCTAAATGAGTAATAATTATTTTCCTGGTTTAATGTTGTCAGTATTTTTCCTTGCCTGCCAACCTAGCAGTTCGAAAGCACCCCTGGGTGCAAGTAGATAAATAGGAACCGCTTACTAGCGGGAAGGTAAACGGCGTTTCCATGTGCTGTGCTGGTGCAGGCTTGCCAGAGCAGCTTCGTCACGCTGGCCACGTGACCCGGAAGTGTCTCCGGACAGCACTGGCCCCCGGCCTCTTAAGTGAGATGGGCACACAACCCTAGAGTTGGACACAACTGGCCTGTACGGGCAGGGGTACCTTTTACTATTTTTCCTTACAGCAAACAAGTTTCTCTGAAAGCAGAGCATTAGAAAGAAAGAAAGAAAGAAAGAAAGAAAGAAAGAAAGAAAGAAAGAAAGAAAGAAAGAAAACCTACCCTGGCCAACACATGTATCCATGTCAGCACTTAAATCTAAACATAATTCTTTACAAGCACCTTTGTTATGCAGGGCTGGATTTTTATGGGAGCAGAAGAGAGTGAGGCCCTCTGGTGTTTGTGATCTGTGAATATTTATACTGTACTCCTGAAACTTTTTGCCACCGTTACCATGCTGATTGTTTTCTAGTTTCAATGAATAACTGAGGGCTGCAATATAATACTTAATGGAAGCATACTGGACAATATTTTTATTTTAAAAAATCCTGTGCATACATGCTGGAAATTTTCAGTACAGAACACAGAAGATTTCTTACCCATCCACCTACGATATCTGGCACTGTGTTTTTCTTAGTATATGACCAAATCCCATATGCCCTGATTCTGAAACTTGCTGCACCAGTATAGCCTGAACATTATGTAATATATACTTAATTTATTTGCAGAATCAAACTTCTTAAACTAGTGGTTATGAAACATTTTAATCATGTAGCTTTCCCCTTAGCAAATGGTCTGATACGCATTGTGACCACACATGGACACAATAGGTTAGGTCACTGGGCCACATTTATTTAAACTCCAAACAGATCTGCATTGTGGGTACAAGGTTTGGGATCTATATCTAACAACCAAACTTGGGCAAGCTCGCCCTCCCTTAAGCCCCACTCTTTCACCTGAGTAGGGAGGCTTTCCTGCTACACCTCCTCCTTCTGGGGCCCCATAACTCTAAGCAGGTGTTTACAGCTTGGCCTCAAAGGTGCTCCCTAACCATGTCACACAGCCCAACAGCCCTGGAGGCGGGTCTTGGGTCTACATCCTTTCTCTTTAAAGGTGCTGGCAGGAGCACAGAGAGAAGAAATGCTATGGTGCATCTGCTTCACCACAAGTGGACGTCTTCACTGCAACAAAACATCTCTCTCCCTTATTGGTCCCAGCAGTCACATCAGGCGCTGTAACCTTCCTGAAGTTTGACTTTACCTCATAACTTCCTGCACCTGTCTGCCACAGAAGCTTGGTCACCTTCTCCATACACAGAAATAATAATTTCAAGGAGTCACATCATGCCTCTCCCCCTTTCTTCAAAAGGGCCCACAAACCAGTAGGCGGACATAAATACTACTCTCTGGTGAGGCAGTTTCCAATTTCCCACCCATTGCTGCTGTCAGCACTAGCCTTCTGGCCATCACCACCTTAGATGAGGGAAGAGCTGGTCTGTCCAAGCAGATGAAGGAGGAGAAGGAGGCTGAGCAGAATGGTGCCCAGTCCATTTAAAGGGCCTGCCACTCCACCACAATGCTGAGCCCCAACAAGATCCTATGGGAGTATCGTCTCCCTCCAACATGGCAGCCAACACTCACTTCAATCTACTTGTTAGGTCGTAAGTCACAAGCTATGTGAATAAACCATTGGAAAGGTATGTTATAGACAATTCACCACTTCCACAAAACCGAAAGCTCAGTAAAGTGAGGTGAATGTGGGGCAACTTTTCTAGGGACAGCAGTGAGTGAGATTGCAGTCAGTAGTTCTTTTATGTCTAAAGAAAAAGTGGCTTCATACTTTGTCCTATTACTCACCTACAATCAGTAGCATATATATGTAGCCCACAACAATAGTTTCATAGATAACATGATGTTTTAGTTTTATAAGTCATACAGAACTCATAAACGCTCTTATGCTATTAACAACAGCAGAGTGCTGTACTTTATCTCTATGAAATAGATACACAGAAATATTTATTATTTAGGTATTTTTAGTGATGTACTATTACCCCATAAACCCCCATTGCTAATAATTTTAATACCTTTTCTTAAAATCAAAGAAAAACAAGCAGTTCATGAAGAAGAGCCAGCTTGCATTTTATTAGGATGGTTACCTTTCCTTTGTTAACGATCTTAGGAGGACTATTTTGGGAGGCTGTTGTGAGAGAAAGTGATGAGAAGAGATACATCCAGACATCAGCCCTCACAAACACACTTGAAACAATGTGCTCTCACAGTTGCTTAAAAGTCATGGAGCAGCTGCACTGAGACTGTAAAATCTGCAGTTTCGGTATGCCAACGATTTTCAGTTGGCCTTAATCAGAAAATAACACAATTTTCATTGAAGTTCTCTGCAAGCTAGAAAAACACATTAGGGGTGATGAAAATCCAGCCCAGAAAGGCAACCAGCCTGCTGAAACTTATCAGAGATCTAGAAGTGAGACACTTTAAAAAATGTGGCAGGTGATGGTGCTCCAGGTTCAAAATTCCAGGCAGCCGCTTACATTCCCCCTCCCTCTTGGTTTTCTCCCTACTCCCACATTTAGAGAGCATTCCATGGCCACTGAGCATGATCAGCCCTCACTGGGTTATTTTTGGGGTTCTCTTCCTTTAGGGTTCTCCCCCTCCTAAATCTTAGGGAGGGCACACATTGCCTATTCCTGATTTACACAATGACCTATTTTCAAGTTATCTCAGCAATATTTTAACTCACGTTAATAAATTTTATCCATAGATAGAAAAATAGCTGGCAGTGAGATTATTACAAATTCTTATTTTACCATATAATATATGTTGGTGAAAACCCTTAATGAATGGTATATAGGTTCACCACCAAAAGCAGGATTTTTTATCTTAGGTCTGCTTTTCTCTCTCTCTCTCTCTCTCTCTCTCTCTCTCTCTCTCTCTCTCTCACACACACACACACACACACAAAATTGCTGCCACATGCCACTTGAAATTGCAACCATGTGATGTAGCAATTGCCCACAAAGTGACACCATTTTATGAGATCATAAAATATTCTTTGTTGGATGGTAATTAGCCGCCTTTTTGAAGTTAAGTTTAAATTGTGGCAAAATTTTAACATACAAGCATGCAAAATCCTAAGGGAATGCTGATATTATTTAGTTGTCTGAAGGAACTGTATAACATTGGCTTCGGAACTGGACCTATCACCTCTTCCATTCCAAATATCAGTGACAAAGCCAAGAGTAGTGGCTGTAAAGTTAATTGACTATTGAACTCCCTTTGGCTGCAATCCTATGCATATTTTCTTAGGGGGTAAGTCCCATTGAATTTTGTGGGGTTTACATCTGAGCAAATACACAGGATTGGGTTGAATCCTCAGCTTGGGTCCAAACTTTTGTCAACTACAAATGATCACTACAGGAAAATATTCTCCAAACTAATCCTAAAGCCCTGTTCAGGTGATGAAAGTTGCAATGGCTAATCCTGTCACTCACCTCCAGATGTTCAAGGGGCTTGTTTACATGGAGGCTGCGCCTAAATGCATAGACTTCTCTATACACAATCCCTGAAAAATGAAAGGCCAGAGATCATACATAACACCCCATGTACAAGAACCTATGCATACTTGAGTGCATGCAAAAACACTCAATGCAAACAAGATCTTTTAATATGTGGAAGATTTAGATGTGAATGTCAAATCAGGTAGCAGGATTTTGTAGGAACCTGAGACTTGTGGCAACAGGAAATAGCTTAGGATGAGCTGTACTAACTGTTGCACTAGTCTAATGTTGCAAACAGTGAATGAGATCCATTGGATCTTCACTGGAGGAAGGTGGGATTTTTGCCAATTCACACTGAAGCCTGCAAAAAAATTATTTAGCAGGTTGGAGGGATCCTCTCATTTTATATTTTAAAAAAAACTTTTATAGATGACACTAGAGTAGGGAGAGAGAATTGGCAAAAATTACCTCTCCTCCCATTCCTCTAAGAGGAGCTTCTACTAAATTCTTTACATGCATAAAAGGAGACCTTCCTTTCATGCAATTAGCAAGTCAGGATCCTTCCCTTTGACATTATGGGCATATTCATATAGGCAGGAGAAGTTTGTTTTGTGTTATGAATAACATACCAGTTCCTGATGCTCTGCTCATTCTACTCTAGTATTAGAAACATTTCCCAAGACTGGGATATTCTGGGGCAAGTAGAGATGCATGCCAGTGGTTTGCCTGCTGACATACATGAAATGGCTCTCTATGTGCTAGAAGTACAGTTTGTGGTTCGAGGACCTGACCCCCGCAATGTGAAATGAATACACAAGGACACGAGATATAAGGTTAATGGGCAAGAAAAGGCCACAACTTTATTGATTACAGCAGTGAAAAGGTATTGGCTTAGGCATTGGATGTCTAAAACAAGGGGGTTTATTCACCAGTAGGTGGAGCCTGTTGATGCTCATCCAACTATAGGCTCCCCTGATGTCACCGAGGGTCGTGCCATGGCCTCCCGCCAAGCAGGCATCGGACAGAATACACGACCGCCAGATTCCTTTAACGGAATACCCAAAATATTGAAGGCATAGGCAATGGCCACACCTAGCTCTTCGATTCCACAACACATTTTTCCAATGCCTAACCTACCCACCAACACCACAAAAGTTGTGACGATTGCTACGAGGTAGGCGAAAAAACCAAAAAGCCTAATGCCAAATGGAAAAATTCCTACCAGGCCCCCCGGACAACCAGAGCGACCAACCTAAGGTCCATAGCAAGGCCAAAGAAAATTTAAGACCCTGAGCTCAAAGGGAGAGGAGGGTGGGTGACTCGCGACAGGACGAAGGAGAATGAGGCCAAGGAAGGGCTGGCGCCGCAGCATTTAGGATGCTGACAACGCCCCCTCGGAGGCACCTGGTTGGGTGCCTGCCGATGGGGGCGGGCGCCAGCCAGGTGAGTGGGGGAGGCGGAGCTCGGGCTCCCGCCCACAACCACTCCCCTCTCTTCCAGGGAGGAGAGTCTTTGTGGTTTGAGGACCCGATCCCCGCAATGTGAAATGAATACACAAGGACACGAGATATAAGGTTAATGGGCAAGAAAAGGCCACAACTTTATTGATTACAGCAGTGAAAAGGTATTGGCTTAGGCATTGGATGTCTAAAACAAGGGGGTTTATTCACCAGTAGGTGGAGCCTGTTGATGCTCATCCAACTATAGGCTCTCCCCTGATGTCACCGAGGGTCGTGCCATGGCCTCCCGCCAAGCAGGCATCGGACAGAATACACGACCGCCAGATTCCTTTAACGGAATACCCAAAATATTGAAGGCATAGGCGATGGCCACACCTAGCTCTTCGATTCCACAACACATTTTTCCAATGCCTAACCGCCACCTGAGCCCAAAAGGCTCGCCGCCAATACCCTCACAGCTGTAACCAATCCCTAATGCTGCTGATGACGCTATCAAGCCAAATGTCGCTCCCCAGGTCTGAGAGATGCACCCCGTCATTCCGAAACAAAGCCTGATCGCCAATCCGGATACGGTCATGATAAATGACTCGGCCATTCATAAAGCGCACCCAATGGGCCACTGCCCGATTCACGAGTTTCCTGGTTTTCTCAATGGCCATACAGTTCTGCGCACCACGCCACACAGTTCTCTTCAGGAAGGACAACCAGAACACCGTTGTTCCGGGACACAAGGCAGTAATCGCAACCAAGTCTCTTTTTATGTGCCACAACAAGTCCGCACTTCTTTTGTTGACAAGGTCATTTTCCCCTAATTGAATGATAAGGATGTCAGGAAAGCCGAACGTGGCTACTTTCTCTCTCAGCAATGGCATGAGTTCCTCCCAACGCATGCCTCGTCTCGAAAACCAGGAAACTCGAACTCCAGTTGGTAAACCCAGGTTAGGCGTGAGGCCGCAGCTGACCGCCCGAACGCGGGCCCAATGAACTATACTGTGGCCGCAAATCCACACACTTCTCCTGAATACAGCTGAGAATAAAAGGAAAGAAAAAACCAGGTAAGTAGGGGTAATGTGGTAGAGCGCAGTCTAGCGAATATAACCTTTATAAGCGTTGGATTTCCACCGGCCCTTTTCCTTAATCTTATCCGCAGGCAGACCCAACCACGCGGCTGTTGTTGCGGCGCCAATCCTAAATGAGTGTGCAGCATAATCCTGTGAGGCTAAACCACAAGCGTCAATAGCTTTGCGGAGTACCCTTGTGAACTGATGTCTCAATAAGGGAGACCCATCTTCATGAACCAGAAACGGACCCGGGCCGGGCGGTCTAAGGTAGAGGTACCGTCTGGTGTCCTTGACCGGGCATGGGCCCTGCTGCGCTGACGCTGTAAGTTTAACTAAAACCCCCCTCCCGGCCTGATCCGTTTTGGATTGACGTATCCGCACCGTCATGCTAGATTCGGACAACTGCACATCCTCCATAAGAAGGCCGCGCGTTGAACCGCTTGCAGTAATCTCGACCACGACTTCGCCAACTCTCAAAGCGCCCAAAAAGGCGATAGCATACGCCGCGGAAAAGAGGCGGGCCTCAAACTTGGTCCAACACATTGACCTAAGCTTTGTGCGTATCTGTGATAGCAACCCGTAAGAGATTGGCTTACGGCCCTCGGCCCTAGGGGGTTGCAACCTGCCCCAACCCTCAATAGCTCTGTGAACCAAGAAGTCACAGCACGGATCGGAGGAAAACGTGGCTTTTGCAAAGAAGCTAATGGCGGCTACATGTATCTTTAAGGTTTTGGGGGCACGACCCAAATCGTCTAGATGGGAAAGGTATCCCGATGGGGGCGGGCGCCAGCCAGGTGAGTGGGGGAGGCGGAGCTCGGGCTCCCGCCCACAACCACTCCCCTCTCTTCCAGGGAGGAGAGTCTTTCCTGTCTGATGTATTACATTATTGTGAAGAACTTAAACACACACAGACACACAACAGTGTTCATGCAACAGCAGTTTCCAGCAATCAGTGCAGATGTTGCAGCTCACCATGCATGTTACAGAGGAGACCTTGGTAAAGTCAGCTGAACAAAATCAGCACGGGAAGAAAAAACTAATAAATACACTGCAAACTGCTGTGTACAAACAGAGTGCAAGGTGCATCCATCAAGATATATTTTTATTTCAACAAATACAATATGGTAATTGTTGCTGGCAAGCTGAGACAGTGTACAAGCTAATCACTTGTAAATACTAACTTTAGATTTTTAAAGAACAAGAAAAAAACAGTGTCTAATTAAACTTAGATTTTTGTTGTTGTTTCTGTAGCGTGTACATAAAGGACACGATAAGGTTTAGTGTAGTGTGCGCTTTGAGCAGAGTACTAGATGTTCTAAATATAGTACCTACTTGAACACAAGATAGATGTTGCAGAAGAGTGTAGAGCTTGGAGGCACAGTGTCAAGGAATCAGTGGGAAAATCTCTTGATGCAATTTTTCTGACAACAGATTAAAACGTTAAGGGTACTGAGATAGGATTGTAAATAGAAACGTGTGCCGTTATTCATGCAGGTTCACCTTTTGTCTTAAAGAACCGAAATGATACAAATCTGCTTATTTTAAAAGGAAGACTGCTCTGTGCCTGTTTTCTGTAAGAAGACACTAAAGGTGCCATCCTGATCCACAGAGCTTACTAAAGCATTTGCTATTGTTATCAAGACTGATGCTGGTAAAAAGCTTGTATGCATGAAGAGTGTAAAATGAGTCACTGGCACTATAACTAATATACAATGTTCTGCATAAAAGCACACTTTCCATTAGATGATATTCCTGTTCAGAGAATAGTGCACTGCAACATGCTATCCTTGATTACTAACTTTTTGTAGTAAGTCTTTAGGCTTCAGATCCAGCGTGATATTGATTTTTTATATATTAGTGGATCCATTACATTATATATTAAAGTAACATTTTTACATGTAACTGTGTGTTTTGTACTATTTTAAGTTGTATATTGCTACTTCAGTTTTATGTACACCGCTTAATATATATAAATTATATAATCTAATCTCAGTGTCAACTGCTAGGAGCAACAATGAAAGAGATATATTGCCTTCCTGTTCTGACCTACCGGTATCTGGATCAGCTACTTAGGGTAGCAGTGGGGAATCTTCAGCCCACATGCCTAATTAGACTTTGCATGGGTGTGGTGTGGTGTAGTGTAGTGGTTAAGAGCAGTGGACTCGTAATCTGGTGCACTGGGTTCGCGTCTCTGCTCCTCCACATGCAGCTGCTGGGTGACCTTGGACTAGTCACATGTCTTTGAAGTCTCTCAGCTCCACTCATCTCACAGAGTGTTTGTTGTGGGGGAGGAAGGGAAAGGAGAATGTTAACCGCTTCGAGACTCCTTCGGGTAGTAATAAAGTCAGATATCAAATCCAAACTCTTCTTCCAAACTCTTCTCAAGTGTGGGGAAGATAAGGACAATGCTGAAGGTGAACTTCCAGTTTTTCTTTTGCAAGTGAGGCTTTCTGACAACACCAATCAGCTGATTGGCACTAACAGGGAGACCCATGGCAATCAGCCCCTTGAGAACTCTGAAGTGCAGCTGAGGGGGCCGTCTTTTCAAGTGATTTGCCTTGAAACCAGCAGCTGAAAGTTTCAATTTAGCAAGTGCCTTCAATGCAAACTGCTTCTTGCTAATGGCCGTTCCTCACAAACCACATCTACCTGCCCACGTGTTGTATGCAAGCACCTTTGAAGGCAGGGTCCCAGCACTGATCAGTTGATTGGCAGTGGGAGTGGACTTGCTCCATTAGTGTGAAGTGGTTTGCATGGAAACAAAATGCAAACACTTTCATGTATCTAATCTAGTTTCACCAACAGTTCTTCAATCTTACTTGGATTAAGCTTCAGTTAACAGGCTCTCATCCATTACTGAGAGAATACATCAATATAGCACATCCACTTCTGTTCATGCAGATGTAGACCTGTGTGTCATCAGTATATCGCTGACAAGATACTCCAAATCTCTGGGTGATCCTACTCAGCGGTTACATGTTAAACAACACTGGAGAAATCCATGTTGCATGAGAAATGGGGAGAGGGATAGGCCTAACGGCCTAGGAGGTCCTGTAAGTTAAGGAAGCAGGTTCAGAGTTTTGTTAGTAGCTGTACCAAAGTCATAAAAAAGAAATGTGACTATAGATAATTTGCATAAACCACCAGTTTCAGTTCATGCAATAAATTCATTTTGGGAAGTCTTTTGCCTTACTCATAGTATGGATATTTATACCACTAGCGACATCCAATATTATGATACAGTTATATTTCTCTCAGCTGCAGGGGTAAGACTTGAACAGCTCCACTATAAAAACAAACCCAGGAGTTCTTCTGTCGGTATAGTTCATGGAATCTTAAGCTAAAAATAGCTTAAAGGGGTTCTTGTTTTGTTTTTAAGACTGTTTGAGTCCTTCACAGCAGAAAAATAACAGCTTTGCTGAGAAACTAAACAATGGGCAAGTGAAGAGAATATTGGGAGATGATATCTTGGGGGAAAAATAGAATTACATCTGCACAGAAAAGCAAACAGCTCAAGGAATATCTCAAAATAATGATACCATCTGCACAGGGGAGTATAAATAGCTCAAGGGATATCTCAAAACAAGAACAGAATTCTGCAACAGGCAGCATGGAAGAAAATATATTTTATAGGTATTTTATAAAAGGATAATATACTGCTGTGGAACATGAGTGTGTACAACTCGGTGAAATCACTGAAAGATTAAACTGGGTTTCTGCCTCACAGGCTGAAATAAACTAACAGCACTTGGTAAATTTATGTAACGAGGGTCTTATGGTGGTTTCTCATAAGCTGAGCTGCAATATTGGTAAGAAACACAAACAAGAGGAAAATGTACAATACATGAAACATAATCTCTTCCAAAACTGTAATTCATGCTGAAGCAGTAGCAAAAAGAACTAAAGAGTCTATGAAGAGATTGCAGCTGATTTTGAATGGACAAAGAGGTTGCCACATAAAGTTCACTTGTGAATGTATCACAGGGAACTGTTTTTCATAGTATATTTGTTGTTGTTGTTGTTACTATTATTACAATTATTACAGTTTATTACTGGTGCACAACAATATTGTTTTTCCTAGCAGAGCAATATTTTTATTCTAATTACTATTGCCATTTCCATTATTACTGATTAAGTAATTAATTTAGATTCCACTTAATGTCCAAATAGGCTTCTAACCCCGTTATGAAGTATAAAAACCAATTCTACAAACATTGAAATATAAACATCCTTAATTAAATACACAATATAACAATCCTGTTATTGAGATTCGCAAGTATCCGTGCCAATGGAACGGAGCACAACCACCAATCCAAGCTTTGTGTTTCATATATTCATTGCAAAGTTGGGGACCCTTTTCATCAATTCTATAGCAGCACTTTGAAAATACATGAAGTCCAGCCATTGCACTGTGGGTAGAGGGAAGTGAATGCATTCCTGTGTTGACTAGGAAACTAGGGAGTTCTTCCTTCTTTCCTTCCAGCACAGTGCTAGAAGAGACAAAGCGTCACTCAACTGCCTATGTGATATTAAGTATGAGGCAGGTACAAGATATGGCTGGGCCAATCTGTTCAGAGTACCTGCAAAGCCCTGAGCATGGCACCATGAGCGAGAGAGCTGTGAGCGGTGCCCGGAAGCCTTGATGATCAGTTGATTGTCTGGGCTTCAAAGTACCACAAACCAGGCTAAAATGGGTCACCTGATATTATTGTTGTGTCCCAGCCACCTGCTGAACGTGGCCTGCAGGGGATGGGGGAGATAAGGACCCAGCCTACCAGACAAATCTGGTTCCTCACACCTGGTTTCTGCAACATGAGGAACACTTCCATTTCTTCCTGCATCATACAGCTGTCTTGGGAGCCACCATATTGCAGCACAGCAAGATAGGAAGAGTCGCCTGGTTGCCAAGGCGCTTGGGCAACTCACCCTCCCCTGTGCTACAGCCTATGGGCCACTGCAGCATGCCGTGAGAATACAGGAAGAGTCTCTGGCTGTCTAAGCTATTGGAATATTCTCAGTTATGCCACGACTCACTTCTTCTGTGGCTGTAATGTTTGTAAACAGCACAGAAACAAATTAAAGGCACAGCTGGAGGTTTCAGGAGAAATGTGCCTCCCTGCTTTCCTCTGAAATATCACCTTAGCAAAAGCTCAGCTCTGTACTACGTGCCAGTGCGTTAGGAGCAGAGCGAATCAAGTCTTTTAACAACCAAGCAATACCTCTGAAGACAGATAACCATGGTTGTAATATTATTTCCTGGTTTTACTATTCCAATCCTGTTAACATGTTCTGTTACAATAGAGTGAAGCTGTTCATTTTATATATATACTCCTTCCTTTCCATCCATTGGTGCTTTTCTTTGCTCTTTTTTGTTATGTAGGTACTCATATTTCTGTCCTTGGTGTGTTAAAAGATAATTCATACTGATAACAGCACTGATGGGATTGGCTTCCAAATTCAACATATAATGTTTTCAATATATTTGCCTGGCTTTTTGTGGTGGTGGTGGTGTAGTGGATTGTTATTTTCTAAATACAGCTTTGAAAACAAACTTCTGTCTTTGAAAAAAATATATTGCTTGGACACCTTTTCCTGTTTATTTATTTATTTATTTTAAAAAATGTTAGCAGCACATACACACAAATCTCACAATGTGTGTGGGGGGGGGGGAGAGAACAGTGGGGTTGATCCAGACTTTACCTTATACGAATGGAAAGTCTTTTTCTTTGCATGGATGGCTTTGGATACAGAGGGAAGATCCCACCAATGTGGGGGGGGGAGGGATGTGATGTTTGAAATTCTCCTTCCCTCCACAACTCCCAGCACCACCAGCCACACTGTTCTGGAGTGTCCACTTATGGGAAATCCACTCAGAGGATGATCCAGCTGGCGGAAGTGAACTTTGGATCCAACTCAATGAAGACAATCGTTACTAAAGGCAGCTTCCAATTAAACAGACCTGCTACTGCAAGGACTCTTGGCTGCACAAAGGAACTTCTCCTTCCTCTCTTTGGGTACCCTATGCCTCCCTAAATATCATCTGGGGGTCCCTCCAGTCCGCTAGAACAGATTTTGGGAAAATGCAGGGAGGGTAGAAGGACAGGGAGTTCCATTGCGCAAGTGGGAATTCATGAGTTAATGGATCTATTTAGTTGAATTCCACCCTGTATCTGCTTAGCTGAGAGTAAGTTTCACTGAATTCAGTGCAACATTTTGGAGTAGACATGTACATTATTGTACTATAAATACACAAATAAAAAAACTAGATGAATGGCACACATAGACACACTGCTTAATTCTGCCTCACATAACACACACAAACCTAATTTCAGAGATACTACAGACTTGAGCTATTTGGTTTTTTTAAAAAACTCCACACACTGTGGGGAGAAGGAACATTAAAGTACCTTATGAAAACTGAACGCATTTAACATCATATCACTTGTAATTATGAAATCTGAAAAGCAGGAAGAAAATAACAGAGAAGACATGTTCTTCCTAAAACAGGAGGAAGGAAAAGTATCTTGAACACCCCACACCCACCCATTGGCCACTTTGACAGATGGATAGTACATCCCACCTATGATACCCGATATTTTATTATTTTAATTATTAAACTTATAAACCACCCTTCATTTGAGGATCACAGGGTGGTTTACTATATAAAAACACAAAAATATGTAGCATAATAACAAACAAAGCAATAATACTCCCTACCCAGTTTAAAAGGCCTTGGATTGTTTAATTAGCCAAAGGCCTAAAGAGGCAACTTAAGCATACATATGACCATGCAACAAAATTAACATTATAGATAAGACCAAAAGAATCAAACTGATACCATAAACCATCATTTTGGTATCAGTTTTCTTACTCAGTCCTGTCTCCTATCTAGGGTCTAGATTAGCAGAGGTACTAAAATCTCAGAAGGTCATTGTTTTCTTTTGTTATTATGTCATGTATTTCTGCGTTTTTATATTGTAAACCACCCTATGATTTTTGGATGACAGATGGTATAGCAATTTAATTAATAATAAAAAAATGATGAAGCAACCATGCAGAAGAAAACCAACCGTTCAGTTTAAAAGGTAGCACAATTCTAATCATCTTCACTACAGTATGTTGTACTGTTTCCAAAAATACTCTGTAGCAGAGCTCAATCACGAACTGTGGAGAGAATCTCTGTGGGCAGTCAGTATATCCCAGGAGTGTGGCTGTGTGTGCAGCAGGAGGGCAGGCTGGTGGGTGAAGGATGTGTGGAGAGGGGACTATAGCTCAGAAGTAAAGAAGATGCTTTGCACATAAATGTTCCTTGGGTGAATTTTTCACACTTCCAGTCATGAGGATCTCAGCAGGGCTCTATTAGACCTCTGCAGAATCCCTGAAGAGTCATAGCAAATAGTTCTGGGCTAAATGAACGACTGGTCTCTGATGCAGCTCCTGATCCAATTCCAGTTGTGGTTTTTTTTTGGGGGGGTGGCTTTTTTAAATGAGTAGGTTGAATAATCCATTTAAAAATGCATGGGTTGATCCTGATAAGATCATTTTAAATGGACAGTAATTTAACTCTAGAATATGGATAGGGTTGAAATTTGATTCTGTTCACATCTGAAGGCAAGCTTATCAAATTTGCATTTTCCAAAACCATACTTGAGACAAAACACTGCCTTCCTTCAAAATCTGCACTTTGAGATGCAGTTCTCAAAATATAAAATATGTATACTGGGATAAAACGTGTAAATAAATGTGTATATTAGTGAAGATAACATTCAAAAATGCATTACGTTGGGGGAAATTGCTTTGCAAGGCAACATAAAATAAAAATGTGTATAGTAGAAACACACAGCAAAAGATTGGTAAATTTTCATGAGGGCTTTTTTAAAAAATCCCAAAACAATGTAGAAATATGGAGAACAGAACTTAAGATTGGAAAAATGAGGAACTGGGAGAAATAAAATTGATATATTCACCCATTCCTGCTTTAGAATACATAGCTGGCTCTTTTTTTTTTTCCCATTGAAGAGCATTCCATTCACATTTCTATGTTAATGGAATTTGATTCAGTATGATTTCATCCCCCCTCCCATCAGAAGTATTTGTAGAAAAGTCGACTTGGAATTTTGAAAGGAGAAGCTCTTAAACTGGAAAATTATTCAAGTTGCCTGCCAACCATGGCCTTTTTATGTTGATACAATCTCATATATTTTTTTAGTATTGATCAGGAAAAATATTGGTGAACTGCAACTTTGGGTGCTTCCAGGCTGTTGCTGTCTTTGGGCAGGATCTAATCACATACCATCAAATTCAGGTAGCACACTTGCAATTGATTGGGAGGTCTGGCACAACAAACTCGCTTCCCCCAAAGATCTGATTTTTTGCGATAAGGATCGCGACGGGAACATGCACTGGAAAGTGTGGGAGAAAACTTGCTTGACGTAACAGTATCTAACCTCCCCGCAAACAAGTCAGGACAAGTGCTCACTAAACAGCCAACATTGTCTAACCTCCCTGCAAACAAATCAAATGAATGCTCAATAAACACTGCCCTTCGAAACCTTGGACATAATGCTTTGTTTTATTTTTTTGTTTGGAGGGGCTTGCTTGTGATCTTACTATGTCTTTAGGCTTTGGGGGAAAAGATCAGCGGGAAGCAGTGTTTTTGAACTCAGTTGGGTCACTGGAACTTTCTCGGCACTCCATTCTAATTTGCAGTTTTGCTATAATAAAAGCCCCAGATATATTGCTACTGTCTAGACATTTTATCTGAAACAAGTGTCCTTCGTAATCCCAGAGGACTTTTCTATTTTATTTCCAGTAAATCAAAGTCTGTGAAGAGCTTTGGTTCTTATTAAGACATACCCTTCACAGTCCAGTGATTGCCAACAGTGGCAAACCATTGACAGTTCATTTACATATAAGTGATGACTTCCATCAGGTAGTTGGCTCAAAAAACTACAATGGACACTCAGAGAGCATATCCAATATTTCTTGCTCTTTGATGAGGATCAAGTGCCAATTTATTTATAGAAAAGTGACTATTGAAAGGTAAAGGCTTTCCTTTACTGACCTTACACAGTCTTTTTGCAGATTTGGGGAATATATTGTTAAAGCGCTTGATGCAAGTTAGTTTGTTTTGAAAAGCACACAGAACAACTTTGAGATCAAAAGGCACCAGAAAGGCTGTAAAATTTCTCGGGCAAAAAACACTGACACATTTATTTGATGTTAGACGCTGCCATACAGAATACAGAAAGACAAAAACAAAAGAACAGTGCCTATTATGATCCAAACAAATAATCATGGGATTTTTTAATTTTAATTTTTTTACACATTAGGTTTCTAAATCCTACTGAAATTGTTTCAAACTGTATAGGAATCTAGTGTATAGTATGGGCTCAAGAGTGATGTTTCTGTTATCTTCTGTCTACATCTGATAATTTAAAGATGAAATGCTTTCCATTGTATACTGGGAATTTTCATCAGAGGAAACTGAAGTTTGTTTACAATCCAGTATCTTTATAATCAAATTGATGATGCCATTTATTACAACTGGGCACGAATTGCATCCTATGTTAGACACTGTTCTCTGTTACAGCAGCAGCTTGGTTTGCTTCCTGTTCTTTCGTCTTCCTTTCTCGCATTGATGCAGCTACTAAAGCTCCAGCAACTCGAATATCAGCTGCCTTTAATATTGGATGTCCACCCACTGTAACACAAAATCAATAGATTTATTGGTATATTAAGAGCATACAAATGAAGATCCATCTCAATTGAGGACAATGCGGACAAAGGTTACTGTGGTGTGTTGTTTTGAGTTTGTGGGTGCCAAACTCGCATTTGATCCCTGGATCCAGCAAGCCTTAAAAGCTAGTCAAACCAGCCTATTCCTTCCTGAAGCCCTGGATCCAATAAATATAAAATATAAGCCAAGCTGGCTTCCTCTTGAGGTGATGGGCCATTAAGAGCACAAAGGGGGTTACAGATGTAGATACATTCTGTATAAACTCATTCCAAATGTTGTCATATTTATCCAAACAAAGTCTATGTCTGTAAGAAGTCCATTCAAAAGTTGTGAGTGTTGCCATATTGTTGATCCATTGATTATCTTTATTCTTCCAATTCATCAGTATCAGTCTCTTGGCCACTTTACCTTCTTGACAATCCTGTGAGGACAGGTTTACTCTCCCAACGTAATCCAGTGAGTTTGCTGGCTGGGCAGGGATTAAAACTCTGGTCTCCCAGGTCCTAGCCTAACCCACAACCCACTATGCCACCACTAGCCCTGTGTGTGTGTGTGTGTGTGTGTGTGTGTGTGTGTGTGTGTGTGAGAGAGAGAGAGAGAGAGAGAGAGAGAGAGTATACAAATTTTAGTCCCCATAGTCAATGTAAGATGCATCTTAAAGTAACTTGTTATCCTTGATTTTTCCATGAGCTATTTTGAATATAACTTTTTAGGAAACTTGAGAAAGCAAATGATGCAGCAGAAAAGCTGACAACTAGAGGGCAGGAGAGATTCTCCAGACATAGAAAACTAGTGAGCCCATGTTGTGACAGCAAACTCTAAATAATAAAAATTGACCTGAGTCGAGCAGAGCAAAAACCATGCACAAGCACAGTTGGAACAGAAAGAGAGTTTGGTTGTCCTCATTTCAAATGCTTCAGGAATACTTCTCCCATGAAGATGTAAAGCAGAAGAGGAAGTCATAGAACCATTCTACAACCATTTAAATGTGGCTATCCACCAGAAAAGGAAATATTCCATCTAACTGCTAAAAGGCCAGACATCCTTTATCTTGGTGAGGAAGTAATCATCTCAGCAGAAATGAAGATGTAGCAACATAAAACTGCAGCTTTCAGAAACTGAGCGTCCAAATATTGTGAGTGGCTATGAATATGTTCCCCCTGTACATTCTTGCTGATGATAAAGCTCTCAAACAAAAGCAAATTTGTGGATATGTAAGTCTGCAGTCAATTTGTTCTTCACAAAAAGAAAATTGTGAAGTAAAATTGCAGATATGTCCAGATGGTTGTGATTTACCAGTACAGTTGAAGTGTCATTTTAAGGTCATCCTAGGAATGCACACTGTGTTAAGGCTCTGAAGTGAAACTAATGTGGTTTGTGGGCCAAAGCAATCAGATTGGTCCTGCAGCAGTACAGAAGAACAAGCCTTGCTTAGGAAGAATCAGCATGGCTTCTGTAAAGGCGGCTGTTTCCTCACTAATCTTTTAGAATTCTTTGATGTGTCATTAAGCATTTAGATTGGGCTAAGAAGATAACATTTGAATTCAAAGACGCAGCAATTTCCCCAATAATATTAAGTGGGATTGGTGCCATTTTACTTTATAAGGAAAGAAACTAGGAGGATGCACCATTTTAAAATATTTTTGATAAGAATGGCATGGGAAAGTGAATAAGGAATATTCAGTGTTCAGTACTTCAAAACAATCTTCTTCTTCTTCTTTGGAGATCTTCGTAGCCTAGTAAGATTGTCTTCCATAAAACACAGTTTTAACAATGAGTCTGTAAGTGACTGTGGAGGCCAATTCTGGAACCACACGTCCTTCAAAACACTACACCACAACCATCCAATGAGACTGATTAAACATACAAAATAGAAGCATTTCTTCATGCAATACATTAATAATATGGTTGACACGCCTCCCCCCCCCCCCGGTTGCTGTGATAGGCAATAGGTTAGATGGGTTTAAAAAGGAACGACACATTTATGCACGAGGGGTCTAATCAGTGCAGATTCATCAAGATATCTAAAAAATGGAACCTTCACATTCTGGAGCAACCCCCCCCCCCCCGTTTAGCAGATGCTGTTATTATATCTGATTTGCAAATTTCCAGGGACGTTTGTTTGAAGAGTGTCATGGGGTAAAGTGCTGGACTATGTGGGATCTTGGCCCAAGCTAGCAGTTTTCTAACACAAAAAAAGTCTCTGTAAAAAGCACCCTAAGCCAAAGGGGGAAGCTAGAAACCAGAATGATGAAAGAATAAAGGAAAGGAAACAGATGGAAGACATAACTGGAAGAAGCCACAGACTGAAAAACCTCTTTTGGCAGTATGTGTGGAAAACCTAACAGAACTGCATAAAAGATTCTAGTTACAATTATGAAGTTATAATCTGTTACCACCTTCTAGTCTCTCTTTTTTAGAGAGAGAGAGAGAGAGAGAGAGAGAGAGAGAGAGAGAGAGAGAGAGACTTGAGATATGTAAGAAGCAAAATTTACTTTGTGAAGAAATTAGTTAAAATTCTTACCAGGTATTTAGGGTTTGATGCAAGAATACAATTTAGGTATTTAGGGTTTGATGCAAGAATACAAAGACGTTTCAATTTCTAAGTGGGATTCACATACTAAGCTGTTTTTCCAATGAAGTGGAAAACAGCTTGCTGTAAGTCCTGAATAGGATCTAAAGATCAATTTTCAACAACAACAAAAAGGGGGTCCAATCTTTTCCCCAAACTCTTCCCCTCAAAATTAAGGCAGAAAATGTGCTAGCAGCAGTAGGAGAAAGAGAGGATTCCCCTCTCTTACACCAATATTCTTCCTACACCAGGGCCAGTCCAGTACGCATGCTGCCCTTCATGCCTTTCCTGGTGGCCCTCAACAATATTTGATGCTCTCCCCAAAAATTTTTGATGCCTTCCCAAAGCCGGGTAAGCAAGGCGCTGGTCTTTGGCAAGGAGGCGTGAGGACTTTGACAGGATCCTAAAGTCCACCCACCTCCTTCTCAAAGCCTAGGTAATGGGTGAGTGCTGGTGAGGCGTCAAATTTTGGCCTTGCTTCCCACACACCATGCACAACAGGGCAGTGTGCGGCCTTCGGGTTCTCTGTCAAAGACTCCATTAGCCAATTCCCCACTTTGAACTCTTGGATGCCATTGGCGTATACATATGCCCACTGCTTATAACAGCCTCTACTCACAGAGGCTGCAAAACTATTTCTGTACAGCTTTGGACCAAGATATCTGAAAGATTGTCTCTTCCCCTTATATATACAACAGGTCACTGTTCTCTGAGAAAACAATTCTCTAGCAGATATCAATGTAGGATTCAGGCCTTCGGTGTTGTGGCACCTCCCCTTTGGTATTCCTTCCCTTTTAATATGAAACTGGAGCCATCTCTTTGGTCTTTTTGATGCCTACAGAAGACCTTCCTCTTTCTACAAGCCTGTCAAGTGGAGATATTTCCAAATCTGCATCTGGTTTGCAATTGATTTTTAATTGTTTTATCAATTGTTATGTGTGGCCCTGGGCTTCTTGGGGAAGAAAGGCAGGATATAAAATAAATCTATAAAGATCCTCTTTCCAGATCCCAAGAGAACCATCTACAATAGCTATTCCCTCACCCCGTCTCCAGTGCAGAGGGCATCCATTGACTGCTCCTCTCTCACCAGCTCTCCTAGGTGAGCCTCACTTCCACAACACACCATGGCAATTCCACATACATCATTTGTGTGTGTGTAGGTGTACATGCCAACCTAGCAGTTCGAAAGCACGTCAAAGTGCAAGTAGATAAATAGGTACCGCTCCAGCGGGAAGGTAAACGGCATTTCCGTGTGCTGCTCTGGTTCGCCAGAAGCAGCTCAGTCATGCTGGCCACATGACCCGGAAGCTGTACGCCGGCTCCCTCGGCCAATAAAGCGAGATGAGCACCGCAACCCCAGAGTTGGCCACGACTGGACCTAATGGTCAGGGGTCCCTTTACCCTTTACCTTTAGGTGTACATTTATCTATAGTGTTATTATATGGTTTCGTCACTAGATGGCACTGGACTTAGTTTATCTGCTAGAATCAGAAGTTGCTATTCTGTTCTTGCTTAAGAGAGGCAATCACGAAATGTATATATTTCACCTGAAGATCACAGGGTGGTTTACAACATAAAACGTGCAGCTAATGTATATCCTTAGCCTTCTGTGACACGGGGTATGTAAGCCCATGAGATGGTTGAGATGCCTTGGAACTTCTGCTGGGATTTACACACTCAGTTTTCAATGCCAGGTACTGTCTATCTTCTTCTTCTTCTTGGTTGGTTGGTTGGTTGGTTGGTTGTTGGTTTGCTTGCTTGCTTGATTTATATTCCACCCTTCATCAACAGATCTCAGGGTGGTTCACAAGATAAAGGCACAAATAAAGAGAAACAACAAAGCAATAACCTACCACCCACCTCCGGGACACAAGGCAGGCACCACCAAACGCTTAGGGTTTCTTGCATATGGCAGGTGTGATCAAACTCCCTTCTCAATGTGTTAGCAAAGTCACTTAAATAACAAAGAAAGAGTCCAGACACACGTCTCTAATATTGTCTCCTCCACTGTGGTGAGATATATTGCAGTATTATTTAAACCACATCCACTTTTGTGACAATCCATAACTAGCCACCCCATTTGGGAAGAGTGAGTTGATCCTTAAGCTAAAAAAAGTAGCTGTTTTATATAGTTGAAAAGGTAATCCATTTGAAAATGTATTAATGAAAAAATGCTAAAATGCTATTAATCTTAATAGGATATCTACAAGGAAATTCAACGCTTAGTAAGGACACAACACAGCATTTAGAATGTATTAGCAAGAGGAGAAAAAAAGTAAAGACTTGTTATTCTTTAAGCAACTCAAATGCAAGATACGATCTCTATTTATTAAGAAATAAGGTGATAGGTTGTGTAGCACTAATTAGCAAATAATTTGGAACAGAATAGCAAGGCATGACTTTGGCTCCAGTGCAGTTCTTATGCCAAAGTATCTTGTATATATTATCACTTGTTCTAGCACAAAGTCAACAAAAAAATTAGGCCATTTCAGGCATGCATACATAAATACACTAATTTTTGTATGCCTCTTCTTTCTATATTTTCCCAATGAGAAACTTTGCCATTGAGTAAATGTGTCTCCCATATGTTGAGTGTTGCATCTCCCATTTTCGTCTGTTTCCCCAATGATAAACTTTAGCACTGAGTAGATCATAAATTCTATGTCAGCCTTTTTTAAAAAAAATCAAATGATATTTCTGGATCTCTGGATAAGAGTTTGAAGCTGTGATGTTGGTGGCCATTTTTTAACCACCTTCACATTTTGAGATTTTTGGGTGGCGCACGGGACATGGGTGGCGCTGTGGGTTAAACCACAGAGTCTAGGACTTGCCAATCAGAAGGTCGGCAGTTCGAATCCCCGTGACGGGGTGAGCTCCCGTTGCTCAGTCCCTGCTCCTGCCAGCCTAGCAGTTCGAAAGCACATCAAAGTGCAAGTAGATAAATAGGTACCGCTCTGGCGGGAAGGTAAATGGCGTTTCCGTGCGCTGCTCTGGTTCGCCAGAAGCGGCTTAGTCATGCTGGCCACATGACCCGGAAGCTGTACACTGGCTCCCTCGGCCAGTAAAGCGAGATGAGCACCGCAACCCCACAGTCATCCATGACTGGACCTAATGGCCAGGGGTCCCTTTACCTTTACCTAATTTATTACTATATAGTTTTGGGTGCTAAAATTCTGGTGCAATCCAATAGGAAGTACAGCAAATGAAAGAACATGGCTAATCTCTACGGACAAGTTTGCACATAACTCTGAAGTACTGAGGCCTTCTGTCCATCCTGCAAAGCTACCCTAGTTCCAGTAGTTTGTACTGCCTTGACATCTGCCAAGCAGCTAACCAATAATTTCTTTCCAGCCCTATTCTTTTGGCCATTCTGTGGCTCAGGCTGATCCCAAGCTGGTATCCACATCCCCGGGAACAAAGGAGATTCAGAAGGGTGGTGAGCATCATAACCTACTGTACCAGAAGAACATGCAAAGACTACTTGCTGACCCAAACCATTTATTAACAGGCGTTATCCAAACCTATATAAAGCATGTTTCAAAGACAACTTTCAATTGCCAAAAGAGAGAGCATGCAATTAGTATTTGAAATAATTGTGATTACATTTTGTGCTAATATTAGCATGGGGGGGGGGAGAACAACAATCTCAAATGGCATTATTATCAAGGCACTCAGCTGGTGACACAAAGCAGGGGAGGGCTGATCTTGATTGTTTCTTACATTATGATGCTCTGCACAAACAGAAACCCTTATATAAATGTAAAGTGCATCAGAATTAGTATTTATATGGCGGCATTGATAAGAATTTCATGCTTCCTTTGGGGTGTCTTGTCGTAACAGAAACAAACTACTGCAATATTTGCAGTGAGCATCCATTAACACAAACTTTCTAATGAGTCTCTCTGGCTGTATATGCTGACAAAAGGAAGATTACTTTCTCCTTTCAGTGATTATAAATCTTCCCGTAAAGTTTTAGACTGTAATGTTCTTAATGAAGAAAATGTGTCTATTTTGATCCAAGGAATTCAAAATGACAATCAGCCATTCACAATGTTGTCATTTAGACTTTGTCAACACTGGAATTAAAGTCTCCAAAGCCTTTCGTGTGAATTTGTGGCCATGGTATGATAAAAATGTTACGACTGAAAGTTATGACTTTTAAAATTTCAGTTATAGCATGTTTATCATACCAAGTGCATGAATCCACATATAAAGCACTAGAAGCCTTGTACATGGAGTTGTTTGGGAATTCTACAAAACAACAACAAAAATCAGTGCAGTTTTGAAATCAGTGGTTAAAATCAGTGCTTTGAAAGTGTCAGCTTGTAATCTTGTTTCAAAATGTAGAGACTTTAATTCCCTGAGCTTCCCACAGCTTCTGTATGCAAATCACACAACCCACAGATCGATTCATACCTGGAATCTGGAGTCACAGCCCAGAAAATAGTTTAACTGCTACAGAAATAAGTCAAACTATTTGCCCAGCCCCCACAACCACCCTCCGGATGGTTTGAACTGCTATCATCTCCAACCACTGATCACACTGTTTGCAGCTAATTGGAGTTCTGGTCCAAAATATCTGGAGAAGGCTGAGCTAAGCTAATACTATCTTCTCTGACTGGCAGCACCTCTCCAAGGCTCAGGCAGACTTCTCTCCTAGGAATACTGTACAAGTGACTGAACCTAAGACCTTCTGCACAAACCATGTGCTGTACTAATGAGCTACAGGTGCTTCCATATACTAGGACCCCATTTCCCCCCAAGAAAGCTTGGCGGGGGAGTTAAGGGAGGGGGAATAATGAATTATGAAAAATGCTAAGGGAAACTCACCCATCATTAATACTGACTGGATCTATTCTTTCTTAAGCCTCCTAGTAATTTGGTGGCGCTGTTGGGGCTGCATGGGAACTAACAAATGTGTGCTGTAACACTGGAATCTGATATATTTTTTAAAGGGAAAAAATGAAACAAAACAAGCTGTTTCCTGTGCAAAATCTGTGGTGCCAGCAAGAGAATCAACAGTGTTAATTACCTATATAAAAATTAAATTTCCTTGGGCAAACACAATTGCTAAGGAACGGTGGCAACAGCAAGATCACAGGGCTATTTTTATAAGATGGCTATATGATTAACAGACCATTTCCCAGCCCAAGGAACTGGAAACTTAGCAAGAGGCTGGTTTGTTTGGACACAGCATTTTTTCAAGCTTTAAAACAGAGCTGCTTTCCAGCTCCCCTTCTTTTGGATTAAATTCCACCATTTTGAAGAGTCCAAGGATCACCATGCCTTAGTCCAGTTGGGGAATGAAAATAAAAATGATAAAGTCATTCATGAGCTTACAATACAGCTCCTCTGAGCTATCTTCTTTTTCACTCAGAAAAACTTTCTTGTAAATGTAATTCATTCCATTTGCTTAGCAACAGCTGCAGTTTTTATTACTGTAACAGAAAAATATCACATGTAGCCTTGAAAAGCAGAGTGACAGGGACTCTGGCATATATTCTGCCACACATACATATTAATGTAAATGGTCTGCCATTGCTATTTTTTGTAACTCACCTTTTAAAACACTGTATAGTTCAGCTTGTAATGACAGAACATTTCCCATTCAACCCATGCAGGAACAAATACCATACCATGCCACAGATTTTATCATTATGAATTTCAACATTTAAAAAGAAGTTAGTGTAAATTTATTTAGTTAGGCCTCCATTACTGATTAAAAGCCCTGTTAGTTATACAAAATAGTTTGTATGAACCTTCAAAATCTGCAGGACAGGCAAGGTGATCTTTATTGTTTGCTCTTCCTATGTATCTATCTATACACAATTCAAGAGAGGTAAATGCCCAGTAGACAAACTTGCATGTTATTTATTTAAAAAACAAACAAAATGGAATGCACTAATATACTGAAAAGTATATAATTTTCTGATCATGATAATGTTGAAATTAATCTCTGGCAAAGCTGTAAGATCCTTAGGAAAGAACAAGGGAGAGATAACAACTGAAAATGGGAGGCATTGGTATTCTCCATGGTACCACAAATGTAACATGCATTTCACTTTGAGGAATATACAAGGTTATTTGCATGCTTCCGTCTCAGAAAGAGGGAAGAGGCAAGGATGTCGCAGTATTATATTTATAGATGTGTTTATCAGGTGCAAGGAACCCAGCAACTTTTTCTCTTCAGATATATAGGCTATCATTATATAGCCCTGCAGTAAATACTAAATATATTTCCAAGCTCAAATTAAACGGCAGTTCCATCAAATGAATAGCAGAGTGGTGGAAATCAATCTTATCAGTTGTTTTTCTGTTCCAAAGACTACAAGAATGAATCACAGATTTGACATTCCTAAATTTATTGAATTGACTGCAATTTTGAAGCTGTTCTTCTGTCTGATTAGTCAGGAAACAGTTGTCTCAGAAGGGGGAGAGACATACTACTCTTATTTCACCAGAATCATAATGGCATACTTTCACAAATGAATATGTTTTTCTCAGTGCTTGAAAAAAATAGAAAATACTAATTTATTTATTTTTAAAGTCTCAGGATTGCTGGTAGTTCTGAAATTTGATTTAGTGGTTGTTCTTGCCCCGCTCACTTCATCACTGAGGAGATATCAGGTTCAGACCTCTGGTGCCCTTATGTTTCTCTGGACCAGGATGTTTGTCTAGCTTTTGCCAGTATTGATGGAGAGTTTCATCAGTCCTTTGTTTTCATGTAATGCATGCCGGTTCCGATTGTTAGAATCACAAATGAAAGATTTGGGTGTAAGAGTGCGGATCTATACACCTGGACTCTGATCCAGCACATTTTGGCAGAAATTGAAGAAGTGTTCAGCAGTGGCAGAGCAAGCCTCTCGTGCACCTCGGGCAGCGCGAACCACCCATAGGGGCGGCATGGGGTGCACGGTGCCCATAGGGAGGGATGGGATAGGGCGTCCCGCCTGCTGCCTCCCCCCCCCCAGCTATAGGGTGGCTGAGGCCCTGAAGTGCAACCCATCCCAGGACGGGATTGGCGGTGCCCTTAGGGAGGGACGGGGTGCCTGGCCTCAGCTGCCCTACCGCTGGGGGGGAGGAAGTGCCACCATTTTGTCACCCCCATCAAGGTGACACCTGGGGCGAACCGCTCCCCCCTTTCTACGTCCCTGGTGTTCAGGATAGGTGGCTCTGGGTTGGGTATTTTCAACCTTTAACACCTTGCCCAGGGGCCCACTCAAATCAAATTTGGTTCAGAACCAATCTGAAACAAGCAGCTTCCCATTCTAAGCAACACACACCACATTAGCTCCTCAAAGAACAACGGCACTTCTAGCATGTCTGTTTTTGCCAACTCCATAAAAAAACCTCTCAGGGCTCTGTCTCTGCCCAAATTCAAACTGCAAAACTACCTTCTTTTTTCTGCTGTTTAGTAATGTTAATATTAAGGGTATTTCCCCTATCAAGATTACCTATATCTCGAGGGAAGGTGGGTTTAGGCTGTTAGCCTCTAGCGCCCATTTTTAGTATTCATAAAAGTGACCTCTAACACATTCTTAGCAACTGCCTTCCCTCCTTTCCAGCAATCCACTGGAAATAGGATAACAAAGGAAAGTAATGAATTATTCTGTTTAGGTAATCCCCTTCTTAAAGTTGTATTAATTTTAATAAAAGTATAATGTTGAATCTGGGATGTCGAACATCGTTGCATTTGCTAAGATGTTTTAAAAGCTAAATTTGATTTAGGGGAAAGCTCTACAATGCTTAGTTTATGATGTTTAATTCATTTCTAGAAAAATAGCTCAATTATTTTTCTAATCTTATTATAACTTTACTTCTCTCTCCCAGCAAGATAATCAATATTTGTCTTCACAAGTCATTCTCAACAAAGAAATCCAGGAACTAAAGGAATTCATATTCTTCCCTTAAAACTACCTCTGAGATTGGCATTGCAGGATTCCGCTTTGAGTTTGCCTCAAAGACTGATTACCGGAGCAAATCTGATAAATGTATGGCTGCAACATGGTTTTTATGGTTTATAGTGAAAATCATTAACAACCAAATGCCATATGTAATTGACAAGGAAATCCACATACTGTATTACAAATAAAAAATAAATTTAAACAGAAATGCCACCGTATACAGCAGAATAAATATACAAGCAGTATCTTCAGCACGATAGAAACAAGACATAATTCTGAGTGTATGCAACTGACAAACACACTGAAATCAGAATAGGGCTTTATAAGCAGCAGCTTCATGTTTGCTCCTCATCATTTCCCTCATAATACCTGTCAAATTGCTCCTCCACTCTCCCAAGTGGCAATCAATGAATAGTAACCAGGCAAAAATCTCACACAGTTATATTCAGAGTTCCTGTAAGAGAAACTCCAGTCAGGGGACACTGCGGACAGAAGAAGAGTAGGAGGCCATTTTTTTACTGAGACCATTTTCCCCTCCCCCTCCAGGTGCCTGAGCCTTCCCAAAGCCTGCTCTGGAGAGTGGTGGGACCTTGCAGAACAGTGTGGTAGGTGGTACAGCAGGCTTCAAGAGGAAAAGGGAGACCAGAAAAAAAATCCCCTCCCTTCTCCAGTAGGAATGTCCACAGGAGCTCAGTCCCTTCTGCAAATGGGAGGAGCCCTTTTATACGGACAAGGGCAATTCTGGATTCCACCCACAGTGTAATGATAATGCAACACTAGTTTTGTAATACTGGATATTCAGAGGAAGAGAAAACACAGTTCTTGCAATGTCTAATCCCTGTCTGAGACTTGCATTTCAAGTAATCAGACCAAATGCTCTCTCTGTAAATACAAAATAGAAATCTGTAAATAAAATCCAATTGTTGGTTGCACACACAAGTGATGAAAGTTTACTGAAGTCATCAGAGCAGATTCAAGAAACATAAAAAGAAAGTCTGGAACTTGTGCCAGTGTTTTTTAAGTATCAAGAGTGGATCATATAACAAATGTCCAGTGCTATCTTTCCAAAAATGTTTACAGGGAGAGCAGCTGCTGTGCTACAGAAAGACTTTCTTTAATAGACTAATCTCTTTTCAAGGCAACTCCTGCAGTTTTCTTGTCAACTAGTTTAATAACCACTGTAACTCAAAAAGATACACTATCCAGTCATCTAGGGTGGAATTATCTATAACTACTTTCTGAAGACAACCTTGCTGTCCACAAACAGTGTTAGTAAAAGCCCACCAGGCCAAGTTTAAGGGTGCGAGAGAAAGCAGCGAAGGTTCATGACTCTTGTTTTGAGAGACAAAAGACTATAAGAAGAGGCCTGTCAGATCAGGCCAGTCGTCCATCTAGTCCACAATCCTGTTCTCACAATGAAAGACCTTTTCTTAGTTCCTTCCCTCCCTATATTGGAGCATTAGAATTCACTTCAAAGCGTCAATTTGACAGCAGTAAAATCATTTTTATTTTGTCATGACAAAATAATGGTACAGACACGCGTTGCCCGATGTCTGCCCGCCCTCTCTGGGCTTGCCAGCCCTTTTTATACCCTCTGGGACGGATAATCATTTGATTTCTGAGAAAACATGTGATTTACGGGAAATGGTATAGAATTTAGCTTTTGTTTCTCCATATTTGGACTTCCTTGTTTCACGTATGTCCAGTCCCTCCCTCTGGGGTTACAATAACATCCATTCAACCTTGCTCTTTATCTTTTACCCGCCCAAGCCAGACATTCCTGAGATAGGCCTATTTTCACTGTAACATCTAAGCAAGAAAAAGCCTTGTTCTTCTGGCTGGTGAAAAACCTCCCCCCTTTGGAAAAACCTATGAGAGAGGAGAAAATGCCTTAAACAGTTTTTGGGATCATATAGAGAACAATATTCTAATGGCCCCTTCAACAATGGCCAACTTGATGCCTATGGGAAGAAAGGGTTCTCCCCTCCACTTCCACTAATGCTGCTTCCCCCAACCTGGTACACTCCAGATTTAGAGAACAACTCTGATAAGCTCAACCAGCATAGTCAATGTTCAGGAAAGGAGGGGGCTCTAGTTAGCAATATCTGGAGGGCACTAAGTTGGGGGAGGCTTTTCTAATGTTTGTAACATTGCTACAACAAGTGGTCTCAAGGGGTCTGGGATCTGTTGTTTTCCCAAAATGCCTGCCATCCATAATAAGACTTACAATGGGAGCCAGAGAACTACTGGGAGGAATTGCTGTCATTTCAGAATCTGTATTCCAAAGTGGGAAACTATGCAGTTCAGAAGCATCCCTAATGAGGAATTTGCTTCAAATAAAGCTCATTTTATAATTTTAATTGTGGGGGCAGCATTCTTTGTTTAAATTATGTAAAGAAAATGCAGCAAAACACTTCCAGCAAATTAGTTGCACCTGAGGTACTATAATACCTATCTCCTCCCAGTATTAACCCATATCGCACGACAAACTTGTAACTGCTATATCATCACTCTTATGAAAAGAAATACAAACATTAAATTAATGGAATGAGGTGGAAGAAAATATATAGTGCAGTCCTAGTTTAGAATGCCTTTAACATGAAATTAAATTGTAAGGCTGTGACGGAAGCACCTCCATGAGTGAGGAGCCACTACTGAGAAAGGCCTGTCACAGGTCAACACCAGCCATGCAGCTCTTAATGCGGGCTGCCTGAGTTTATTATGATACTGCTATTCTCTGTCATTTTCTCTGAACTGTAGGCCCAGTCACGAAATTAAAAGATGCCTGCTTCTTGGGAGAAAAGCAATGACAAACCTAGACAGCATCCTAAAAAGCAGAGACATCACCTTGCCAACAAAGGTCCATATAGTTAAAGCTATGGTTTTCCCAGTAGTGATGTATGGAAGTGAGAGCTGGACCATAAAGAAGGCTGATCGCTGAAGAATTGATGCTTTTGAATTATGGTGCTGGAGGAGACTCTTGAGAGTCCCATGGACTGCAAGAAGATCAAACCTCTCCATTCTTAAGGAAATCAGCCCTGAGTGCTCACTGGAAGGATAGATCGTGAAGCTGAGACTCCAATACTTTGGCCACCTCATGAGAAGAGAAGACTCCCTGGAAAAGAACCTGATGTTGGGAAAGATGGAGGGCACAAGGAGAAGGGGACGACAGAGGATGAGATGGTTGAACAGTGTTCTCGAAGCTACCAGTATGAGTTTGACCAAACTGCAGGAGGCAGTGGAAGACAGGAGTGCCTGGTGTGCTCTAGTGCATGGGGTCACGAAGAGTCGGACACGACTAAACGACTAAACAACAACATAGTTTCCAAGCATTCTTCAAAATGCAGTGCAATCAAGGACACCTTGCAAAAGCCCAACATGGATTGACATGTTAGCAAAGAATGTGTGATAAAGGCCAGATCTCCATACAAGGGTGCATACTTACTGAAAAGTTGAGGGGAGGGTCCTTTAAAAAAACCACAAACAACAACAACCTTTCATTGCTTTAATTATTGTCATTTTACATTGCTTTCTTGTGAGATGCTTTGTGGGTTCGGAAAGTGGCACAGAAATACTTGCATAAAACAATAAGTAACTCACCCATTGCATGTTTTAGACCACCAAAACATATTGCAAAGGAATTAGGGTTTTGCTGCACTACAAAGCATGACCTGTACACAGGTGACTAGCCACCACAGTGACATGCTCTTTTTGTGCCCTGGCTGCCTTCTAAAATCCAGCTTTATGCATCATACATGGAAGGTGTGGAGATCTTCAGAACAAATGCTCTTCTGCATGATTCCCTCTTACTGTGAAAATTTAAAAGTTTGCCCCAACTCCTTTGCTAACTGAATTTCAAATATTTATAAAGATATACTATCCTTTAAACAAATTCAAGAAACTGCTTGTCCCCTTATGTCTCCAGGAAGTGATTTTGCTGAAAAGCCTGTAAAATACTAACTGCATCTAAACAGACTACATCAATTTCTAATCAAAACAGAGGTATGAATACAGATATACATACAACACTACTAGAAAAACCTTTGACTATTCAGAGCCTGATTTTATATATAAAATCTTACCTAAATATTTGTAACCATCTTCCCCATCGACTATTGGCTTCAGCCAGGTTGACCTGGGAGCAGCTGCAGTTATAAGCTTGAGACCACGAGGTGGATACAACATGAAGGTCATTTCAACTGCTTGAGACTTACTGATGCTCTTTATTTTTGAATCAGCACCTGAAAAGTGTAAAGGGCTACTTTGTGAAAGCAGTATTTTCAGAGTGTTCAAAGCATAATTAATTTTTAAAACGCACTGACGCAATAGATGGCATCAGCTGTTAGCTACACGGGTTTGAAAATGGGAGTAGCATAAAAGGTTAGGCATGTTCATGGAGAATAGGTCAAGGAATACCTAACTCTTAGTCCTGACTGGCTACAAGGATATTCCATATCCTATGGAAGCTACCAGTATGAGTTTGACCAAACTGCGGGAGGCAGTGGAAGACAGGAGTGCCTGGTGTGCTCTGGTGCATGGGGTCACGAAGAGTCGGACACGACTAAACGACTAAACAACAACATAGTTTCCAAGCATATAGGGTCGTATCTAACATAGTACTATGTGAACATTCCATCAATACAAGGATTTCCTCTTGCTCAGTGGCATTTTTTGCTCCCTCTCCTCCTGTTGCACATTTCCTAAATCTGTTCTATGAGCATTTCCCCAGTGCTCTGGACAAGATTGAGGGTGGGATGCAGAGCATGCAGTAGAGAAGGAGATGGGGGAAAGTTCTGTTGAAACAAGCAAAACCCCTTGCACTGATGGCAGTTGGATACCACCCTTCGATTTAAGGCTCCCAATACTAGCTGCTAGGGAGAAATAGCAGAAGGGAGCTATTGCCATTTTGTTTATTTGCAAAACTAAATGTGTGGTTCTCCTTCTATGTGCTTGGCATGGCAGTAATTCAGGAACTAGTTGGGATGATGGCGACAGAGGCATCACTGACACCCAAAATCACATCCTCAAATTCCAGCATTGATGGCACTAAACTTGCATCTCAGGCAGAGGAGATTTTGTTTATACCACTTTTTGCAGTTCAAAAGCTGCTCAGAGCAGACACAGCTAGTTCTAAACAGCAACTAACAACAATTACATGCAATAGTTATTTTTTTTTAAATAACAACAACCCCACAATAATACTGCAGTAAGAAGACAGGATGAAGGGCAACAAAATTTGTATTGTCCTGTGGAAGCAAGAAAATAATTAGCCTGGGCCTTATAAAAAGCTAAATATAAATTATATAGATAAATAAATATAGCTTATTTAAAAGAGCAGAAGATGTTTTAAGGGTCAGAGCTGGGATAAAGTCTGTTATTTAAAGTTTGTAGCTGATGTGTGAGTTGAATAGACAGGCTCTAGTGCTTGCTGAAATAATACGTTTTTCTGAGGTTCATGTTCACTGCTTAGTGTGTTTGCCACTAATGGTCAGTAGCAGTTTTGTTCTTCTAATGGGTGTCTCCTCGGTTGCATGGGGCTTCAGACAGAGTGTGTGTTCACAGTGGAGATAATGGCTTGTAAAATGTAAAAGCACTGAGGTTTTAAACTTTTTTTGAGTAAAACCTTGACCATCTGTTAATGAACATTCCATGTGTTTCCATAGTTTGACAGCATGTATAACAATTTATTTCCCTGATTTGCATTTTTAGATTTCCTCAATGCACTTTTCTTTACATATTATATGGTTTGGTGGTTTCAAGAGGCGATAACAATGTTGTCCAATTATTGTTATTCTTATCTTCTTCTTTTTTAAATGATATTTATTGAGAATTTTAAGGTTACAAAGAAATAAGAAGGAAAAAACAAGAGAAAGAAAAAAGGAAAGAAAAAAGTAGATAAAAGTAACAATTAAACAATACAAATTAATAAAAACCAATGTCAAAAAGAAAAAACAAAACACACAATACATCAAAAGCAAAAAGCAAAAATAAACAAAAAATTTAAAAACAAATCCAATATTCCCAAATCCTTAACTGTCATTACCTTATTTCATCGACCTCCTCACACCTCCCTTCTTTGTATTCTAGTTATTAATTATCTCAGCAAATCCTTTCCATCTTTCACAATATTCTGTCATTAAATTACCTCAATCTATTTTAACCTTATCTTACCATAAAAAATCCTAAAACTTAAAACTTAAATCTTATTTATACCAAATTCTCCTAACTATTACATATTCTTACATAATTCTTTTTAACATTTCTGCTAAAGCCCAATAATTTCATTCCAACATTTTTCTAATACTCATTAATTTTACAATACTTTCTAAATGAATTTTTAAAACTTTCTTCCAATCTTCATCCATCGTCTCTTCTTCCTGGTCTCGGGTTTTGTCAGTCCTTTCTATCCCATCCATCTAGTCCATCAACCTGGTGACCTTATGTCCGAGGCTCTTAAGTCTCTTCCATGTCCCTTCCGCAGGTCTTCTTCATATTTATACCTGTACTTTACTTTGTCTTCTGCTCCTTTCACTCGGGGAGATCCAGCTTGACAATATTTTTGTCCCTTCTCGACAAGTCGGCCCCTTTTCCATAGTCAACACTGAAATCCACGTGGTATTTGAAGGCATGTTTCAAGGCCCCTCCAAAGTTAAAGGCCCCCACAACTCCGAGCTCCCCCCAGCCCAAAGCCAGACTTGAAAGGTCAAATAAAAATAAAAATCAAAACATCCCTGCATAGGGGGGTCCATCCAGCCCCCCATATCCAAGCCAAACAGAACTCCATCTCTCCAAATCTGACTTTTTCCAGGTTCATTCGTCAAATCCAACAACTCATGTTCCTGCTGGGCCACAGCTCCCTCCATCTCTGCCACCCAAGGTCCAGCAACAACCTCCTCCATCTCATCTGTCAAAGCACATTCCTGGATTAATTCCTGAGTGGGTTCTATATAGTTACCCACTGCCTGTCCAAAATTTCCGATCGCAACAGTCATCAAATCCATCTTCTCATGTAACTGTTCCAATAAAGCACTTGTCTTGCAAAAGGCAAGCACCAGAGCCTCCGAGTACATATTGTTATTCTTATCTTTGTTTATAGCGCCTGGTGAAGGAGTTTCAACTAACTCTGCAATGTGTGAGCCAAACAAGCACCCCATTACATTAAGCACCAGAACCTGTCTGCTCTCTAGTCTACTGACCCTGGTGCTTTTCCCATCTTCCTGCTCGCCTCCATCCCCATCTGTGAGCCAGAAATCATGGCTAAGTGTCAGCAGCAGATAGCGAGGTAAACTGAGGCAGGACATTCTGTAACTGTGATTTCTACCCCTCGCATTAGGCCAGAAACTATTTTTCATGGAATAGGATGCTCCTAACTGTGGCGTACATACGGAGCCCCCGGTTATTTCACAGACTATTGACCCGTACACCACTAATCCGCTGCCACCGACCAGGTTCTCCCTGGTAAATCACTTAGTCTCAGTCAGGTTGTCAAGTTAACAATGAAGATTGTATTTTATTGCAAACACAAATAAACTTTAAAGCATTCGAAACACTGTTACCCTCTTAGTCTTATTTTATCCTGTCTCTAACTCTTCTACCTCCCCTCACACAAGAATCAACTGCACTAACTGTCTCTCTATTTCCATCTGTCTGCCAACTGCTTTCCCAGCTGCTTTTTCCAACTGTCTAAACCTCTGACTAAGCCTTTTAAAAACAGGTAGGCTCCGCCTCTGGCTTTTCTATTGGTCTACCTATTAACTCTTTCTCTCCTCCCGTACAGACATTTCCAAAAGAACGGGCAAACGCCACACCGACCCTCACATTTGCATCATAGACAATTTTCAGAGGAGGGGAAGGTGTCATTGCATGTAAACTAGTGGGATGCAATGACGAAGTTGAGAAGCTGCGTCACCACCCTTACTATTGTGCAGATTACAGGGGATTAAAATATACACCAGCAATACCCCATTGCTGCTTTGTACATCCGGCGCTCACTGTACCATAAGACAGAGAAGCAGACAGCAGTGAGGTGTTGAAGGACAGTGTTACGTGAACTATGTGACCTGCCCTGGGCCCCCTAACACAGCTTGCTGTCCTTAGGCAGATGTCTCATCATGACTGATGGAGTAAGATTTACCTGCTACTCCAGTCTGTCTGTGGAATGGGGCGCCATTTTGTTCCCTGCTTCAAACATCAAAATACATTGGGCCAACCCTAAATACATCAAGTAGTAAAAGGATTTTTGGCCGTTCTACTATGACTAATCAGAATTGCCTTAGGAATAATTTCCAGAGACAATTTGGGCAGATCCAACCATACATTTAAAACACATCCATCCCACATTTAAAACACACAACTTTCCCCAAAGAAGCTAGGGGAACACATAGCTACAGTTCCCAGCACCATTACTAAAAGACTGTTCCCAGGATTCTCTGGTGAAAGTCATGTGCATTAAATGTGGGATGGATGTGTTTTAAATGTAGGGTGTGGATCTGCCCTAAATGTGCCATGCCATGCAATCAGCTCTGTTCATGAATATGAACTTCGGACTTACCCTTTCCTTCTCAGATTCCTTCTCTGTTTTAACAAAACTAAGCTGTTTTTGAATTTATGACAAAAGTTTTGGTCTCAATTGGTAGTCAAACTAGTTTTAAGAACTCCCAAATATAAACTTTGAAAATTTGTTATCACTAAAACAGAGGGTTCATTTACTTCGACATGAAAAAAGTGAATGTCATGCATTTTTGTCATGTCATTTTTATTGAACACTTCTGTTCATTAGTAATAAAAATTATAAACAGAGCAATTCATTCATCAAAGTGAAAAATTTTGTGCTCGTATACCAAGAAAAGGGGAGCCAAAATAGACTGTCCTAATTCCTAAATTAATGGAGCATCTGTTGCTTGGTTACAATGTTTTCTACTTAAGCAGGGATATAATAACTGCAAGTGTATTAATGAAGACTCAGAAGGTCAGCATTAACAGCTGAAAGGTGAAAATGCTAGCAACAAAAAAAATTCAAATGCAGGTCAGCAAGGGGTTGTGATTTAAGAAAATAAATAAAAAGTTAGAACTTCCAATTTGGAAATGCCATTCATGAAGCCCTATTCTTCTGTCACAATATAATCCCCTTTACGATCCTGTAACAGAAGGGAAGGGATGATATAGCAATATGTGAGCATGTTATGCAATAGCTGCTCCTCCCAAACTCTGTGAAGTGTCAGTGAAGCTGCTGTAACTTCATAGCATTGCAGTTTGGGCTGAACTGAATAACTGAACGGCTCCTCTACCACCTGAGGAACCTCTAGCTCATAGGCCTAATTAGGTGGCAGGAGGTGTTCTTATTTGGACCATGAGTACATTTTCTGCAACCCACACTCTTCCGCCCCACACCAGACATCACATATAGGAGACTTATAATGTACTCTCATTTTTTTTCTTGGCAAGTGGGGATTATATTTGGTGTCTTTTAAATCTGGTGTTGATTGCAAGACCTGCTGGGATTGGTTCCCACTCAGGAGGGTTTGATGACCATGTGCCAAGTGTCATGAGTCTCATGGAGAGGTCGTTGGGTGGGGGAGTAGTTAGATCCTGAGGAAGAACTGTAGGAGATTGGGGAGTTACAGCTGGACCACCTTAGGAAGGGTCCTAGCAGGGTACAAGAAGTGAACTCGGGACCCCAAGAAGCATCTGAGCCTGGAGAGGGAGACAGCAGTCCAGTGGGCAGAGAGCTGGACCCAAGGGAGTGACCAAGTGGGTTGGCAGAGGAGTGGCCATCCAAATGACATTAAGCCTCAATGCTATGGAGCCACCTTAGGTACTTCCTCCTTTCAATAAGGAGCTCCCACCTTTTGAGATGCAGAGAGAAACCAGGAGAGAATGTGGTGGCTAGAGGGCAGTATATGGAATAACACCCTGTAAGTCTTGGATGGAAGTAAGTGGGCCACCTCTGTAATGTTAAAAATGGTTGCCTCCCCTCTGCAGAACATCAAGCACAAGATATATTTTCCCATACAGTACTAGTGGAAGGAAGGTGTTATCTGTCCCATAGGATCAGCCTTTTTATTTTCTAAGCAATGGGATAAGATAGATGTGGGTGAGCGATATTGGAAAATCAATTTTTTTTTAATTATATTTTTAAAAATTGGCATTGTTATAATGAGGCTGTTATTGGAACGATATTGGAAAATCAAAAAAATATATTCAGTAAAGATAGCTGTGGGTGACCTGCATGTGGAGAGTTTTAAATTCTGTTGAAATTAATAGAAGTAATACATTACTATTTCGACCCATGTTCCCAATCACGTGTGTGTGTGTGTGTATGTGTTCCTATTGCAGCTAATCAATGCAATAATCAATCCAATCCAGTGATCAATTTTCAACTCTCTCTCCAAACCACATGAACTTTGAGTTTTGAGTAAAAACTGAATTACCTGGCCATGCTTGAGTAAGTCATGTGATAGTCACAAGAAAATAGACAAAATTCAGTGGGAATTTAATTATAGGTTCTAATATCTAGGAGCAGCCGTACTACCAAAATCACTAGCTAAAATTCTGAAACTACTAAAGCACAGCTAAGAGTCCTGGGGTGGGGGTAGGAAGATAAATAATATAATCTATCTGAAATAAGCCCAAAACAGAATGAAAATGCACAAACTGCCTGATCTATTACACTATAAAGCAGTATATAGGAATCATGATGAAAGATAGTTTACACATGAACTAAAGCTTACCAGAAGGGGGAAAATGCTTTTCTAAAGGCCCAGTCTGACAACTCTGTCTCCACATGACAGCCAGGAATTTATATTCATGTTAATGTCGGAAGTCTTTCAAAATAAATTGTGGTGATTCCTCTTGCAAACAGGAGCCCCAATCCAAAGCACCATAGCGAAGATGACATACTCAAAGATTTTTGCTTAGCTAAAATCCCACTGATTAGCTAATCCTAGTTACATAATCCATAATAATATTTTGTCCTCCCCAAAATCATGACTGCTAAGTCATTTCTACAGCTGTGAGCAAATGGCGTCTCATAATTCTTCATGTCATTTGTGGACATGAAGAATATGCACCTAAACATTTGGTTATAGCAAACATAAGAGCAAATCAAGAAAATCTCCCACAAATGTTAATTCTGTGGCCAGGGCAGCTGTTTACCAGCTCCATCTGGTACGCAGCCTGAGACCCTACCTGCCTGCGGACTGTCTTGCCAGAGTGGTGCATGCTCTAGTTATCTTCCGCTTGGACTACTGCAATTCATTCTACGTGGGGCTACCTTTGAAGGTGACTCGGAAACTGAAATTAATACAGCTAGAATGGTGACTGGGAGCGGCGGCTGAGACCATATAACACTGGTCCTGAGAGATCTGCATTGGCTCCCAGTACATTTCCGAGCACAATTCAAAGTATTGGTGCTGACCTTTAAAGCCCTAAACGGCCTCGGTCCTGTATACCTGAAGGAGAGTCTCCACCCCCATCGTTCAGCCCAGACACTGAGGTCCAGTGCTGAGGGCCTTCTGGCGGTTCCCTCGCTGCCAGAAGTGAGGTTACAGGGAACCAGGCAGAGGGCTTTCTCGGTAGTGGCACCTGCCCTGTGGAACGCCCTCCCAGCAGATGTCAAGGCAATAAACAACTATTTTACTTTTAAACGACAACTGAAGGAATTTAGGGAAATTTTTAATATTCGGTTGGAAGCCACCTAGAGTGGCTGGGGAAACCCAGCCAGATGGGTGGGGTATAAATAATAAATTATTATTATTATTATTAGTATTAGTATTAGTATTAGTATTATTTAAATGCACAATCCATAACACATGAACAAATAAACACTAAGTCAACAAAATGGCGGGAAGTATTTAGAGAGCATTCTGAAAAATGAATTCCTTTGGTGGGTGAGGAAAAAAGAAAAATGTCAGGGGGAAAGTGCCTTCTAGGAAATTTCAGCTCAGCTGTAGATTTCTCTAAAAATTTCTCAATGGTTCTCCCCTCACCCTTGTCTCATGGGATGTATAACCAAATAAGTTCGAAGGCATTACTGTCAAGGCTCCTGGCTGACTGCTGGTTAATAGCACTGAATAGTCAGCTGACAGGAGCTAATTGTTAGCTAGGAAACAGAAATTGGTCCAAGTGACAACTCTGCAGCTGAGGAAGGAGCAGGTGTAAATGTGTGCATTTACATAGAGAGGGAATGCTGTGAGTTGGCTGAAGACACCTTGAGAGTGCAGGTCCTCTATGTATGTTCTAATTGTACATGTTCAAATAAACTGAATATTAAAGAACATGCCAGTTCCGTCCCTATTTTCCTTACTTTAGAATGACATTGATCATTTGTTATACACAGAAGCTACACATGTTTGATGACTGCAAACTTGGCAATAAATCAAATGACCAAAGTATTCCCCTCCCTTCAGTTGTTTGGACTGCAGCAAAAGATGGATGACATGAGAGTGATTTTCTCATTCTTCTGAAAGCTGTTGCCTAGGACATCTGTTAATCTTCCAATTATGCAAAAGATCATGAGTCTTATGGGGGAGGGGAGAGAGCAAAACGTAGGAAGGGTAAAAGCACAAGAGAATCCATGAATGAATTACCGTACTTAAATCCATGAATGAAGAAGCGGCTATTGCTTCAATTCGAGATAAATGTCAAATAGATGCTGCAGTTCTGCATAAAGATCACAAAGCTTCGTGCATCTCAGTCTTTGAATTAGGGCCTACCCAGGAGCAGCAATTATAATGCTATAGCTGCTCTTTTCTATGAAGCAAAATTGTGGCAGACTAGCCACACAACCAATCACAATGCTGTTTTCTGGAGGCTGTCTGTGCTTCTTCCATCCATGCCAATGGTGAGATGTTTTCAGATTGAAAAATGTTCTGTGCCTTTATTCACACCCCTTCCATTCCTACATTCCACTAACCAGTAAATGCTGGAGTTATGAGTATGTGTACAGGTCACTCACAACCCCTTGGGGGGGGAATGGGGGCAGGCCATATAATATCTGGTATTCTGGAAAGTGGACCCTGAGGGAGATTAGGAGAATAGATAGCAGGAACATTCATTCATTCATTCATTCATTCATTTTAATGTCCTTCATCCAAAGATCACAGGGTGGTTCACAACCTAAAAATACAAAGTGAGAACACAAAATACATAATAAAATGAAAACAAAAATAAATAAAAAACCCTCACACACCCCCACAAACACATTTAAAAGGCTATAGAATGCTAATCAGCCAAAGGCCTGGTTACAGAGGAACGTTCTCGCCTTGTACCTAAAGAACTACTTGAGGTAACTGTGCTGGTCTGAACCATCTGTCATGTTACAGACCACAGTGACAGGCCACCTGTCAAAAAAGACAACATAATGGCTCAAAGTGGATGTCACTCAGCATACGCACCACTCACTCTACCTGCCACACATAAAAGCAGTAAATTGTGCAAAACGATGAACATGTTGCTGAACCAGTCCATATATTTCACAAATGTCAGAATTTCTGTGACAGAAAACAGCACTTTGAATTATGACTGTAATATTCCATAATAGTGTTGGAGTGAAAACGACGCCATGTGGAAGCATCTAGAAAAATCCAGGGGAAGAAAGACAGCAACTATAGTACTGTACTACCAAAGGTATGTATGGAAGGGCCAAAGACCTCCCTATAATAAAGAAATGTATTTAAACCACTGGGATTTTAAACAAAGGCTTGCTGTGCCTCTGGCCTCTTTGGGGCTTCCTCCGCCCCCACTGACATCCTCTTCAGGCTCTGTATAGCTACTATGGGACTGCACACAGATAGTATGTTACTGGAGCTTAGCCAAAGAGAGAGAGAGAGAGAGAGAGAGAGAGAGAGAGAGAGACTCCCAGTTGAAGTCCTACAAAAATATATATATATATATATATATATATATATATATATACACACACACACACACACACACACACACACATATATATATATATATATATATATATATATATATATATATATATTGCTAGCAGTACTGTAGTTGAAATATACAGTGGTACCCGGAGGCCCGTACTTAACCCAAAACTGTTCTTAACTTGAAGGACCACTTTAGCTAATGGGGCCTCCTGCTGCTGCCGCACCGCCGGAGCATGATTTCTGTTCTCATCCTGAAGCAAAGTTCTTAACCTGAAGCACTATTTCTGGGTTAGCAGAGTCTGTAAGCTGAAGCATATGTAACCTGTAGCATATGTAACCTGAGGTACCACTGTATATAAAAATAAAAAATTGTCCGGTAGCACTTTAGAGACCAACTAAGTTTGTTCTTGGTATAAGCTTTTGTGTGCATGCCTTGTATCTGAAGAAGTGTGCATGCACACGAAAGCTTATACCAAGGACAAACTTAGTTGGTCTCTAAATTTTTGGACAATTTTTTATTTTTATATATATTTCAACTGTGTCAGACCAACACCTGAAGCAGTACGATAGGTAACTGGGGAACAGCAGCAGAAAGTAAAGATGATAAAAAGAAAAGGATCAGCTAATGACAGAGAGGTCATGACCATGCAAATGTTTAACATATTATACCTTTGATGACTGATTTACTTTCATTTCCTCTGATTGGCAGACGCAGTAGGTTTCTATGTCTTATGGAAATCAAATATATGCCTAACTACCAGACAGCTGGTCATTTATTTATTTAAACTATTTTACCATCCATTTATGGAAAGTATGAGTATTTTCAGAATCCAAGATTACCATGGGAACGAAAATTTTTGAATCCCTAAGGGTTGAAAAAAAATGGTTATGAAATATGGATGGCTAAGTATCCAAGTCTACAATAGCTCTAGTTTTATGAAAGTGTTGAAAATCGCCTTTTCAATACAGTGTTCTCTCTAACTATATTTGTCACCATGTGTTGTGGTCATGTTAAGCTACAAAAAACCTGAAACAAACTCCACAGAACAACCTGTGAATCATCAGTTCCTTTACTACTACTTCTATAATGCTTATCGAGAAAGAGGACTAATTTCATTTAAGATTTCACGAAAGAAAAGGAGAATGCAATGGAGCTACATGAACTCTGAAGGTGTTGCTTGAGGAAAGACTGAAGAAGCTTTCTGAAGCAAATTGTTGGAAAACAGAAATGTGCATGGGAATCATTCCCTGAATAATTTGGTACTGGGATTCCTAAGAATTTATAAGCTTGGATTTCTCCCCACTAATAAAAGCACTGCTTCTTTTTCTATATAAAAAAAGTTAAGGGGTACTCTCATTTTCCTAATATTGAAATACTGCCCCTCAATGAGGCCAAACTTAGATTCGCAAAATGTTTAAGGGTATGCGTACCCCCAGAAGAAAAGCAATGAATAAAAGTATTTGTGTTCTTAAAAAAGCATAGAATAAAATTACCAGGAAGCTGAGACTTTAGGACTGTGAACCTCTACTTACCTGGGAGTAAGCTCCATTAAATAGGATTCATATGTCTACAAATTATGGGTTCTGTGATATAATAATCATGATATTAGCATTACGCTGACATCCAATACTGTCAGAAACCGCATTACATAAATATTTTCTTTTGCTGGTGGGTTTCGTCTACAGCACACAAAATTTGTTAGTTTCATCATCCAACTAAATGCCATAATTTTTGTAATGATTCTGTAGGAACCATTAACAGACTTCCATTTTGAAACAGTATTTTTGTATTGTTAAATTGCAACAAGGAGAAGACCATGATGGGATGGTCCATAAAACAAAGAAATCTTATAAACAAGAATATAGACTGTTCTGGGTTACTTCTGCTTCATTTTCCTAGCCCACACCTCCACCCACCTAATGGAATATAAGAAGGCCACTGACGGAAAGCAGAGCTCAATCATCTTAACAGTTGGATTCACCATGGCTGTGATCTGATCTATTTTTTCTGCAGCTTAACTTGAGTCGAACATGTCCCACAGAACTGTAATTTCCTTCACTTTGACTGTGTGGGGAAGTAGGATGTTGCACCAATGCATTGCAATTCCTTATTTCATTACATAATAAAATACTTCAAAAGCAGCACTTTTGGAGCTGTTAGGCATTTATTTACCATGGTGGGTTAATCTTGTTCAGGGAGGTATAGAAGCTCAATAATGAGCTCTACAGTATATAAGCTAATTGCAAGGATAAAACCAAATGAATAATTACTTAACTCCAGAATGGGGCCTGAGGGAGTTCTTCTTTAATAAAGGTTTAACTCACCAGTGATAATGAATGCAATCTCACATACTACTGAATAACACTATTAGCATAATGGCTGAGATACAAGGACTATAATTAGAACTTAACAGAAATGTTAATTACCCACCAGTAGGGTACTGAATGGAAAGGGAATTTTTTATCCCTACCCATAAAATGGACTTGTAGGAGACTAGTTTAATTATTCATGCCTTCATTTACCTATTCCCCAAACCAGAAGATTAGCAGGTAAAATAGCTTCTAGGTTATTTTTCCAAATAGAAAAACCAATAAAAACTTCATTTTTAAAAATAAAGTTGAATTTTTGGTTTTAGGTACTGGAGAGCTGGAGGCCAAGAGTAGGGGTCTATATTAGTGGGTACCAAATTTCATTTTTAAAAAAATGTATCAAAAATTACACCAGATTGCAAGTCAACCATTCAAATTTACTAATTTATCAATTGTTTCAGGACTAAAAGAATGGAAGTATTGTATTGTCTGCTGTGACTGAGGCTGTGTAAGTAAGCAAATAATTGCCCATAGAATTAAAGTTATAGAAAATAAGTAGATGACTAGAAGCTCACAAATATATTGGTGAATCAATACTTGAGGGCACATGCCAAGAGGGATCTCACTAAATTTGAATTAATGTTGTAGAATGAGGTTGCCTCGGGAAAGGGATAAGTTTCTGCTGCATAGAGGGAATTACTGAATTTATCAACCAGATACCTCACAGGTCTTAAAACTCTGGAAAACATATTTCAGTATTACCATACTGGACAGTAAATGGAATAACATGTACTGTAGTATTCTAAGCCATATAAATCTATGTTTGAATGTATAACAGAATATTCACAGGTGGCATCACATATTGACACAGTTGCCCTTTGTAATATCTAAGGCAGCACCATTATGATTCCATATGAACTGACCTGGACCTCCAGTCATCATTTGGTGCCCTTCTTTATGAAGGGCAGCAACACAAGAAGTTCTTTTCTGTGGTGACTCCCTGCTTGTCAAAGGCTCTCCCCAGGGAGAGAATATCTTTAGGATAGGGTTACCAGACGTCGCCGTTTCCCGGGACAATCCCCGGATTTGCGAATAAGTCCCCGAACAAATTCTATCCCCGGAATGTCCCCAGATTTCATCTAATGTCCCTGGGAAACGCAGCAGTGGCAGTCTCAGCAGCCTGGAGTAGTTGCCTCTGGCTGGCTTCAGGAGCTACTCAGAAGTCCCCATATGATGGTGGTACAGGTGGGCTTCCAGGCTGCCTCCACCTTCCCTGACCCCAGCAACTAAGCTGTGAAGGGAGGCTTCATGCTGCCTATCAGAGCTTGCATGCAAGAAGGAGGCAGGGATCTCTCAGTTGAGGGATTCCCACCCCCTCCTGCTTGCATGCAAGTAGGAATGGGATTGGGGCTGCTCCGATGCGAAGGGAGGCATCGCGCTGCCCGAGCCTTGCTGCCGCTTCCGCTCTCGGCCCTCCTTCTCCACCTTCCATTTCTAACCCACCGCACACTGCTTCCCCACCACCACCACCGAAGAACCAACAACTCGGGCTGCCCAGGCTCATGGAGAAAGGAGATAGAAGCCTCGGAGGAAGGGGAAACGTGGCGGTTGAGGTCAAGGCGGCAGCCGGTCCTCTGCCACCACCATTGCTGCAGCATCAACGTCCCGAAAATGTAGTATGTATATATGTATGTATGTATAGGGTCTCCGGATTCATTGAAAAAAATCTGGTAACCTTACTTTAGGAGCCAGGGGAAAACATTCCTCTATTCCCAGACCTTTGGCTAAGTAAACTATCTATGACCCTTTAAAATGTGGGGGGAGGGGGGTATTGTTTCCGTTTGTTACTATGGTATTTTTTGGTGTGTTTTTGCATTGTAAACTGCCCTCGGATGAAGGGAAGTCTAGAAATTTAAGATATTGAAGACTTCTGTGCCTATGACACTGCTCATCCCTGAATCTATGGGAGAAACATACTCAACAACTAAATTCCAAAAAACTTATCACATGGCGATTGGTGGCAGCTAGGATGTCTATAGCACAACCATGGAAGATTCTTCAAGGCCTACAAGTATATTTGTGGTATAAAAACCTATGTGGTATGGTGGGGTTTCATTTCTCATGCTGGTACTATTCATCTCATAGACTCTTTGTCACCACTAATATGGGATATATGGCTGTCTTAAAAGCTTTCATTTGCCGGTGTACCCTCATGTTTTCTCACCTCATGGATAGCAAAGAAAGTGATGTAAGGCCCTTTATTCACATTTTTACTAATTTTTGTCTTCTTGTTTGTATTTTGTGCATGATTGCAATAAAACTCTTTTTACAAACCCTGATAACTGTTTCTACTAACAAGCAGACTTCCTAGATATAAAATCATGTTGCAAGTTATCACAGCTAGAATAACTTGCAAATACACCTTGTTATCTAGTTTAGAAACAGGCTTTCACTATATAATTCTTGACCATAATTAGCTGAGTTTCTGTATAAAGAAAGAAACAAGATGTGTCTCCTTAACGTCAGAAGTGGTGGGAAGGATACAGTTAAGTCTGTCTTTTTTTCCCCCCAATAATTTTTATTAAGTTTCCATTTGCCAAATTAAACATATCATACCAATTAGTCCAAATTATATCAATACACATCATAAAGTCCAAATGTTTTCCAAATTAAAAATTTTTTTGTGGGGGGTACCCATGCTCCTCGATCTTCAGGAATCCAAAGATCCAAATTCGTGCTGCTTTCCTTACTGCAATGATGTTTCCAGTCCCATCTTCTCATATTTGTCATTTATTCATTTTCCTTTTCTGTCACCTCCGAGTTTTCTCCACAAGTGGATTAAAAGGAACAGTCTTATTTTGTCTCTGTGTGGGTTTTATAATGCTCTCTCATATGTCCACAAATCCAGCCATCATGTTTTCGAGCAGACACTCCGTCCTGTCATTCTGGTGAAATACAGTCTAAATGTCCACTCGTTTACTTTCCAGACCCGCTGCCTCATAATTAGTCTTCCAGGAGGATAACAGCCCTTTCTGATTCCAGCCTGATATCCAAGCGGCTCTTCCTCCCTAGACCATCCATCTTGCAGCCAAGATCTGCCTATGCATCGAAGCATTTCTTACTGCGTCACTGAGAGAGACTCACTTGTTTCCAAATCTTTCACAGACATATAATTTTTTTCCACACAGTTCATTTTCACTCTCACTTGTAAATTAGTCGTCGAGATGGTTTTTTGAGGGGGAGGGTTATCAGGTACTCACATAAAAATAAAATTAAAAAGTCTTCCCCCCCCCTCGTACCGTCCACATACCAAAATGTCGGCAGTTCTCTGGTGTTATCTCTGTTCCTTTCGTCCTTCGTCCTTCTGTCTCGATCTTCTTCACTCAGTGGTAAATTTATTAGCAGATAAAAGCATTCCTGATTTCTCTTGAAGCATGTGCGTTTATTGGTCCAATTCTTTTCTTCTTTTTAAACATCGCAGCCAGGCTCGCTCCTGAAAGAAGCTGGCAGGGAGCTCCAAGCTTGCCCGAGGGCTTTCCACCTAGTGCCTCTCACCCCCTCCTTCATCCGAACTCGGGGGTGATTTATGGCAACAGCAGGTGAGGCAGCGTCTTTTCCTTCCCTGAAAAGATGAAGGGAGGCTGATGTACTCCCCATATCAGCCTCTAATTACCTCTTGCAAGCTGGACAAGATGTTATTAGCAGCCATCTTTCAAGGTGCCCCTAGTGGCCCCCCTCACAGTTAAGTCTGTCTTAAGTCTTTGGGACATTGGTTCCCAATTCCTTCTCCTCCTCAGTTTTTTTTTACTACTAATACTGCTGTTTATTTATATACCTCTTTTCAGCCTTCTACTTGTCAGTGAACAAGACATGGCCTTCCATTTCAAGGAAAAGGAATTATATGAGCAAAGGCATCTGTGGACCCCATTGTACTTTAGTGAAGGCATGTCCATATCCTTGACACATGTTTTTCTATCTCCATTGCCTTCCAGCTGGCCTCCCCTAACTGTCCTTGAATATTATTATTATTTTCAGGTGCCCTTGACTACAGAGGAGTGCAGGGATCTCTGAGGAGTTAAGTGTCAGATAACACTCATTATCTCTACCAATATTTAACTGTAAACACTTCCTTGAAATAGAATGCAATCTTTAATGTAGCTTTAGAAGGAATAGCATGCATTACGCCATACAAACTCAGCAGTGGGTTGACTTTTTTTCTTTCCGAGCATGGAAGAAACTAAATGTATATATTTGTACAGAAGATGCCACAGGGCAGTTTCAGTATTCTGCAGCATGTTATTTCCTCCCCCGTCCAGTAGACTTCCTACCAGTACAAAATCACAGTGGAAAATAAGATTCAAGCTGCCTCAACCTTTGCCTCCTGCCATCCATTCAGCAATCCAGCTGTTTTAGCTCTTAACCCTCTTTCAAAGAATTTGTGACTCACTGCTTTGGCTATACTGTAACAGAAGTGCTCCAACTGTCGAGGATTTGGATATCTTTTAAAGACTTTCAAGCTTGCTTTTGCTTTGGGGTTTTCTGAGTAACAATGAATAAAATGACCTATTTGATTAGCTTGCAAGTTCATGTAAATATAACATAGCCCTTGGGAGTTTTGAAATCATTTTTCAACTAAGCAAGGTAATATTTTTTTTTTTTACATGTAATTGTCTTTCAGAATGAATACACTTTTTTAACCTCACAAAAAACCCCAACCCACTAGACAATGAGCGATATCCAACCAAGTCAGAGTACACCCATTGATTTAGATATTGCTAATTATGCTATATGGCTGAAAGAACATGTTAAATTAACAGCCCACTTATTCAGAATTAAGCCCTGGTATATTCAATAGGGCTTATTCCCCAAGAACTAAGTTTAAATGTTCAACTGGAGCCATTGTATCCAAACTGTTATTTGTATAAAATTGACAGATAATATAGCAAACTATTAGCAGGGATGAAAGAGTGGATACATAAAAAAAATACCATAAGACTTTCACCACTTCTTTCATTTTCATAGATTCTTTAGTCATGAACCACTATGCATGAGTGTTCACAAATGCGTGTTCAACTTGTACACGATACACTGGAATTAGCAGCAGTGGTTGGTGTGGTGGAGCAGAGCCACAGAGTTGCCCTCCTGACACTGGGGAGTAACCTTCAATCTACCTGGATGAGAATGGGGCTGAGCACAGTTGTGGTGAGGTTGGGGCTACACAGAGCCAACCTGGTGCACCCACTAGTACATTCGTACAGCGCTAATCTCACTGCTGCCCTGTCCCATTTAGGTGAGACACTGCCACACTGGTGTCAGGAGTGTGACCCTGAGGCTCTGCCCATCTGCATCAGCCATAACAGCCATAACTGAGCATTAGTGTAAACTGCCCAATAGTCTTGAACAGTGTTTGGGACTTGCACAGGAGTGCAGTGTGGAGCTGCAGCAGATTAGATTATGTCCTATCCTTAGAGCCATTGGTATAGTCTTAAAAAGGCAGCACCTTCCATTTAGATCAGACCTTTTTGACTAAGCAGGCCAGGTCCCCACCCCACCTGTCCCCACCCCTTTTGGGCCAATTTTAACAGATGGACAGGACAACCTACCTGCCAATCTCCTGGCAGATGATTGACTGGTGGGTTGTCCCAACCCCCTGTCAAAGTCCCTTGTGCAGCACCTTCTAAGAGCTTCAATGCCAGCAGGCTGACAGGTGTTTGGGAAATACAAGGAGCATTGCAACATGCTTAGCACAGGACTAGCAAGACTGCTCTGTAGCGATTGACTGCACTATTGACAATTATTAAGAACTGGTCAGCTGTTGCTGTTTTTGCTATATTTGTTGACTTGTAATGGATTACATTTATTGCATTGTTATTTTTCGGTTGTAAGACACCCTGGAATGATTTTATAAAGGTCAGAATAAAAATGTTTTAAATAAATAAATACATAAAGTTGATTCACAAGATCTGCTGTTGAAGATGCTGTGCACCTTTATACCCTTGTTAGAGCGTGATCAGATTTTGATAATGCACATAATGAAGATAATTTTGTATTCTTGAAGTGCTTTTCTCACTGCAAGTGCAACAACTGGCGTGTGTTATTTCTCTTGCAGTAACTTGCATCCATACAAGTGTATGCACGGCTCTGTTACAATACAGAGCACATATTTACTGACTAGTTGAATCTACAGTAAAAACTGAGAGACACAGCAAGATTTAAGATCCAGCTAATTATCATTTGGTTGCAGGTGACTAATAGCCTACTTCAGTAATCCACCACTGCATGCGCACACAAAAGTGCTACTGAAGGTTCCTTCATGAAAATAATCCTTATTTCTTTTCCAAGTTCACAGCTGTGTACACTGCAGGCAGCAACTAATGAAACACTTAAAATGTCTGTCTCTTCATACTCCAAAAGCTTATGAAGCTATGAGCCACGTGGAAGGTCCAATTCTTCCTTTCTTGCTGAAGATAAAAAATTGTTCCCTTCTCCTCCACTTTCAGGATTTGGAAACAACCATACTACAGTGTCTTTTGCATTCTCCCTTTCCAAAGATAACTTAGAATTGATCGCGGTAATATCTGTGGCAGTAACCTTGCTTTTCTTGTAGGTCCACACTTTATGTTGCTCCAGATGCAATCCATTACCTTTTCACTGTCATCCACACAGTAAAGGACTCGCTCATGCTACACTGAGATGAAGCAGCGTTTCATAAGGGCACTCTAGGCTATCTCTTTCCATTTGGGGAAACAGAAGGAATCACCAATGATGGGCTGTTCATTGCCCATTTAATGCCATCCCACAGGCAATGCTCGTAACTACATTGTCAATGGATTTTTTCTTGTCTAATAAAATTGGATTTAGCAGAAAACAACGACCAGCAGATATGAGCCTTACAGCAATCAGCAAGGGCACTCCCAGACACCAATCTCTTGCCTGCCTGCCTGCCTGCCTGCCTGAAGCAGAAGTGGCAGATCATAAGCTTTGTAGAGGCAGTACCATGGCACACTCCTTAGTGTGCATGTTTTTCTAGTGGCTGCCTCCTGCACCTCCTGTTTTATCCTACAGCATGGAAAAAAGAATTGCAGAAAGCACTCATGTCCTCAGTTGTGCCAACACAGAGATTTCCCATCAGGGATGGTGGAACAGCTCAGCCCGGCTATCTAAGGGACCCTACTGGCTTCTCAAGTCACTTGATTCCCCAAGGGCAGAAAGATACACTATCCCCCCTAACACCTGCAAAGATCCAGCCAGCTGTTCCCTTTGCTTACAGAGTAATATAGTGGTAGCAGCAGTAAGGTGCCTGGATGCTGACACTGGAGTTCCTGTTTCAAGATCCCCAGTTCCTCGCCTGATAATCTGTAAGCAAAAGTTTAATTCAAAAAAATCCTTTATTCTACCCTCTAAGTTAAACATCTTTCCCTCTGTCATAAGCAGAGTAAGTGCTAAGTAGACGTGGGAGGCTCAGGTCACAGAGAATTTCCTCGCCGGCAATAATATGACAGGAGATGGCAAAGGTCAATCTTTATCCGAGTGATGTTACATGCTCAGTCTACACACAGGGCCCCAGCTGTCAGAACACAGAATGGTAGACTAGAGGTGCTTAGAAGCATTCAGCCAGCTTTCATTCCTTTAGAGCACTCTCATTTGTGTGTAATACAGACACACACACACACACACACACACACACACACACACATTATTGTAAACCTGAGGAGAAGGACAGTTGTTTTTTAGTGCCGTGTAAGTCACTCAGAGTGTTTTAAAGGACAAGCCACACAGCATATACTGTGTATGTTGAGCATGTTGCAATCAGGCATACTCTTTTTCTTTACTAAGCAGTTTAGAAAAACTAATAATTTATTTCTGAATAACTTCTGAATAGTATTGTTTTTTCCGCAAAAGCAAAATTCTGCTTAAAGACGTGTAATACACTACTAAGCTACTAAGTTATATATTGTCCTAATCCCTTCGTTGCATCTAATGGAACAAGCAAACCATTGAGGTGTTGGCACTGCTATGCACTATAAACTGGTATAAAGCATTTGCTATGATCCACCAAGGAAGAACCATGTGTTTATGCCAATCTGGCAATGGAAAATTTATGCTGTGCCCCACTTCCCTTAACCATAACCTCTTACATTTCTCCCATGAAAATAGGGACATCCCATTCCATAATGATAATTTTACTATTTATACCCCACACATCTTATTGGGTTGCCCCAGTACTCTGACCAGCTTCCAACATATGTAAAAACATAATAAAACATTAAACATAAAAAAACCTTCCCTATACAGGATTGCCTTCAGACAGTTCGGGGGTTGGATAACTCCATACCCTCCAACATTTCTCCAATGAAAATAGGAACATTCTAAGGAAAAGTGGGACACTCTGGGATCAAATCAGAAACTGTGATGGCACTTAGAGGGTTTGCCTAAACATGAGCTTATTTTGCTTAATGGTAAATCCCGCCCTATTGCCCTCCCAAAGCAACTTGCTGGAGGGGAGGGGATGTTACATGAGACAAAGTACCTGGACTGGAATTGGGCTACAGCCTTTAATATTATGCTTTTTCCATTAGGTTTCTCAGCACCATTGCTGATAACTCAAGACTTTGAAAAAACATGTTATAATTCAAAAGGCTATGGATAGGGTTGCTAACTTTTTTCTTTTGACAGTGCTCCAGCGCAGTGCCCTTAATAGCAGTTTGGCATATAGAGACATTTCCTCATCAGTCCAGCTCCAAGCCTTCAAAAGTTTCACCCGCTAAATTTCTACAGGTCAGACAACTGTGAAAGGTATAGGAGTTGTGCCAAAAGAGGAAGATGACTCAAGCTGTGGCTGTTGCCCAGCAAGAGGAACTGGCATCCATTTTTCTCAAATAAATTATCTCCCTAATATAGTTTGCTTAAGGGAGCCATTCACTTAGAAAGAATTTTGGGTACAAAGTTCTATATAGTAGTTATGAAGATCTACATTTTGGCTTGTCTCTAGGAAAGATAAAGTAAGAGAATGTTTATCTGGCTGTTTAATTATTTTCCCCAAGGAGCTTCAAGCATGCCCTTTCCACCATAAGTATAATACATATTCCACTCTGTAGACTATAATACAAACTCTGTAGAGAGGTCCAAGCTGCATAATTATCCCCTCACAAGAAAAGAGAGAATAAACATGTATATTGGGCTTCCACACATACAGCCCTCTGTGTGCATGAGAATCACACATTTGAATGTATAAGCACCTGCATAGGGATCCACATTCAAACTAACATTTCAAAGAAAGCAATGCAATGCAAGTAGGTATCATCCACTCTCACATGTATTGGATGCATATTTTTATATTTATCTAATTTATGCTGGTGATACTTGGATGCTTGATGCACATAGATCAGGGGTCAGCAAACCTTTTCAGCAGGGGGCCGGTCCACTGTCCCTAAGACCTTGTGGTGGGTCCTTGTGGGGGGCTGGACTATATTTTTTTTGGGGGGGGGAATGAATGACTTCCTATGCCCCACAAATAACCCAGAGATGCATTTTAAATAAAAGGACACATTCTACTCATGTAAAAACACGCTGATTCCCGGACCGTCCGTGGGCCGGATCCAGCCCCTGGGCCTTAATTTGCCTACCCATGACATAGATGCTTGATTAAGCACACAGGTCTCCTTAGAAGGATCAGGCATTTGTTTTGTTTTTAAGAATTAAGTTGCTGTAGCTTCAGTTTAAAAGGAAAGACTCACTGCCATTACCTCAGAAAAAGTACATAGTCACGTTCTCTAATATACAATGCTGAAATCCGTCCTAGACTTACCTTACGAGCATTGTGTCAAGGGCAGGAGTGAGTGAATAACTTGGGTGGCTATTGATTTTAGGTATAGATGGAAAGTTATCCGACAGCACTTTTGTACTTTTATGGAGAACCATGAAACAATCCTGCCTATCGACAGGATTTGCTTAAATGATTAAAAAAAAATAATCTAGTGAAATACAAGTGGGATTTTAAAAAGCCACATTTACCCATTCAGTTATAATAAAAGATGCAATGTTTCCCAGTAGAACCTGTGGAATAATTAAACTAATTTTCCAAAATTATTCTAGTGTATTCAATTACATATTTTAATTACTTTAGAAAAAACAACTCGCAATGTTAATGAAGGAGACAGTAGTAGGAATCATGGTAGAGGACAGGTTTCCTGTTCATGCATTCCAAAAGCCTTATTAGAAAATGTAAATCAAATATTTGATGAATACTAAGAGCCTTTGGGATGCTACAATTAACATTACCGTTGTGACACCAGGAATCAGGTTGAAATATAACTGAAGTCAGTTAAGGTAAGTGGATTTCAGTGCCAAAGGGAACATTAGCTCTTTTAAAGAGGCCCCCCAGAGATTTGCCTGGCATTAAAAAAACATTTTAACTACACAGAAATTGTGATGTAAACCAACCAAGGCTGCTAGAAATTCAAGTTAAAGCTCATCTATGGCCTTTGAAGCTATGGCTGGAAACAATAAAGCATAACTGTGTTAAAACATTCCCAAAGAAGCAGAAGAACACTTGATTTGAATTCCCTTTGTCCAAATAATAATTTACCCAACCTTTTTAAAAGAGAAAACAAGAATGGCTTTGCGCTGGTATCATTGGATATCAACAATACAGGTAAAATTTTATACTTTGAGGACTGCAATCCTATGAACACTTGGGTAACTTATCTGTGAATAAACATGAACAGGATTGGGCTGCATGGCTCATGAATTTCACCCAAAGACTTAAGTGCATGTGGCTAAAGTAACATTATTTTTGTTGGAACCATGCATTTTTATATTAATATTTTAAGCCACTTGCCCATCAAAAGATGAAGATGGAGATCAGAAATCCAACTTAAAAACAATATTCATATAAAGAGTAAACAAGACCAACCAGCAAAAAAAGAAACACAGCAACAAAAATTTGAGCGGAAAACCAGGGGAACAAACAAACAAAAACATCCTGATCTATAAACCTGACAAATCAAAATTGTTTCCAAGGAACATTTAAAATGCTTGTCATTGGGGGCCATTTGGAATTCTAAGCAGAGAAAGTTGCATAGCCTAAGTGCCACCACCAAAACCTGTCTCATGCCCAAAACCACTCTGATCAGAAGTAAATGGAGAGCTCCGGAATCTACAACAACCAGTCACAGAAATTTCTCTGCCTCCCCCGTGCTGCTGTTTGTTTGTTTGTTTGTTTGTTTGTTTGTTTGTTTGTTTTCTTTTAATTTATGGCGAGCTTGGAGGTGCTGGCCTGAAAAAGTAAAAAACAAAAACACACTTTCAGAGCTCCAAGGCACTTCCAAAACTTTGGGAGGTGGGGGAGGTCTATATTGCGGATCACTATGAATATTTCTTTCAATGTGGCCCGGTGAAGCAGTACTATTTACCTTAAATTTGTGCCTTGTCTAAAGCTTTTGCACAGCCCCAGTAGCTATCATCCCTCCATGCCCTTTTCAGCAGAAACCTTTTCAAAACAGCAAATGGTGATGAATATTTAAAGATGATTTTTTTAAAAAAAAAAAAAGAAAACTTTGAAAAATGTTTTGATATTTATATCCCACCCTTCAACACATTATCAGGACAGATTACATGGTCAAGGAACTGAAAAACACACACAGAGAACACATTCGCAAATCAAAATTCCAAAAATTTGGGGAGAAATTAGGATGAGGAGTATTTTGGATGCATTCCTAAAGGGTCTTGCATGTCCTCTCTGCCCCAGTCAGATATTTGTTACAGTCAACTGACCAGCAATACAGAATCCAAACAGAAGACGCCTGTCACACCTTTTTCCTTGATCAGATCTTGTTAAGAAGTTTGTGGATTTTCCTGTCTGTTGCTATGCAGCCCCTTCCCTCGAAAGCTGCAAGGCATATCATTCATGATTGCTATGGGAGAGCAATTTTCACATGGCTTTGTGTGTGAAGGGGGTTACTGTCAATCTTCCTCAAGTTACTCTTCCTGAGTTACTTTTTCCAATGCAGTCTTACTGTCTTTTGTGAATATTTGCTTATTTACACATTTATGGGCTTGGAAGGGACACATGAAAAACAACTGGCTGAATAGGTAGCTTGTTTGTTTCCAAACACAATTCAATTTATTGGTTATGACGTTTAAAGACCTATAGGATTTGGGACCAGGATATCTAATAGGCCACCTTTTGCCACACAAAACTGCCGATCACACTCTAGACTCAAGATGGTGTGTTCAGGCAGCTTATAGCAAACCATGATCTCCATCAGCCAGGTAGCATTATTTGAGGTGAGGGTGGGGAACAGAATATAGTATTTCCCCCATCTACCTTCATCATGTTAGGAGTTCAGCCTACACTTGAGTAGGACCCTGGTAGAGTCACATGCCCGACTGGCATGTTCTCTCCCTCCTGGTCGATCGTTTGGGAGCTTCAAAAGCTTTCTTCTGCCCGAACATCACAGCGACCGATGTCAACAGACACCGGCACACTTAGGGATCTGCAGAGTCTTCGCAACTTGCGTGACAGACCTCAGCAACTCAGCATTTTGGCTAATCTACATATAAACACACATGGAGCACTGCAACATGGCTCCCTCCCTCTCTCTTTAACATCAGACAGCAAAGAGAAAAAACAAAGGACAATAGTCCCACTTCATGGAACACAGTAACACAAACATCCTGTGTCCATCACTTCCCACTCTGTGGAGTCAAAACATAAACCGTCATGTGATAGACAACAATCCCATGACTGCAATCATGGAGCAGGAATTCTAACATCCTCCCCCAATTCATGATCTGTGTTGCAGTCATCAGTGTAACTGCAACAACCATACAGATGTCATACACACAGTATACCCCTGTAGCACCTGTTCCACCCTTGGAACTACCTGCAACTGATTTAGCCTTGGGCCTCACCATCTTGCACTTCTGACTAGTCTTGGCATCATAGCTCTTATCCACTGCTCTTAAGGTAAAGCCACAAAAATAAGATACAAAAAAAAACTAGAATCCCTGGAAGATTAAGGTGGCTTGTCCTCTGAGGGTTTTTACTAACAGATATGGTTTTATAGAGCGCACAAAGCACTGCACTTAACAATGCATGTGAAAATGTTGCACAGCCACACAACACTCACGACATAGAACATAACATTGCCCACAAAACTACAGGGGAGGGGAATGATAAATAAATAAATCAAATGCTCTCTTTGGTCAGAAACCTCTACACTTATCTCTCTGAAATATAGCAGGCTTCATCCCCTGAGAGGAGGCTACATTGCCTGCAGTTTCCTAAAAATGGGGGGGGGGAGACATTTATTGATGTTCTCATTCTAGTCAATAAAGAAGCCATCCAAGTCTTCAGAAAATGAGGTGCCCTCAGCTTCAAGATGAAGCACAATGTCTGTCAAAGCCTCTGAGGGCAGGGTGACCCGGCTGTCCAAGTGAGTTAGGTTCCAAGCCCATTTTTGTTTTTTATACAGCCCTAACAACTACTGGCTCATTTGAATTACTCAGCAGCATAATGTAGCTTCTAAATATTACTTAAATAAACAAAGTGCACATTCCTTCAACAATTTAAACCCCCCTTTGCCTAAGAACAGCATTCTCTACTGCCTCTGAACAAAAACATCCAGAGAATTTCTTACCTTCTAATACCATTTTCATTGTATTGTTCATTTCAGCCAGGGTTGGGAAAAGGCCACAATCTCTGAAGAATTTAGGTAGCTCATTTCTATCCATCTCTTTCAAGAAGTCTCTCTTGGTAAACATCGTTTCGTAAACTAGAATGTAAAATAATGTATATGTACATTTTTATTAGGTGAGAACTTTAACAAATCTTGAATTTTCTGTATCATTTTAAATCAGATATTTTTAAATTAAATTAACAGTATTTATGAGTAGTATTTTTCAAAATACTAAAGTTAACAGCATAGTTACATTACCTTCTCAAATGCAAAACAAATTATACAAAGCAAAAAATGAGTGGGATAAGGTGCCATCCACACATAGCATGGTATAGGAGTGAAGTATACTGTGGAAAATGGTGTTTCAGGAGCTCTTGCAATTGCAGGTCTTAACCCTCCCATAGACTATAACTCATTGCATAAATGGGAGAGTGGAGGGGTAGAAAACTGGAGAGAGAGAAAATTCTCCTTTCTCATCTTTCATTGATTCCACTGCTGCTCCTATTCCCTACCAATGGACAAGGGAAGGAACAGGGAAGTGCTTTGGAGGGCTGGGGTAGGTGGTGGCTTTGGGGGGCCAGGGAAGTAGAAGAAGCAAGAAGGAGGGTATAGGGGTTCCTCTCTTTTGTTTAGAGGGTTTTTTTCCTCAGGTTTTTTTTTATCTAACTCTGGAGCAGGGAAATTGAAGGTGGAGTTTTTGAACCCTGAAATGTCATATCTAAGTCAGGCTCAGGTGAACTCCCACAATATCCCTAATTAAAAGGAATAGGAAAGCCTGCTTCTTCAGAGCACTCTATGTGTTTGTCAGTGTGAACACAAATTCAAGAACAGGATGCATTTTTTATTTTATTTTATGGATCAGCTTTAGCTCCTCAAAACGATTTTTCTAAAGCTGAGTGGTTCTTATTCAACAGCCATAAGTGCTCAGAGCAAAATAAAATAAATGCATTCTGTTGTTATACAGAATTATCTCCAGATGAGATATAGGTTCAATTATAGTCTTTATGAGCAGACGCTGGAAACTTAGGTCTGACGCCATCTCCATAGGTGAAATCAAACAATGTGAAATCAAACTCTATTTACACTCAGGCCAACAAGGCTGTTAGCTCATCAAAACTGAATGTATAATATTCTTCTTTCATCTCATCTTCAAACTCTGGTGCCTGGTAGACACTTTGTGGAGTTTCAGAGCTTTCAGGACTTTTGAAATGGGACTAGAACTCATTTAAGAAAACATTTGGGACACCATGCATGAAAGCGTTGTATAGGAATGATATGACTACTAGGGGTGGAAGTGAACTGAGTCACCAAGATCTGTTTCTGAAGGCTGTGCATTTCTTCTGGCCATCAAGCAATAGAAGAACAAGCTGAAGGGGAGGAGCCGAAGTGCTCCTTTCTTGTGACTAATCACCTAGGGCACAGCCTGTGGCCACCAAGATCTGCAGGTCCAATAAGAATATAAAGAATTATATAACTGGACCTCTTGTTAATGCTGTTGATTATGAAGCCTGAGACAGTGTAATATAAAAGTGTGTGCCTTGGTAAAAGAACAGTCTTTCTGGATATAATACTTTACATTTTTTTTATCAGTAGTGTGCTTGTTTTATGTAAGTTTTAACAGTGGATTTGTGATATTGCTTTAAAAAGTGGGGGGGGGGGACTTTTAAACTATTTGTGTTTTATAATGGGTAATACCAAACACTCAGGTAGTCCCGGACTTATCTCTCTGTGTCTAAATCTAAAGAGAGCAGAATCGAGTCTGGCCCCCCGTTTCTCCAACAATCCCCTTTGAGTTTTAACGTTCCTGTTAGCAATCCTTTTGCAGTATTTGATTCAGGTGCTACAGGGTTGGCAGTGGCTTCTGACCAAGCTGCCACACTTTCACCTGAGGCATTTAAAGCTGCTCCTACACCTGACTTGGATAATGTTGTCATATATCCATACCTGAGGCAGCTAAATTTGCTCCGTCTAACCCAATTTCTAATAGTGAGGATGGGAACATTTTGGGTAAACTGTGTTACAGACTACAACTCTCTGCCCAGGTAGAGTGCCAGTCCACCTGCTCCCAATAATGTCACAGTGCTGTCAGGCATGGAATGTCCAGAGTGAGAAATCAACTCGTCATTGTCAAAAGTACACTTACAAGTCAGGGGGAGGTATGTCCATCAATCCTACTTCTCTCAGATAGTCCTAGGTGTGCACCTGATGAGGCAGTTGCCACAACAAAGAGGCCCTGCCCCCAAACTTGGCTTGTGTATCCTCCCTATTTGGGCTGCACAAAAGCAGGTGAAGACTCTGCCTCTGTGTAACCTTCTGCTCCTCCCGCTTTAATCCTCTTATGGTCCAGGGAGACAGTGGGGCAGGAGACGTGGGGGCAGGAGGAGGCGGTGCAGAAGCCCTTGACTGTCCACCAGCCTGACTTATCTTTGCTTCCTTCACTCTCCAATCCTGCATGTTCTCCTGCCTCTGCCTCTTCTCTTCTGGCTGTTACAGGTTCCCCTTATTCACTGATCCCTTCTTCCAAGTCAGTCTCCAACCCCACTTCTCCTGGTGCCCGCCCCTCAGTATTCATCCAATCCCTGACAAGTAATATTTCATGCCTTGTCAAGCTATATATTTCTTGCTACTGTTTCTATATAAGACAGAGGGCCTTCTCAGTGGTGGCGCCCGGCCTGTGGAATGCCCTCCCACCAGATGTCAAGGAAATAAACTATCTGACTTTTAGAAGACATCTGAAGGCAGCCATGTTTAGGGAAGTTTTTAATGTTTGAAGTTTTATTCTGTTTAATATTCTTGTTGGGGCCACCCAGAGTGGCTGGGGTAACCCAGCCAGATGGACAGGGTATAAATATTCTATTATTATTATTATTATTATTATTATTTCCATTTTCACTATGTTGATTCCTCCACTATTGCAGTCTGCATTCAGAGAGTGCCGCTCCAGGTCTGTTGGTCTCTCTCTCTCTCTCTCTCTCTCTCTCTCTCTCTCTCTCACACACACACACACACACACACCCCTTGGATATGCATGTACTGATATAAGATATTCAATGGTTAACTTCATCCTTTTTATGTGTAACTGTACCCATTAATATTTTGAAGATGTAGGCAAATTCTAAGAATTGGGCTGGGGGGCAGGGAGGCTTGGTAATCATATCATTAAATAAGAGGTAGCCGCTGGGTTTTATTAATTTTTTTTTTTCATTTCATTTTACAGGACAAGCTTTCTACCAGGATGCTGAGGGTAGCCAACCTGCTCTTTAATACATCAGCAGCCAACTCATATTAAAGGTAACACCAACACCAAATAGAATTTGCCTACACCCACCACATCAAGGACTAACCCAATCATTGGAAAACATACACATACACACAATTCAGAAAATTGTATGAAAATTGCTGGGGTGCAGATTTCAGCCCAGCACTAGATCTCCTCGCTGTCACTAGATATATTCACTGTCAACATAGAATGTTATGGTCACTGCTACTTCAGCTACTTTACTAGTTCCACTGCTTAACTTCAAAGTAATACTTTATATTTATCTATTACCCCCTTTTCAACATTTAGCATCGCTAGTGTGATAGATGCTGCTATATCAAGCATAGACTGTTGCTTTGCCACATTGGCCATATGTTCACTCCATATTCTGTGCTGGAAAATGCCTGCCAAGCGCCTCGTTTTCCTCTGTAGATGGACCTGCCTTTTTCTCAAGCTATCTCACTGTGAATACTCAGATTGAGTGACTTGCCAATTTGCTCCATCGCTTCCTATCGCTTGCCAGTTTGCTCCATCATTTCCTATCTCAGGGTCAATGTAAACATTACAGCCTCCTCATGGAGACTGCCAAGAAGACCTTGGCAGCACTCCACACGGTACACATCATGTTTCAGCATTTGCTAATGCATGTGTCAGGACTGAGTCACATGTAGTTCCTGTGTGCCAGTGCCATTCCTGCCAAGGACATGCCACACTGATATGCAAACGTGGCATGCCCTTGGCACTCAGTAAGTTGCTTTTGCATGCTGTGACCATCACCTTTCATGTGGAAAGACTTTACAGGCAGCTTCCATAGGGGAGATAGAACATTCAGATTGGAGCTGAGCTAGCACAGGACTACAGAAGACTGTGGTGAACCTAGGAATGCTACCAAACAGCAGTGCATAGTAATTTCCAATGAAGAAGCTAAGGGCAAAGTGGATGCTGAATATTTCCTCTACCTGTCACTCCCTATCCCCTCCCTGAGTCCCTTCCCCAAAACTTCCCTCCAGCTGGACTTATTTCCCATTTTGAATACCAGACTGGAGTGGGAGAAGAATATGGAGAAATGAGTTGGGGGGGGGGCAGGGCAGGCAATAAAACAATGGACAGCATTTTCAGCAAAGTTCTTCTGCCCTCTAATGGAAATCACTAAATCCACCCCCGCCCCCTGTGCTTTATTACTGTTTGGTGGTGAACTGCATTGGAAGATATAGGACTCCCACCATCCCATGCAGTTCTAACCATAGAACCTGACAAAACAACACACAGTTGTGCATCTCAGTGCTCAATTAACTAGAAGCTCCTAGTGTTGCCTAAATCAGGGGTAGCCAACATGGTGTCCTCCAGAAGTTGTTGGGACTCTCATCAACCCCAGCCAATATAGCCAGTGGTTGGGGATGATGGGAGTTGTAGTCCAGCAATGTCTGGAGGGCAGCAGGTTGACTACACCAGTCTAAACTGGCCAGCAGGTGCTTCCCAGGGTCTCAGACTGGGTTTTCCCCATCATCTGCTACCTGATCCTTTTAACAGGAAACTTGGGACAGTGTATCTGTGCTCTATACCAGTGAGTTATGGTACCTCCACATAAGAGTCTTATAATGTTAATACATAAGCCTGTATTTCATCTATGGTGGAAAGGTCTTTGAAACAATACTGTAAGGTTTGGAAAGCACAAGAGATGGTTGCATTTTCTGGAATTCTGAAATATTGAAATATAGACAGCATTTTAAAAAGCAAGAGGTACTGCAATTTCAATAATGGTTTGCTCTGAAATAATATAATATAATATAATATAATATAATATAATATAATATAATATAACCAATACATACATCTTTTGTGGTCAAGATAGTCTTCTAGTTGATCAAATATTAGGGGTGTAGTTGGATCCAAGATTCCACATCGGCGTTTAATGCGAAACATCACTTTGCGATATTCCTTTACGACAGCTAGTAAACTTGGTCCATGGCTCCTAGCCTACAATTACGCAAATATTTTGTTTTCATTTATTTCAAAGGGACAGGATTATAAATTATTAGTGTGTAAAATAAGAAACTCTTAGAGGTGGTGAACAGAGACAAATCCCTTGCAAGTATGTACAACCACAACCAGGACACACACACATAAATGAATGTGATGAGGCAAGTATCAAAGTCTGTTCAAACTATTGTAGAAGTTCTACAAAGCAAAAGTGAAAAAATAAAACGAGAAGCAACAGGTGTTAGTGTTTTGTTGGTGGGGGGAAATATTACCAATGTGCAACAGCAGATACTGTGATACAGGAGAACACAAGGAAATATTAAATGTATTTTATTTAGTTATAAAAGTATTTATATACTGCCCTCTCATAAAACTTCAAGACAATGTAAAGCAACATTAGAAAAAACTTCAAAAGCAATGCAGGTGGATTAAAAATTACCGTTAACTACAACCAGATATGGGGTGCTATACATTGACTCAGTTCTCATGCAATAGTAAGCCAAGCTACAATTAAGCATGAACAAGTAAGAATAGAGACACACAAATTGAAAAATCATATCTGCCTTGCCTCTCCCCCAGCCTTGCTGCCATCACACTACCCAGAAGTCATGGTTTGGCTTAGGGTTATGTGCGAACCTGGGTTTGTGACTTCTCTTCCCCAAACAAACAAGCCAAGAACACATGGTTTGTTCAGAGTGAGAAATACTATGACCTTGGGTTCACACATAATGCTAACGCAAACCATTGCTTACGTCTGGACAGCATGGCAGCAGCAGGACTGGGGAAGAAGGAAGCATATGTGATTTTCATTTTCTATAACTGCACACTTGATCATTCACACTAAGCCATACTTATCATTATATGCAAACCATTATATACCTGCACCAATGTTTAAATAAAGGGCACAGCCTGTGGGCCTTCAGTATATCTAACTGAAATTGTGGCTTCAGGTAGTACATTAAGCTACATAGAAAGCTGCCTTATACCACATCAAGCTATTTATTTTACACACACAGACAGACAGACAGACAGACAGAGAGAGAGAGAGCTACCTACCAAATCAGATTCCTGCCTATCAAATTGCTGGAATGATATAAGGGCCCCAGTCCAGGACATTTTGCCCCTAGAGGCAAAACAAAAATGCTGCCTTCTCCTACTGCCACCCCTGCTGTGTACCAGCCATACCACATCTGCCCAGGTGCCCAATGCCACCCACCACTGCTGGGAGGTGGGCATTTGGGCACAGGCAGCACATGCATAGCGGAGAAAGAGAAAGCCAAGAAGCACAGGGCACAGTCCACAGAGCCAGAGCCTCCCGCACCAAGGCAACTGCCTTGCCTTGTCTCATGGCAGTGCCAGCCCCGGATAGTATTAATGCATAAAAAGCATCATGGTCAGCTGATCTAGCAAATGCAAAGGGTTCATAAATAAGCCTAATCATAGCAATCCTAGCCATGGCATGTCACCTAGCTTCTGATACAATACCTTTAGCCTCAATCTGTGCATTTTGCAACGAACAAGCCATCCTCTGATTGTTTTCTGTATAATAATGGCAGATGAAATATATTTATCCTTGGTTTGTCTTTTTCGGAGGTGTTTGAAAGCTTCAAATATATCCAAGTGTGGCCCAATCCTTCTGACTTTCTCGTGAACTATACTGAGCGTACGCCTTCTCCTACAAAATATTTTGTTAAAAAACAGGAAAAAAAGTTTAACATGTATGGAAACAAGGATGAATGCAAATGTTAACAAAATGCACATTTCCACTGAAATACAGAAAATCATCTGTATTAATTGCATCCATCTGTATAAATTGCAAAGTTGCAATTTATACCCATTTCCTCTGAATCAATCTTTTTAAAGTTGAGACTCTAAAACAACCCCAACATCCACCAAATTTATGTGACTAATTTGAATACATGGGTTATCCTTAAATCTATATTATTTTTCATGCCTTTCTTCACACAAACCCTTTTAGTGACTGCATAAAAATACATACATACATACATACATACACAGACAGACATGTGTTGGAAGCAGTAGACTGATAATTCAGGAGAACAACAGAGTAATAGTTTTTCTAAAGCAGTTTTACACCACTCTTCAGCCAAAATAGGTTCCCAGAGCAACTTATAGAGATCAGAAACGTCAGCCCACAGACTTCCTCTGTAAAACTCAGTTAGTGCTCAGTCATTGTTGTTGTTTTTAATAACTTTTTATTAGCTATTTTAATAAGCATAATGCAAAGACTGGTCCTGCCTCAAACCCCAAGTGTTTCTCGCTGGCTGGAATGTGTCCTTATACTCTGATAATGCCTCTTGCTTGCCTGGAAGGAGGATGGGGAAGGGTGAATACAGAAACCAGCCTCCTGTTCAAATGCACATTTGTTGTTTTGCCAACTTTTGCCTCTGGCCCTCCCCACCATCGGCATGTGGCCCTCAAATAGTGGCCCTTGCCCTTACTATACAGTAGTCCTTCAGCTGGCAGATCTTCACCACTGGATTGTGCCTTAATGTAGAAGAAAAGCCGAAACAAATTAGAATTCTAAATTCATCAGGTTTAAATGAAGCCCATTGTGATTTTTCTAAGGCATAATATTTGAAATGACTTTAAAAAAAATAAAAATAAAAAATAAACTGTACTTTCATCTACATTGATATATATATTACTTGAATTAAACATTTTGGTTCAGCTATTGCCACTAATTAGTTTTGGCTGATTGTGAAGTATTTTGTATGCCCCATTTATAAAAGCTGTTTACCCATCTGTTAATAGGTTGGAAGTGATTAAGGGACATTTATTTTGGCTGTTGTAAAGGCCAAATAGATTTTGAGCTGAAAATATGTGACTAAACCAGCTGGAGGGGTTGCCAAGTTCAAAATCAGATGTCTGCCTCCTCCCTCTCCAATCACCTACCAACCCACATTCTCTCAAAGCAAATATTCTGCCTCCTTTAACAGGCCCAGCCTTCCTGTTTTGTCCAAATGTAATTTCTAGTGTAATTGCAATTTGCTTTGAGTTGGCTGATGTCCTGTTAAACTGAGCCAAGAGGCTTCCACTCGCTGCACAGTGACCTTGAAGCAGAACTTCTGCTACATTCACTGAAATTGTGAGGACCTTCCGTCACATATGGGTTGTAGGCCTACTGGGTACAGTTGCATTTTTTTTGAAGATGGCTTTTATCTTTTGGTGGTCTTTTCTTCTAAAATGGAACAGTTAGAGGGTTGTACAAAGAATGCAAGGTTTAAAAACAAACCACAGCATAAAGAACATACCTAAAAGCAATAAGAAGAGAAAAGTTTGAACATGATGTTATCGAGAAGAACACAGCAAGGGCTCTGCTGCTGTATCAGGCCAGATGTTTATCTAGTTCAACGTTCTGTTCCCACAGTGGCCAACAAGACAGCACACTCCCCACCTACAAATTCCAGCAACAGGCCTACTGCCCCCCGCAACAGCTCATAGAATCATAGAACTCTACAGTTGGAAGGGACCACAAGGGTTATCTAGTCTAACCCCCTACAACGCAGGAATCTTTCACCCAACATGTGGCTCGAACCCACGACCTTGAGATTAAGAGTACCATGTTCTGCCGACTAAGTTGCCATCTACTTTTAGACAAAACACAGACAGATTTGGCTTAGACATGCTCATTTTTAGCTAAGAATTGATTGTGTGAGTGTGTGTGTGTATTTGTACTACTAGACACTTATTACTTTCATTAAATGATTGGTTTGTTTAAAATATTTATAACCTGTTATTCGTGTTCAAAATGGTATCCCGCAGAAGTTCACAACATAAATGCTTAAACGAGAAACATCATATAGAAGGGAAGAATTGCCTCCTATATTCTGAACGTAAGAGAGAAAGCTCAAAAGGAAAAACAACAAATTATCACTTTTCCTCAAATGATTTGTTGTTATCATCATCATTTACATGTATAAACCCTTTTATCCCAAGGGACTGCAGAGCAGTATATAAATATTCCAATCAAATGCAAGATACCAGAACATAAATGTTAAAACCATAAAACCAATAACCATCACAACTTTGTTCAGTAGAACACAGTGGGATTTACTTTTGAGTATATATGCATAGGATTGCACTGCACATTTCTTCCCATCCCAAAGATACATGCACTCTCAATATCTGCATTGCTTTGCAACCATTCTCTCTCTTCCATCCGACCCACTCACTCTTTTGGAGCGGGACTAAACAGATAAGGAGAATGAAGGGGAGAAAAAGAGGTTATGCGGGACTCCAAGAATATACAAAACACTGCCAGCCAACAGAGTATGACATCATACACATTCATTATATAGTTCTAAAACCTTTCTTAAGTATTTAAGTGGTAGATTGAATTTATGCCACATAAGACAATTTGGATGTATTAAATCACTGATGGCCTACCTTTCGTGCCAAGTGTGTGTCACAAGTCAGGTTCAAAGTATGAGTTAGTGCCACTGCAATATGTGTGGAGTACCTGTGCAGCTTCCCTGCCTCATCCCAAGGTCATAGCGTCCCTTGTGTGATGTTGTCTTGCCCAGTGACCTGGAGAAGTAGGCAGCAGTGGAGAGCCAGCAGGCTGTACAGGCCTAGCTCTCCTATCATAAGGCCTGCGGCTCTTTCTGTCGCTGTCCAGTAGCCATGTTTTCACATCACAGTAAGCCAGGATTCCTGGCTTTCCTGGACTTACTGTGAATGAGCATCTTCCTTTCATGTGCACAGGTAAACCCAAATGAGGCTAGCTTGTTGTGGCATGAAAAGCCAGGATCCTGCCCCAGTTGTTCTCAAGCCAGTCAGAATTCATAAGCTAACTTCAAATCCTGATTTGCACTCCTGGTTTGCTTAAGAGTAGCAAACATAGATCTCAAGCTAACTATAACTGGATTGTTTTGAAAAAGGGGTGAGTGAATGGATTGTATGCGCCAGCATGTTGTTCATCCACAGTAAACCAGTAATTTCAATTTATTGTGATGACATGGAAAGTGTATCTCAAATAGGAACATAAGGAGAGCTGGCTGGATCCAGCCAATAGCCAATCTAGTCCAGCATCCTGTCTCACAGTAGCCAACCAGATGCCTGTGGGAAGCACAACAGCAGAACCTAACTGAGCACAAACGCACTCAGAGCTTCTTGTGCAATTTTCTGGAATCTATACAAAGCATTAACCATCCATACATTCCCCGCTCTTTCATTACCAACATCTCTTAGTGTAAGATCTTATAGAGCAGGTTGCCCACATGTAAAGCTATGAGGAGGCAGACAAATGGCAAATAATATTTTGCGCTGAAATTTCAAGTGTTCTATCGGTGCTGAAAGACGGTTTGTGAATGCCAGATATTTTTATGCCACCTACAATTTTAACCTTAAAAATTAAAAGAAATCCATCAAAGGATCGTCACTTTCTTGGTACCATTTTACTGGAAGTTCTGTCAGCCTACTAACTTTAGTGATTCAGCATCTTTGAACTTCAGCAGATGAAAGGATTATCGCTGAAAGCATATTAATCTTCTGAGGATTAGCAGCAAACTGTTGGAGGACTTGAACAGAGAATAAATGGTTTATTTATAAACTGAAATAGGGTAGCAAAAAAATTCATACAATTTGTGCTGAACAAGAATGCAACATTTGGAGCACTAAAGCTGAAAGAGACAGAAACCAACATATGAACAATGTACGTGAGCTATACCATATATATTTATGATGGACCCAGGCAGCCCAGTCCTTTTATGAGAGGATGATATGGCTTTCCAGACTGTCACAGGGCCCAAGCTTATGTCTTCTACCTCCCTTTGTCCCACTCTCTCCTGCTTCCTGAAATTGTGAAGGTGGGGCTATTTTATTTATCTGCTTTGAATAGTAGCTTCACAATTTCATCAAGAAGCAACTGTTGAAATAAAGAATCAATCCAAACGTGGTTTAGGGGAAGGAACTGAGTACAAAAGGTATGTAGCTCTCTTGGGGCTACCAGCTAAACATACAGAAACCAGGATGATGCCACACAAATGAAAATATCAAGGATCCACTCCAGGGTGGAATCTACACACATATTAAAAATAAACACTGTGAAAATGCTTTTTGAAAAAGTGTTTTGAAAAATACATTGAATTTGGCATAGCTCACTGTCACATTTTTATATTGCACTTTACAACACATTTAAAACGTTTTATTTGCAGCTGTACTGCTGAGTCCCACATCTTTCATAAAAGTTGCAATTTTGTGATAGAAAAGGGGGTTACATAATTCCAGTAAAGGTAAAAGGTAAAGGGCCCCTGGACGGTTAAGTCCAGTCAAAGGCGACTATGGGGTTGTGGCATTCATCGCGTTTTCAAGCCAAGGGAGCCGGCATTTGTCCACAGACAGCTTTCTGGGTCATGTGGCCAGCATGACTAAACCGCTTCTGGTGCAACGGAACTCCATGACGGAAACCAGAGTGCAAGGAAATGCCATTTACCTTCCCGCCACAGTGGTACCTTATTTATCTACTTGCACTGGTGTGCTTGAATAATGATGATGGTGTGGAGAAGCATACAAAAAAAGTTGATGGGGGGCAATAACTATACCACAATAGATGGTAAGTTCAAAATGCCCCCTTACCACATTAATGTTGAGGGACGTTGTGCAATAACAGTATATTCCAATATAGTAATAATCAACAAGAGTAGCATTACCAGAGTTAGCTTTATTCCTTCTCCCTTCCAATCTGTTTTCCTCTTGTGCCATGTGTTTTTTTGGCTGAAGAGTGGAATAAAAATTCTTCAAACAGATAAATGACAGAATGAACTAAGAGATGGCTTTTGTTTAGCCAGAGTTCCCTGTGAAGATGCATTAATATCACACTCCATATCTTATGGGATTGAATGATCACATTAACAGTTCTTTTCAAAGGTTAAGTCATTGTGACACTTGAGTAAAACTAAGCTCTGGAGATTTCTAATCTTAGTTTAAGAACTTTTTGGAGAGGAATTTATTATCATAGACATTCCACTACTTAGCTTTAAGGGTTAAAAATACAGACACACATAACATTACAAAAAGATCACTAACTGAATAAAGAATCTCACTTATTACAGTTTCTACTATGTCATGCTTGTGGGACAACTAGGTCACTAATTATTATATCTCATGTAAATTATGTATCACATATACATCATAATCAGAAAAAATACAGTGCTTTTTTTGAATTAGATCAGATATTTTAACGGCCTCCGCAAAAGAAATAAACAGAAACCATGGTGCAATATGCTGTAGGTGCACAATGATAGATCTGATCATATAAACCAGGGATGGGAAACTTGTATCCCTCCACATTTTGTTGGCCTTCAACTCACATGAGCCCCAGCCAGCATGGTCAGGGATGGTGGGAGGTACAGAGCACCCACATCTGTAGAGGGAAGAGTTCCCTGTCCTTCCTACAAATAAATATTTCAGTAAACGGGGTTTCAAGACAGACTACGGTAATTAAGGAAGGCATATAATTGAAAATGCAAAGCTTGAAGCTTATGTGTGTCAAACTGATATAAAATAGGCTTAGGCACATTAGGGGGAAAGGCACTTTCTTCTGTTTTCATTTGTTACATTTTGTAATGTGTTCCTGAACGGCAGCTGAATTTAAGAATACTAAACAGGAGCATTAAAGGGTCGTTCCAACTTTTCTGATAAACATTGTGTCAGAAGGTTGGGTGAAAAACGTGACATTTCGATTCTTTTAACACAACCAGCTTGCAAAATGTTAATGGCATGACACAGCAGAGGATAGTACCAACCACTGATAATGTCTGTCTCTGTTTTAGTGCCAGGTAATGGCATAGCCCAATCCAGCCCAGTCCTTGTCCACTAATGCTCTCCATATGGTATGCATGCCCTTCACAGACTATTGGGAAGGGGAAGAATAAACTCATTCCAGAGTGGAGTTCTGAACACCATCCCAGTGTTCCCCTGAATTTATTGGATTTATTTTTTATTTGGTTTTACCATTTGGATAGGTTGACTTTATAGGAGCCTTCTGGTCATAGGAAACAGAAGGCATCTGTATAAATTCCTTCCTTTATACTCCCAAACCCAGTTGGGAACTGTAATTCATCAAGGTTGCTATTCCCCTCACAGATCTACAATGCCCAGAGTGGATTAACAATCAATTTCTCTTCCCAGGGAACTCTGGGAATTCTGAGGGGAATAGGTTTCTCCCAACAACTCTCAGGACCCCTAAGAAACTACAGTACCCAGGATTCTCTTGGGGAAGCCATGATGGTTTAAAGTGGTGTGATACTGCTTTAAAGGTGTAGTGCAGATGAGCCCTCAGTTTAAAGAGAATAGCTAGGTATTAGAGCGGCAGCAACTCCCAGGCACTCTCCCGGTGGTTCACCCTGAGAAAGGACTTTCCCTTTGCCATTTCTCAGTGTAAGGGGCTGAAGGTAGGAGCGGCGGCACAGAGACTGCCACTACGGCAAAATAAATGTAAAGAGGGGTGGAAAGAAAAAGGAGGCATGGAGTCATAGAAGGAAGAGGACTTGGAGAGGCAGGGGCAGAATCTCTTGGCCCAGCCCTTGATGCAATTATCACCATTTCACATTATGATTCATTTGGTCTTCAAGCACCCCACATATTCAGTGGCTTGGGTGGCAAGTAGCTTGGCCTTCCAGCACAGCTTCTGTTTACATGTTTGATGCCAATACTTAGCAGCACTGTGTAACAGCCCTAGGATCCACTTACCAGTGCAGAACCTCTATATCCTGCAGAGTTGAAGTGCACCTTAAATCGTTACCAAAAATAATTTGAACCTGTTCCTTTCTTTTGCTTTTGGAAATTTAAGATACCTGACATTTAAAAAACACACACACACACGGCAAACAATCCAATAGCAAACTAGGTTGTGTCCTGTTTCAGAAAAATAATTGAAAGCACCTGTAAGATTTTCTTGAAGGTTTCAGAGGCTCTTCAGAGCATATTTTCACTTTAGTTTCTCGACGGCGCCGCTATGAAGAAAAGGACCGATTAACAGAATTGTTCAGGAGACATGCATGAGTATTCACTGTGACAGATCTTTCATGGAACAAAATGGTCACAAAGGAAGGGGTACCCTTCAAATATATATGAGACAGCTACCTAACCTCACATAAATAAATATTATTTTAAAGCATGGCTAATGCTGGGTGAAGGAAATTGTGCCAGAATGAGATCAAATGCGATGAGGATGTAGTAGCAATTGCAGTACTGCTGTCACACACTCACTTCCCTGTTCATGCAGGAAGAGGAAGTTATATAAGAATGGGGGAAAGAAGTCATGTAGAAGAGGAAGCAGATGGCAAGAATTGGTGAATGGGGCAATTGCCCCATTCACCAATTGCCTGGCTTTTAATTATATTTGTTTGTCAGGCCAAGGGATGCAATCTGATTCTAGGTACCAGTTCTGATTACAATTATACAGACTCATCACCTGTACTGTTCGGTCCTTCAGTTGTTGTTTTTTAAAAAATATCATTATTGTTTACATTTTTTTATAATGATTTCAGAGTTGGCTGCAAACTCAGTGAGCTGGTAATTGCCCACTGAAGTATGCATATTGCCTAAGGAGTACTGTGTGTTCAAGTGATGAGGAGGAGCTCTCTCTTTCTTTCTCTCTCTCTCTCTCTCACACACACACACACAGGTACGTACATACGACGTACGTTACTGTTTTTTGACATTTTTTATTGTCAGCTGGCTGGCATATTAACAACATATTGCCAAGCAAATGAGTGACCCGTTTCAATGGTTGTAGGTTTGGATTTTGCAAAGGGAAAAATCCCTCCCACATCACACACCACCCTCCCACTGCAAAGAGATTGACTCCTCCTTGAGAAAGACACCTGAAGTATTCTGAGCTGAGCCAAGGTCACATTAGTTCTAATCACATTTGTGTATTTTCACACACTCATTCATCATCAATATTTTAGGATACCTTGGTAATAACATGCTCAGTCATAATGGGACTTCCTATAAACATTGCAATAAACAATGTCATTAATCTAATTAGAAAATATATGCACCAAACTCACATTTTAACACTCACATCAAGCAAGTAAAGTCAATTTTTGGCTACATTAATATATATGATAGATTTACATTAAGATACATGTCAGTGGCTGTGCTTTCTGTGTCCATTCGGCTAAGGGGGGTGGGCAAAAGGTTAACAATAAAATTCAGAGACCTAAAGCCCACGAGCCAGGGGTTTTCCACCCCTGTTGTACAGCATTGAATTTGCAATGAAATATCTTTGGATGGCCAGATTAAGGGCATAAAAAAGACTACCTTGAAGAAGAAGAAAACTGTTTATCATTCTAAGAAAAATAGGACAAACCAAAAGCAATATTTATTCAGGCGCCACCCCTCTAATAATTGCTAGTTAGAGTATGATCCCTGTGTATTCCACTATACAATAAATCCCTTTAAATGAAGGGATCCCTTCTGTAAATGAAGCTATATACGATACTTCCGTAAATAAACCTCAGTGAATAGCCTTTCGCAGCTGAATGATTAGGTTCTATTTCCACAAATTCAGCTACAGAGATAACAGCCTCAGAGAGATAACATGTTAAATGCTCAGTAGCAAAGTTCAATAAATGAATTGGCTTTGTTTCTACATGAGATTTGCTGTTATCTCTTAAAGTGAGTTTGTTTAAATAATTACTTAAGGACTCAGAAGTTAACTACTCTAAATGAGGTGCTTCTCTCAAATTAAACAGCACAGTGCTAGCAATTTGCTTCTCTAATTATTATTATGACTTTAATTGAAGGAATATAGTATTCTGATTTTCCTCCAGTGAAGTGGTGTGCCCCTTAACTAGTGTTAACATTGATGGAACTGCTCTGATATTCTGAAGATATCGTCTCATTGATTGTGGAACTGGTAAATTCAGTACCACATAATATAGGGAACTTAAGTACAGTATATTGTACCTAACACAGGGCATCTTAAAGAACAGAGTTCATATTCAGTGACCAAAAACCTGCTGGTATAAAGACCAAAGCCAAGGCTCTCATGTTGGCTCAAGCTCTACAAGCCGAGAAATTGGAAGCCAAGGCAAATGCCTTAAGAGACATGTCCCGTAATTAGGAATGATGCTGTGCAAATGTCACAAATTGTACTTACTTACAATTTACCCTCCACACACCCACTTTCCCCTAGTTTTTCAGGCTCAAATCCAGATTGGGATGAAGATATGCCTGGGAACAGCAAAGATGCCTCATGCTGTGGTCCTTATGAAGCAGCTGGGTCTTACTGTACTGCAAGAGAATTCTTTCCTTGTATGAGTTGGCCTGTGCTTGTTTGTTGGATCAGGGTCAGTGTGAAGCAGTGTGTGCAAGGGGGCTTTCAGCACAGGGTGGAGTGCGTGGAGGTGTTCAGTGAGGGATTGTATATATAGGAGAGGGTTGGTGTATGAGAGGAGATTATGTTTATAAGTAAAATTTAATTGTGGTGAAGGCTTCAGTGTAGAGTTGGATGTTTGATTGTGAAGTTTCATAGTGTAGCAGGGGTGTAGGGGAGGAAAAGGGCAGCAACCCAGAACAGAACAGTAGCATCGGGTGAGGGAGTTAAATCTCCACCCCACATAATTTTCCCTGAGAAAATCTCCACCTTTGCTCTGTTTTTTATTTGCCCCACTAGGAAAAACATATATGCATATACTATGCACATCAAGTATGGCCTGAGGTTTGAAAACATACAGCTAAAGCTCACTAGGTTCACACATATAAACTCCTCTATTCTTTAATATGAACTCTGAAAACTTAAGATTGCTCTCCACAAGCATACACAGATTAAGACCACTCAATAAACTTCTGTTCTTTATAATCCTGCTCCATGGTATCAGAGCATACTTCCTAAACTCTATGGGACACTTCAGAAGCTGGGGGGAAATCCAACTATGACTTACCATCTTGTGCCAATGCCTTTTCGTTATTGCTTTCAGTCTTTCTTGATGTTCCTTACTGGTGAGTGATGAGTATGGAGGTATAGTATCTGATATTACTACCCCTCTCCAGTCTTGGTATGTTCTTCCTATTGGGAAGATCACTGAAATTTTACCATACATCAATGCCATAATAATCAAGACAACACAACTTAGCAGCAAGATGTGTGTGGGCAAAACCACCCCCAAATGATGCAAACTGAGTAAAAGCATAACTAGACTTTTATTTTTAAAATATTTCCAGGCTTTCTGTCTGATGCTATAAGGAGGAGAATTTGTGGAAGATGAGCTACATGCCTCTGCCAGAGCTCTGAAAGAGGTCAATTTTCAGCAGGTGACATTTTTCCCATTACAGTTTTCATCGAAACACACCTGTGGATATTCTGTGACCTTCAGAGCTTCTAAAACAGACAGTGGATACTTTGGAATACATTTCTTCTGCCAGTCTGACACAACCCCCCCCCCCAAAAAAAACCCAAACAACCACGTTCTTATTTCCATCTTTATGCACCTCATCTGTTCTTTCTTGGCTGCTGAAGGCAAAATTGTTAAACCAACCCTAGGAATCCAGCATTGACATCTATAAAATTGGCAAGTAAAAGGCAGTAGAGGGCTTTATGCAACATGAGCTATATCTATAGCTTCAGAAATGCTGAGCCCAGAAGCATGAGAATGGCCAGTCAGCTGACCCAGGTTTCAATAGAATTAAACACCAATTAGAACCATTACTGGGAAAGACATCAGGTCCTATTCAAATGTTTTGTTATCCTAACAGAACCTGACCATGCCACCACATAGCCTCCAAGTGCCCCGATTTCCCAGAGACAGTCCTGGAATTATGAAAATTGTCCCAGCTCATGATCTGATCCTGGAATGTCCCTATTTCCCCCATCAGTGCTGCCACCATCAAGCTCAGGGAATGACCGCTCCCCGCTTAAAATGGGGGGCGCCCTTTGCGTGGACGCGCGCAGCCCCTGGATCTGGAGCAGCTCCATCAGCATAGGCTTGGCTTTGCCTTCTCTCAGGTGGGATACCTGGAGGTCTCCGCCTACCTCAGTCAGTTGTCCAATCCCACCTGGGGGAAGCGTTGCCAAGGAGACCAGGCCAGGGCGGGGAGGGATTACCTGCCCACACAATAGAGGGGGATCTTACCTGGGAATCCTCACTTGGCTCCAGAGCTTCTCCCACCCTACCCACCCTCAGTTAATGTCTTATTTTGCAGGTTAACTTTTCTTCACAGGTTTTGCAGGTTAACTTTTCTTCACAGGTATGCGGGCGCTGCTACGTTAAGGTCGCTGTTAAAGGGCCGGACAGGAATTTCCCTGCATTGGCAGGTTTTGCCTTTCCCGTAGCAAAACGTCACAACTTTGGCAGTATCAGGCCTTGGGCGGAATCCTTTAGTCCATCTTCCTCTTTGCGGCGGCGATACCAGGGTTCCCCGTTAAAGGGGTTTCTGAAGGGAGGCTTTGACCATACGCCGAAAGGTCGTCATTGCTCTCCCCTGCGGCGGCGGCGTAACGGGGGGCGGCTATCTCTGCTTGAACATATGTTCTCCAGAGCCAGCCCATCCCCCACACACACACTGGATAACCCTGATGCTCCCTAGGTCCCCGGCTGGGGACTGGGGAGGGAGAATGCCCAATGCCTGAGCCAAAGTCTACCCACATTTGAAATTTAATAAAGTTGTGGCCAATTTAATCCCATAGCACGTTGTCTTGAGTCGTTATTCCACATGATGGGGGGACTGCGCGGGATCTGGGGACTCCACCTGTCCACGCAAAAGGATGAGCCAACGCTTATCCCAAGGAGTGGTGGTGACATAGTTCGCGACAGCTGCGAGGGAGAATCCTATTGGTTCTCCATGGCCTTTCCTTTTGCAGAGCAAAAGGAGCCTTCACTAAAAAAAGGAAAAAAATGCTATGTGTGTCTATGTCTAATAATGCCCCTTTCTAAAATGTATTTATTGCTGTGTGTTTTTCTTTTTGTAAATCTACCAGAGAATAAAATAAAATCGGGATTAAGGGGTTTTCACAGGATGGTGGAGGCTGCGTGTGCTGTGTCCTGTTTGTGTAGTGGTGGTGGACCAGGGGCCAAAGATGGCCCTTCAACTCTCTCTGTCTAGCCTTTAGTGCTCTCATCAACTATGCCCCTCTCCCCAGGCCACACCGCTCACCAGACCTGCTTTAATGCCCCCCTCTTTGAGTGTCTTTGAGTGTGTCCTTGAACTCTGGTAGTACTTCTTGCTTGCCTAGGTGGATAAAACAGAAAGCTGTTTATGTGTAAACTGTTGTAAAATTAGGATTTGCTGCTCCACGCATCTTTGCCTCTGGCTTCACCTACCCTTGGCACATGGCCCTCAAAAGCTTGCCCAAAAGAGAATGTATACCCTGATTTGAAAACAGTTCCCCATACCTGCTCTATGAAAATCAGAAATTATAGGGTTGTGGCAGGCCCAGTTGGGTTGAATTACAAGGCCTATATGCTTTACTGTGTCAAAGCAACAACACAAGTGTCATTTTCTTGTGATGTTGTTAAAAAGATAAATACTATATCCTTATCTTGTCACTGCCAGTCAAAAGCTCAACTGCAATCATTCCATACTTGTCTAATTCCCTTCCTCAAGTTAAACGCTTGCATGGTTATAACAGTAATCTAATCCTTCAGAGTCTTACTTCCGGCAAAGCAATAAAGAACTGGGAAGAACCAACCAATTTCAGCAGTACTATTCCTCGGTGACCATTTAATTCAAAATTTGTGTTATCTTTCCATAAACTCTCACAATAGTTTAATACCTTTTTAATTGGACATTTAGCTTTAATCTTTAGGCACTTACAAACAATTAAGTGCTGGAAGATAGAATTAGCAGCTACCAGTTTATCTGTATAATTAGAAAAATGAGGAGGGAGGATCTTATGTCAGTTCAAATCCTAATTATTTGAATAGCGGTGTCATGAAGGCTTGATTTGGACAGTTTAGATTTCACCTAATCGAGTTGTCTAAAACGAAAGAATATAATTGAATAGATCAAAATACTGTATTTCTAAATAACTTGTATACAGGGCTGAACTTGTGTTCATTTTCTTTTGAACTGTAAATAAAGGAAAATAACTCCATTTTTGCACAAACATGGCTATGATGTCAAATCACTAAGTCATTTATAAGAACCCAATACATTTCATGCATAAGTTCTTGCAAAACAGAGATCATCTATAACAAAGAAAACTTGATAAACACTGGATCTAAGAAGCTACTAAATGTAACAGACTGTGAAAGTGATCAGAATTCCAAAAAGCATTGCAACTGATAATATAAGGTGCAATATAGCTATCAATGGTATGGTAATGTGTCATGTTTTTAAATGGCATTTATTTCCAGGAGGATTATGGTATCTGAGAAACTGGATTTTAGCTGAAGAAGTAAGAATCAAATTGTGAGTAGGAACATCCCATCACTAGGTGCCACTTCCACATGGTGAATAAGGGGTAGCAACAGACCTGCAGAATTCAGCCCAGCTCTTGTCAGCAATGTAAGGGGCCCAGAAGGCAGGTGGAGAGTGCAGAAGGAATTCCCTCCTTCTATCCCAGGGCCAGCAAATGTGATGCTATCCAGATGTTGCTGGACTACAGCTCACATAAATTCTGACCATTAACCGTACTAGCTGGGGCTCATGGGAGTTGCAGTCCATGTTCTAAGTCCCTAACCAAGCCCTCTTTCAATTCTAGCAGCACATAAATGAACAGAGAAATTCAGTCAGTTGGGCTAGAGCAGAAGGGAAATAAATACGGAAGCACTCAGGCAAGGAGAGTTGTCTTCTAATTCCACGGAGCTTAAGAAGTTGGAAGGGAGAAGAAGCATAAACTGCATGCGTTCCAAACACATGTTCTAGTGCCTGCTGTCAGTCCACCCAAGATGCCGTGCTTCCGCTATTATGGCTCATCACATGCACTGGGTGTGCAAGGCACAAGTTCTCATCTCAGGTCATGAAGCAAGTCAGCTAATTCCAACAGCACACGCTGCACAAGTGTAATTGGCTGTGAATTCCAAAGCACAGGCTGTGTAGGTGCAATTGGCTATATCGCACTCAGTATATGCCCCAACACTTCCTTCCCTTGTGCTATGCAGGCAACTTTATGACTACATTTCACCTCCCCCCCCAAAAAAAGTGCTCTCTGTATGCCCTTTCAACACCTACTGCATTCCTTTTAAAACTGTTTTCCCTGTGAATTTACTGATATACCACAAGTCCAGTATCACAGTCTGCATTCACAGTTATATTGCACTTAATGTATGCCTAGAGGATTCCTTTCCTTGTACCAGGCAAACAATCACATGAGTGCATATCTGTTTTCTTTTGGCAGAGTACTCTGAATATCCTCAGAGTCTGCCTGTTCTGCCAGCATGCATGGCCAGCTACTGTCTGCAGGGTCTATTTCATTGCAAGGCATTTGTGATCTGGTTTGCTCAGTGTCTCCCAGCCCTTGCACAAGACATACTGTACAGGAAACATCACACAGTTTGACTTATTGAATGAGGAGTGCCAAACAAAGGGGGGGAGCATTTTCTTGGATTCTATATGATCTACTTAAGTGTCACTATCTCAAAAGAGGCATTCTGTTTGTGTAAGAAAAAAGTAAGAAAGCCTGTTCAAAGAAGGTACCTGCCAGTCATGAATTTGTGGAGTACTTGCATGAACAATTATTGTATTTATTTCTTATAAATTTACTTATTTATGAATTTATTTCTTATAAATTGAGACATTCTTACAAACAAATGTTTTGAAATTACCAGGTTAATTACAACAAATAAATTAATTGCAACCTAATTGACTATATAGATATAGCTATCTTTCTCCCCGAATAATTGGGGCAGCTTTTTAATCAACCAAAAGGTATTTCATTGCTTAGTCAACTAAATGTTGCAGCTGAAAACATACAAATGAGAATATTTCTGTCTATTCATTCACACACACACACACACACACACACACAGAAAACAAGAAAACACCTGGCCCTCAAAGTTAAGAATTTTCAGAATTGTTTCATCTTAAAACCAGCCAATTTGTGCAAGACTCACAGTGGCAGTGAGTTATGGTACTAAAAAGAATCAACAGTTTACCAAGTGCAGCTCAATTTATCAAGCTAATATCCAGTTACCATCAGCCTCAGAATTATTTATGCAGTCCAGTGCACCACAAGCAGAAAAAAGGAACAATCAAGTTATACCACCCTAAAGTGCATACAGACCAAAACATTCAAAATTGCAGGGAGTGGAGCCAAGACCTATTTTATAACGAAAGGGACAAATTATGTGCCAATCGAAGCAGTCAATCCAGTGCCATGATAAATTCCATCCTACTCGTAGGTAGCTATATCTGCATCCGTTGAGCATGAAAAGAAAACCCACCCTGATCTGTCCAAGGAAATGTCAACAAGTGAAGTCAATTATACTAAAAGGAATGAGTCTCTACTGATGCAGGACAGGTACCTTCCATCAGTTCATTTCAACAGAAGATTTCATTCCCTTTCCATTTTGTTCTCTTAATTAGGCTGATACCATAATATCTGAGATACCTGCCAGAACAAGGACAAGTGCCAGCCTGCAATACCTCTAATGGCAAGTACTTCCTAACATTATAATTATTGAATGATTCTCATTTTGGGGGCCTAGCGACTAAGTGACCACGTTATGATAAACATGGCACAGCTGATAGGAATGGTTACTTTTAATAGCTCAAAAACATATACCAACATTTGCTCATTTCTTTACTTACAGGATTTATATCCTGCCCTTCATCAGAGGTAACCTTGAGGTGGGTAACAGCAATTTAAAATATGGCGGGGGAGCACTGGCATCCCACACTGAATGCACATTGTTGTGATGGGAGGACACCTCTTCAGGTCACAAGCCATTCAGGGGTTTTTTATGTCAAGGTGAATGCTTTGAATTAGGTTCATTCACGGATAAACAGCCAAGGCAAGTGTTAAAGAACTAATGTTATGGGGGAGTGGAAATGCCATCAGAACCACCTGCAGTTTCCAAGCCATCTTCAAGAATAGCCACATGTACAGTGAGCTACACTGAATAATCCAATAGCTACAGTGGCACATAAAAACAATTTCAAAATAAGCCTCCAGGAAATATAGATAATAAGTCTGGAGGAGATATAAATAGCATTAGAAGCAATCAGCAGCATCTGATTGTAATGCTGGCTTCTGTTCATCAAAAAACAAATATTAACCCTTACCATACAACATAGGCCCAGAACACCCTTCTGCCTTAGCCCACTGTCATGTTACTTACCTGTGTGTACATTGAATATTAGCTGCTGGGAAAACAACAGCAGGGAATGGGCGACTGCACTTGTGTCCTGCTTGTAAGCTTCCAATAGGCATCTGGTGGAGCACTATGGGAAACAGGATGCAGGACTAGATAGGCTTTGGGGATGATCTTATGATCTTAGAGAACTATCGCCTCCATGCCCTGCATTTGGGATGCTCAGAAGCATCCAGCTGGCCCCTGTAAGGAGGAGGAGGCTGAACCAGGTGGAGCTTTCCTCTGATCTAGCAGGTACTTCTTACTTCTTATTCTTTCTTTCTTTTTTTCATTATTGGCCATCTATTACAGCAGAGAAACCAAAAAAAGAATGGACTTTCCCCCTAACTCATTAACCTGACTCAGAGTATAGCATATTGATGATAAATGATGGCATCAATCTTAGAATATTAATTTCATCAAATTAATTTTAAAGCATTTGATTAATTTAGAATGGGTGCATCATTTTTATTCGCAGAGATGAAATATCCTTAAATGCACCAGTCAGTCAGCCTTATATTTTTAGCGAGTGGTGCTGTATCAAAGGTAAATCTTGTTTGTTTATTCTCTTCAAAATGTACCAGACAGACAGAACAGAGAAAAATAAAGCTTCTGAAAGATCACTCACAAAGGTTTGCTTTTCAGGGGTTGATATTACAAGCAATTAGCGTGACATTTAATAAATGACATTTCTAAGAACTGCTAGAGCTGACTTAACAGGCAAACAGAACAACCTTGTTTTGTTTCAAAAGGCAGTTGCATTGTAGCACATTTTATGCAAAACGTCTGTGCCAACTCATGTTTAAAACATTTATGTGGATGAAATATTTGGAATAAACAGCCTTTGTATACATCCAAATTACGGTGTTCTCTACTTAGTGAAAGTGTTGAAGAGATGAGTTGCCATAAAACAGGAAATGTATTTCCATATCCAAATTAATTTGTATGCATTTACTGCAAATAACTGGGCTCACCGAGCAATAACAAATTGATCCTTACTTAAATTAATGCATTTTTTTCAAAGCATAAGTCAAGTACTGAAAAGAGACACAATTTTCTTACATAAAGATGTAAAGATGTAATTAATAAAGATAGAATATTTAGTTACACTGTGGGAAGTGTGATGAGAAATGTTGCCTTCACACCAAAAATATGAAGAGCATTGTATCATTTGGGATAATGTGGATTTGCTGATACTGTTAACTTGTGGATCTCCAACTGTTGAGGATCTGACAAGTAGATTAAATCACACACACCAAGATGATGGCTGTCATTCCTCCTGTTCAGCACCAAGAATGACCAAACTCAGAACTATCTCCAGACTTCTAAGAGGAATATGTGTATTTTGTGACACAAATACTTCAGTGGGAACCATCTAGAGCAGGGGTTGTCAACCTGGTCCCTACACTACAGCCTACTAGTGGGTGTTTCAGGATTCTAGGTGGGCAGTAGGGGGTTCTATGGCACAAGCTGAATCCTCCTTCCATCGAGCATTGGTGGGTGGTAAGAAAATTTTACCATCAAGAAAGATGCATTAGTGAGCAGTAGGTATAAAATGGTTGACTACCCCTGATCTAGAGGAAAGGGCTCTCCAATTACAGAATGCATGTGGTCAGACGTAGTCTTGCATACAAATAAATGCAAGTGGTGGCAGGTTCACCCTGGGACCATTAGGAGAGAAGGTCCAAGCATCAGGTGGAGCCAGAGCCAATGACAGGAAGAGCCAACTGATTCTAGTTTTGTCACCATCCTCCTGCCTGCTAGGCTCTGCAGGCACATCCCAGAGACTGAGGAGGAGGTAGCTGACAGGCAGGGGCACCCCCTGGATAGAGTATAAAGTGTTGGGATATTCCATTCCACCTTAAGGAACAGGCATGATTGTTGTGTGTCACATGTCTGTTTACACTCCAGCACAGTATGCTGGGAACTTCTGTTTTGTGTATAGCTTTTGCTTACGCTGGTTTTTTTGCTTTGGACACAAAGGAGATCAGACGTGTTTCCTTTTGTCCTGATGTATGCTGAATAAACTGCTTGTAAATATGCTCACACAGCCTCTCCTGCTGTTTGAGCAGGGTTTACTCTGCTGAGTAGCGTGCCCTAGCTTCTGAAGCTCAGGTCGCAGATTCATGCTGCACCAAGGACTGGAGTTTGCCCAGCACACCGGCCAGTGGGCTGGAGCCAGCTGGGGGCCTGCCAATTGCCCCCATTTCCTTGGTTGCATGCCAACATAAAGAAGGCAGGCAGGCAGGTGGGGGGGCTGGCTGAGGCCATACTGGTTAGTGGGTCAATTGCCTCCACTCCATACAAAATCAACATGAAGCTGCATAAACAGGATAAAACCATTACCTAGCTCTGCCACACAAAGGCTAGCATGGTTCGTACATTTTGATTGCACTGAACAAGCATTGCGAAGGAGTGGCATGAGAGAGTAGCCTCCTCTGTATGGAGCCAGCCTCCCGTGGGAGCACCAGATTACACAGAGACCTGATTTGCATTATTCTTTTCTTCCCAGAAAAGATGAAAACCATGTGAATAAGGGCTCCCTTGCAATTGGGTGCACATTGAAGCTTGGGTCACACTGGAGGCTACTGGATATGTGGTCCATGCTATTTCAGCTTCGCCTCCAACTGAACGAGGGCAATCCTGCTCTGTAGCTGAACGGCAAAACAAAAACGTTGCTCATCTTCTTGCCAATTTTTCCAGTCCTAACTTTTCACCATCTACACAAACTAGGACATGAGAAACTGTAGCAAACTTGAGAGATCTAGCCACTGGTGTGCATACAGACAGAGACAAGATAGTATATAGGAAGACATGTCCATGAGCATTTTCAAATCTGGGAAGAAGTATATGAGTAAAGCAAGCAGCTGAGGATTGATGAAGGAAGATCTGGTATAATCTATAAAATAGCAACCACTGTTTGGTCGCCAATGGGCAGAAGTAAAGTTAAAATACTTTCCTTTTTTGAGGAAAAATCATAGTTTAGATAACAGACCTCAATAAAGTATGGGTAATAGCCAACTAAATCATACTCAGAGTAAGTTCATTGAAATCAATGGACAAACTCATAGACCCATTGAAATGGGTCAGCTCTGAATATGGCTAACATTAGGTGTCACTCTGTGTTCAGAAATATTGCTCTGTGTGTGTGTGTGTGTTTATCTATACACACAAACATGAAACTTTCAAAATGTATTTCAACAAAAAACTCTTTCCCTACGATCATTATCCATAACAACTCATTCCTTCAAAAATATGTCACTTCCACCCCTAGGTAGAAATAGTCTTAAATGTACAAATGCAGTATAACACTTTTACAGTAATTGGCAATTATTTAAAATGAAATGAAACTGCTAAATAACAATAAAGATTTACCCTTCTGAAGTTTTGGAATCCAGGCAGTCTGATTTTGTTCATTTGAGGATAATCCAAGCAAATTGCTACGGCTGCTTAAACACAAAAACAAACATGCACAAAACAAACAACCATTATTTCTTTTTCTTTTTTTATCTTTCTACTTAAATAACTTATGTACATTTTTTTTTTGTAAAGGAACAGAGCAATGTGTTTTGTAGAAACAGTGGTACTAGTACATGCCTTTTATATAATCTCAAAAATCGAAACATTTCATGAACAGTGAGGAATTGCTTGAGAAAGCATGTGCCCTGCAACCACTTTCAGTGCTCTAATGGAATTGAAAGGCAAGCAATACATTTTAAAAATAAAATAAAAATAAATAAAACTTGGTATTGATTTTTGCAAACATACTGTGTTCCGAGTCTGAACTGTGGTTTATGCTCGGAAATAAAGTTTAATAGCATCTGTCCATCCTCTAGCTATCTGTAATGCAGATAACTCTACAAGAAGGAAAGCCGTCTGAGCCGTCGCTGACATTCCCTTCTGTACAAGTGGGTGGAATTGGGCTAAGCCCCATAACCAGCACAATGCCAATCTGCTTTGTGATCTGTTCCAGAAACAGCACATCAACACTTTCCCATTTGCTTAGGATTGAAGGCAAAAGCCACTGTTGAAACATGGCAGCAACTTCACATGAAAATGCTGTCTGGGTGGGGAGGGGAAAAGCTAAATGTCAAACTAAAGCACTTATGTTTTCATGAAATATTAATTTTTCATTCAGATTTTCTTGAGACTGAAGTGTGTGAGATGTCATGCAGGGCATAATGAGAAAGGAAGGAAGGAAAGTTTTCAGAGACTATCTTCTCTGGAATCAGTTATAAGGTGCTATTTTATTTTATTATAATATGCTTATATGTACAGGGCAGAACCCCCCCAAAATTAAATGCTACCAATTTGAGTTAAAGAAATAATAATAATTACTTTAATTTATATAACACCCTTTGTCAAAAGATCCCAGGGCAGTGTACAACTTTAAAAGCACATTACGGAATATAAATGATAAAAACATAATAAAAACAAAGTAAAAAGCATACAGACAGACAGCCTAATAATAAAACAATCATCATAATAACAGTCCTGTCCCCAACACTTTTACAGACCACTTTTGTCTCAAAGCCGTTTACAACCATGCAAAAATGTAAATGGATAAAATCCAACAGTAAAACCAGTTGAAACAATTAAAATATCCAGTTCCATCCTAGGAACATAAAAGCCTGAGCTTGGGAGTCCTGCTTACTGCTTATTGCATTAATTTAGCTCCATCAACAATTTAGCCTTTAGCTCCAAAGAATAAAATCCAATAACCTAGATTAGCCCCCAAGAGCCATGATGAAAAAGTGGGTCTTTAAATGGACCTTAAAGTTAGCAAGGTAAGCCTGATCTCATTTGGAATCAAAATTCTCTAATTGGGGGGCTGCTACTGAAAAGGCCTTGTTCTGGGTGCTCACCAACCTGATTGTTTTTACAGGGAGGCATTTCAACAGGGTCTTCAAATTGGATATTATATGGCCAGACTGACAGTGCAGACAGTCCTTAAGATAAGGTCTCAAACCTTTTAGGGCTTTAAAGGTCATAACCAGCACTTTGTACTTGGCCAGAAAATGTACGGTAACTGGTGAGATAGTGGTGTAATTTGTTCCAGCTGCCTGGCCCCTACAATAGTTGGGTGACTTCATTCAATCAGAATAACTCCCCACTGGACTTTTGGATCTAATTCTGAGAAAACATGCATAGAATTGGGCTGTAAGAAAATCATCAAAGCTGACAAATTCAAACAGACATTCTTACGGATGAAAAAGATGTTTTTAACAGTTAATTTTAAACTGGATGTGTGAATTGGCTTTATACAAATTACATCAACTTGAGCAAAAAGAATCAATGCAAGCATACAGAAAAGAAATTGTATACAAGTTATAATTTTGTTATCCTTTGAGTATGTATGTGAAACTGCCAAAAGCCTATATGCACAACTACACCGTTCACTGTGATCATTCATTTGCACAGTATTCTTTTCAAGAGAATATAATTATCCCACAAAACAGAAGTGAAGAATGCAAAAATGCATTCAACTCTCTATATTCCAACATTTATTTTTCAAAAGAGACTTTTAGAATTTCTAGAATACACCATTTTATTGTCAGTCAGTATTAGACATTAATAAAGAGATATGTTAGAAGCAACATGGCTCAACTGGGAGTTGTTTTTTTAAAAAAAATGATCATCATGACAGAATGTTTGGAGTTCATTAAACCGTTGAAAGATTAGCAGCTCAAAACACCCTCCAAAACCATGCATAAGTAGAAATAGATTACAGTACCTCTATGACATTTCAAATTGTGGAACAAAGGTTCTGAGATGACCCCAGTGTGTGAGATCACAAGCAGAAACAGCAGCCTTAAAGCAAATCGCCGGTTGCCTATGGCAATATAACTTCATTGGATGAAACTATGCAATGGCTTGTTATATCATAGGGCGGCACTGCTGATTGACAGCAGCAGCATTAGAGCTGTCTTAGCATCATCATAAGTAGTGGTTACCAGCATGAGCTATGTGTCACAGCTGAAATATTTACACAGCTATAAATTTACTGAGTACCCTCAGTAAAGACTATACAATTTCCCTCCCTCCCCCGAAATATGGGGTTACAAAACTTAAATGGCTAGGCAATAACCATTTGCAAATAATATTTGCCTATTTTAAATCATTGTGACAATGAGGCAATGGACTCCAAACATTTAGGAATTGAGTTATTTTCATACCAAGGCTGTTATTCTATATTTACTGTACTGGGAGGAGGTCCAATTGCGCTCAATGGGCCTTATTTCTGACTAGACTTCCAAGTCTGCACTGCATGTGTTATTGCTGTCATAAATATTACTGGGCCAATAATGTCGGGAGGAAAAGTGGAAAGCATTTGTTCAACTGGGATACAACATCCACATGTAGATGTAGAGCACTAAGAACACAGTGTTTTGAACACTTTTTTTCTAAAATGTGTCCCCGTCCTGCCCTGCCTTGCCACTGCGTCCTTGCCCCCCTCACTAAATGGCCACCTGGCCAATGTTGGAGAGGATGTGCAGGCAGGCAGCGCAACCCGTCCTCCTGTGAGGGCTGAGCTGGGGCAGCAGGTTTTGTTCACTGCCCCACCTCTGGTCCCACCCAGCTCATGTGCTTGTACGCCCTGGGCTCCAGCAAAGGATGCAACACCACTGACTGTCTCTCTCTCCTCCTGCATCCTGAGTAACTGCGTATGTGCATCTCTGTGTTTCAAGCTCTCTCATCTACATCTATGCACACAGGTAAGTAGTCAAATTACAGCTTTTCTGTTGAGTCTAATACCTGTGATCTAGTCACAAGGCTTAGTTACAAGATAGCCTACCATACCCAGTGAAAATTTACTTGCTATATGTCTAAAGCTTATTTTACAATACAATGCAATTAAATACAGCATTTATGTACAATTAAACTTGTAGATTCGACAGGCCCGCTGACTTCAAGGGGACTTTTGATATACAGAATTGTGCTGTTAAATAATTAAATGAACACATTCACCATCAGAATAGTTTCATTTAAATTATGGATACATAGCAAGTGAGATTTCCTTTTCTAAATTGTAGTAGAATTCTGTTGTCAGCAAATTGAAAAGTTGCATTGGTTATATAAAATTGTAATTTTTAATGTCTTTTTAATCTTATGTTGGAAGTTGCCCAGAGTGGCTGGGGAGACCCAGCCAGATGGGCGGGGTATAAATAAATTATTATTATTATTATTATTATTATTATTATTAGCCTGACTTAAAGCACAATAAGAGCTCAGGATTATTCTTTGTACCCTTTCAAAACGAATTGCAGTAGAGATAAATATGAATTGCTATTCCAACCATTTCAATACATTACCCAATGGATAGCTTTTGTTTATCTTTCTCATGTTCCATGGCTCTACTCAGTGATCCAACCTCGGTAAATACATCACTTAGCCACATTTTCTCTATCAAAAGTAAAAAGGGGAAATGTTGTTTTTTTAAAAAATAATTAACAATAATAGGAGAGTTGCACCCAAAGCAATAGTTGATATTGTTATTCCAAGTTGGAAAGCGTTTAATACATTTCATAAAGAAGCTACCGACATAAGAACAAACTGCCAACTCAGGCAATTCACATATGTAGATGTACAATTAATTATGGATTCAGACCACTAGTCAAGTAGGACACACACACACACACACACACACACAATTTCTTTATTATATATTTGTAAAGCAAACCATTTTTAAATGTAAGCAGCTTCAGAAGCTGGGCTTACAAGGGATGTATGCACAAAATTCTTGTTTTTAAATATGCAAGACCGTGGGGAAAAAATTCTGGAGACTTCAACAACATGCATACGTGAAAAGAACTCCTTCTGTTCTCTTCCCACACAGAGAGGAAAGAATTCTGGATGGAAAATTACACCAAAACTACCATGAACTTCTGTTTCATTATATTTATGGCATTCACTGAAAATGAAGTTACCATATACCCAAGCCACATCAAAAATGTGTATTATTTGAATACTCCGTGAAAGGGGCGTTGCAGTTCAACATTGCCCATGTTGACTCAGAAGTCAGCCCCACTTAGTTCAACGGGGTTAGTTGCCCAGTAATTGTGTAGTGTGCACCTTATCCTGACATTCTTACATATAAAGCACTCCTGTTTTTGTCAAAGGCTCCAGACAAAAATTATTCTATTCTGCTACAGGAAAGCCTGCTTGTACTTGAAAGGGAAACCAATTGCTTCTATAAATGCATGTTACAAACCATTACCATAAAGGGCAGAGTGCCACAGATGCTATTCCTATGTCCACTATGGGCTGTACTCATAACCCCTGCCTGTCATTGTGTTTTTGTTTAAGTCTCAGCTGCCTTGCAAAAGCAAAGCTGAAAATTCTGAGGTGAAGGAGTGTCAGAAAAGTGGAGGCAATGCTGGCCAGAAGGACAGATGAGAGAGAGGCGAATGAAGCTGAGTTGGCCACAGTCATGAATTAAGAAGAGCCATCCAGCTACCAGCTGAGTATTACACTTGATGCTCCTGATGAAGTAGACACTATTCCATGAAAGCTTGTGCTATAATCAATTAGTTGGTCTTTAAGGTGCACAAGACTCTTTCTTGTTTTCAATTCTGCAGTTAGAGGACTGCTGCTGAAAAGGTTCTACACAGTATATTACATATACAGACATGGAAATTAACTTTTTGGATTACTTTGCATCAACCAAAGATATAGATTTATGAATGAAAGGTGTTTATAGAAATCTAACTATAATGTATATGTTCCGGTTAAAATACTTGGATATAAACATTCCATTTGTAAATACATCAGTTTACAACTAAAATCCTTTGGTCATTTCACAACCTCTAAAACAAGATTTTTTTAACAGGTGCATACAGACTCAATAAAAGTATAACAATCTTTGAGCATTAAAAAACCCCTGAGAATTTCTCAGAGCTCAACTTTTATACACAAACACACATATACACACACACATAAATAAATTAAAAGGATTTTATTTTTTTTAAATACAAAGACAGCATGGAGAGAAGTAAGAGCAGAAAGGCCTCTGTGGAGTATGGTTGTGTCAACTTTTCTTCTCAGTTCTGTATTTGAGTTTCAAGAATTATGCATACTCTACGAAAAAATGTCTGTACAAACACACATACCCTTTCTCAACTATTCATAGCAAGCCTTTTTCATTTTGTCATATAGATTTCCTGTTTCCACACCTGTGACTTGCTGGGGTAGACATCAATTGAATTGCTCACATGTAGAGCAAGAAGATAAAAAATGTCTCTCTTTGACCTAAAGCACTAGTATATTTTTAATACACCATGAAGAGAAAAAGGCTTTATTGTCTTTTTAAACTCCACAAATTCCTGACAAGTATTTTTCACGTATCTTTCTCCATGCCATTTGGGTTGGGAATGGGCTACACCAACTTTTCTCTTTTGTTAATCAGGCACACTAAGGCAAATGACCTGACAAAGGCCATATCTAGTTTGGCCCTTTGTCCTATTGAGTTCAGGGAATTACTCCTGAGTAAAACATTTAAGGGTGGGCTATAAGCCATAAACAAGCTATGGAAAATAATGTCTCATAATATATCAGGGAATCCCTCAAAATAAATTCTGAGCTGCTGGAAGGAACCATGAAGTCACTTGTTATGAATAGGAGTCTGCCTATAGGTAGGGCCAGCTTTGAGGTAAAGTGAGATGGTCACCTCAGGCAGTACCTCATGATTTGGGGTGTCATGAAAAAGCAACAAATTATTAATGATTTATTATTCTTGTATTTTTACTTCCAGGAAATTGTGCTTGTGGGAATTTCTTCATCAGCATAGCTTGACCAGCCTTAGGTTCATTTCTAAATGAATAAAAAATAACAAAAGTACCATATGTTTGCAGTGAGCTCCCCTTCTAAAGAAAGTTAAGCCTCAGTTAGTGCTGACTGGGGCACTCATGTGCACCAACAACACATACAAACATACAGATATAGAATTGTTAAATAGGGTAGAAATAGTGTGATGACCACCTTTGAGGCATATATGAACAGTTGCAGCAAATGAAGACAATGCTATTGACTTTCACTGAGGTTTGAATTCAGCCTAGCTGAATTATCTCACAGTAGGAAGAACATCAAAACTTGGTCAAGAGTGGTATGTCATTCTATATGAAACCATATTAAGTATATTCACAAATATATATCTCACCTTTTCCCCATCCATACTCCATCTTCGTAGGACAGGATTTTATACCGCTCAGAGACCTCCATGTTTCAGAGTGTGGTCTTAATGGCAACATGTCTAATATTTCTTCCAGAGAGGTCTTGTTAAGAGTTTTTGCTGACTGGGTGGGTTTAGTGCCCACATAAGATGATAATTTAGGTGGTGCACTAGTAGCTCTTTCTGATTCCCCAAGGATTTTGCTATGAAAATTCTGGTCACTCATATTTTCTGTGGGCTCCTCGAGGATATCGCTAAGAATTGGGTGCATTGCCATGTTTTCTGTTGACAAAACAAATGAGTAACACCATCACCAATTTTAGTCTGAAATCATCCCTCTTGCTCTGTGCTACTTTCAAAGCCATTACTCTTCAAAAGTTTAAGTACGGAACAGTTTTATTTAGCTATAAACCAGAAAAGGGGGGGGGGACTTTCAGAGTTAAGCCACACATTTGGCTCTCAATTTCCTGGCCGCCAATGAAAACAAAGAAACATACAAGATAACATAGTTTCCTTGTCCAACAGTAAGAAGCTCACAAGCACATTTGATGTAACAACAAAAATGTCAACTGTTGCAAAAGTACATGGTGATTTGGATTACCTCCTACATGCTTTGAAAGAGAAGAGTGCAAGCATCTTCTCTCTTAACTTTCATCCAGTTTTGTGGGGTACAGTGGTACCTCGGGTTACATATGCTTCAGGTTACATACGCTTCAGGTTACAGACTCTCCTAACCCAGAAATAGTACCTCGGGTTAAGAACTTTGCTTCAGGATGAGAACAGAAATCGTGTGGCGGCGGTGGCGGCAGCAGGAGACCCCATTAGCTAAAGTGGTGCTTCAGGTTAAGAACAGTTTCAGGTTAAGAACGGACCTCCAGAACGAATTAAGTACTTAACCTGAGGTACCATTGTATTTGCGAGACCCTGTCCCTGGCGTCTCCCCCCGCCCCCGAAATGAGACCTGACAACAATATATGGGTTTTAATTAGGCCACAACTTTATTGAAATTCAGGTGTAGGAACCTTGGCACAGGCCTTGGAAGGTATCCCCCTCAATGTTCAATGGAAATGTTCCAGACAAATCTCAGTCACATCCATTGAGGACACATATTATCTTATAGACTACCATTACATGATTTGCAATAACCTTGGATTGCTTAATCAGCTCTGTGTACACTTTTTGGAATCTACATGTGTAAGAAGCAAGGGTCATTAATCTTCATTAAGAATAATGCTAGTGTCTGTGGGCTATAAATACCTATGTGATGTATTAGGTTTCCTTCTACATGGTTATTTTACATCTTTATTCATCTGTCCTAGTTTAATAATTATATGTTAAAAATAAATTATAACTTTACACAGATACAGAAAGGGAAAAAATTGAATAAGTATTAATCATTTCCCTTTCCAAGTTCTTTCTTTCAAATATATTAATTACATTGGTTATGTACAGATCTAGTAAGTCTTTATAATTGTTGGAGACACACACAAACTACATTAAAATACCCCGCTACAAGAGTAGCCATAGTTTCTCCTGAATTCAACACTTCAGAAGATTGGGAAGAACCTTAAGGGTGCAATCTGAAATCTTATATTGAGAAGACTGAACATTATCTGCCTACAGTATGAAAGAGTATTTTATTGTTTCCACTGGTGTCTCTTCACCACGAAAACCTGCTTTTACACCACTGACTTTCCATGTTGTCATCTTTTAATCATGGGTACTCTGCCAACATTTCAATTTTGAGCAGGGCACTGCTTAAAGCAAGGATGGGGACCTGTGGCCCATGTTCAATGGTCAGAAATGATGGGAGTTGTAGTGCAACAACATCTGGAGAACCACAGTTTCCCATCTCTGGTTTAAACTCTATTCCTTACTATAAACTCAGAGATATGACATATGGGTTGGATCTAGACTCATTCTTGCTTAAACTGGATCTGCCAAAATAAATGGCAATTAAGTTGTGGCTAAGGCTGTACTCTTAACCCCACACACCTGCAATTAATTCAATAGGACTTCTGAGTAGAAATGGTTAAGATTATGCAGCAAGTAAATCATACCTTAAGCCCCATTCATTTAACTAGGGCTGGATCTACATAGATATTTAAAAAACACTATGAAAATGCTATTTTATATATATATATATATATATATATATATATATATATATATGTATGTATATGTATATGTATATGTATATGTATATATGTAATTTGCCATTAAGTGCTACATTGCCATCTGATGTCACATTTTTGTTACACACTTATAATTGCAGCTGTGTAGCTGAGTCCCTAATCTTAGCATGATTAAGTCTGGAACCAACCCTATATTTTTATCTCAGAGGCAAGTAGGTTTGTAGCAGTCATATTTCATTTTTCCTAAACTTTATATTAGTCATCTTTCACTGTTCCTTAATATTATTTTCCACAGGAAAATAAAGAACTGGAAACTGTTCAGAATAAAATCCTGGTCAGAGGTAAGTCCCATTACGTTTTCCCAGGTCATTGTGATTTGGATTACAGTCTGAGAGTGCATTCCTATGCCCACTTACCTGGGAATAAACTTCACTGAAATCAAAAGGACTTACTTCTGCGCAGACATACGTAAGATTGCACTGTAAGTAATTAAACTGAAGAGCAATCAGTTGCAATTACATTATTGATTTTTTTTCACTCTAAAAACACCACAGCTATGAGTCAACAGTTGACAAATTGGAATTTTGAGTATTTCTTGAATCCATTATTTTTCTTGTAATACTACAGCTGACAGTGCTGTCTTTGTTCATATTAAAACAAGTGTGTTTTAAATGGCTAACTCCATAGCTTAGACTGATAAATAGAATGTGTATGTTTATCCACTTTTGGACACATTTTCCTTCTTGTTATCCCTCTTGACTACACCCTGTATATCAGTGGTGGGAACCTGTGGCTCTCCAGTTGTTGTTTAATTCTGGCTCCCATCAGCCCAGCCAGTATAACTACTGGTCAGGAATGATGGAAGACTTAGTCAAGCAACATCTGGAGGGCTGCAGGTTGCCTCCCCAGCTTAATAGCTTTTGACAAATTAACCTCTACAGTAAAGATTATTGTCTGAAATACAGGCAATCTATAGAAAATATCTGATTAGATTTTAACCCTCCTGTGCGATCTTTTGTATTCCCATTTTGGCAACAGAATTTGCACGGCCTAATTTGAAAAATTCAAAAGCAAAGATGCCTGGCGTAAGTCTTCAGCGTCTTGGCAGAGCTCTCCTATTTTCTTGAAACAGGAGCTGGTTGCGGCACAGCTACTGTTGTTTGTCGCAAGTCAGGTTTGATTTTGTTTTCTTTTGATTTCACCAAATAAGAAACATATGCTTCACAAACTTGATTGCTTTCGCAATTCTTGTTCTAATAATTTGTAAAGTAACAATAGGTTTAATTCAGCTGTATAGTTACACTTTTCCTTACCTGTTCTTCCCTTTCCTGACCAATACCGAAAATAATTACTTCTTCCAAGTTCACCTTAAGTGGAGTATGGCATACTGCAGCATGGAGATGCCTATATTGTAATCTGAAAATGAAGGAGAATAGATTAGAATAATTCCTTTTTATGCTCGTCAGAACACAGATCTTTAAGATTTAATGACAAATTTCCTTCTGCATTTGAAATGTCAAGGTTAACCATGGAAAATAGTCTTGAGCACAATTACCTTTGTACTCTAGGCTAGAAAGTAGGTCAGTTTTTGTCAGCTGATAATAGATGAAACTATGTTTTTGGGAGAAGGGGGTGTTGCCCAGTAATTGCAAATTATGATAAAACAGCCCAGTGGTTTGACACTCTCGATCAGTTTTGGTTTACCTGCATATTCAATAGCTGTCATAAATTTTCATTTCACCAATCCCTTTCTGTAGAAAATGCCTCACTAACATTTACATGCATTTGTTCTGGTGTAATATTAACAAAAAGGCTTTCAGGCAAATATTTTGAAGCTTGGACAGGGGACACATGGGAAAGAGCCATGATCCTGCCCAACCTCAACTGTAGCCAGAGAGAGAGAGAGAGAGAGAGAGAGAGAGTACTCTGACAGCTGAGGTACATACTAGAAAGCCTAGATCTGACCAGCTATCTCTCCCCACATTTTTAATGGGGAACAGCTAAAGTACCATGTCAATTTGCTCCTCAAATTTCTCTTGTTAAGGCAGCTTTGCCTTTCATTTTCATTTTTTATAGAAGGTGGAGGGAGCTGTCCAAGGGAGCAGGCATTTGACCAACATTTTTAAAATAGATTAATCAACTTATTAAAGCCTTTGTTGCTGTATTAGTGGTGCTCCAACTGTAATCACTGGAACCAATGTTCAGTCAGTTGGACTGATAAATTTGATTCTGGTATATGGAAGGTTTGGTTTCCTTCTTTAAAAAAAGAATAGGTCTTGATTATTAAGTTATCTTTCACTTCCTTCTTGAAAAGGCACATATTGAGGGCCTTTTCGGTAATATGTGAGTGTATTTAAGTTTAATTGGGTGAAAGATAGATGATCAATCAATTAAATCACATCTTTCTTTTATGTGGATATTGCAAAAGGCTCTTGTTCATGGAAAGAGAACATAATTCCATTTTCCCCCTGAATAAATCAGCATTCTCACTACCTTCAACGCCCAGTGTTATTGGCCCATAGGATGATTTTCTACCAGATCAAAGGAACACACTGCTCAACTGAAGTGGTGTAGTAAAGTTCCTGTCATCATGAATAAAAGTGCTTTTTAAGAGATTGATTGTCACTAATAACTTTGCTTTGAGAGAATCCGCATCCTAAGTGTCACTAAGGGAAATGATGACAGGCTTTTGGGGAACTGGGGATAACGTCTGTTTTTAGAGCAGGGATTCAGAAAATGAATACTTAGAATAACTTCTGCTCTTGTTGACACATTTTCACAGATCATAGCAATGAGGAAAGAAGAGTTTGTTTCCTTCAGACATACCCAAATCCCAGTGCAATCAAGTCATGTTGAATGATATCACAGCCTATTGCTCGAAATTCAGTTCCTATTATTGAATTATAATCCCCCTTCGATGCCTCAATCAAAACTGGGGATTTTTTTGTATTAAGTACATGACATATCTGACACGCAAAGTATAAATGGCATCCACTTACCAAACACCCCTTCTTCTCAAGGGGCCGACATTATGTTATGTTATCACAAATCCACAAAACATGCAAGAGACCACTTATTTAAGAACAGAGAGTTCAGAATTCTACAGAGCTGAGAACATAGCATGAATACACTTTATTTATAAGATATTGTAGATCAAAACAGCATTTTTGGAAATATAAAATATATTATGAATTAACAGCAGTTGTCTCTTCACTGTATCAGTAGATCAAATGTAGGGACATTTTAGAAAAGTAAAGATGAAAATAAAATTATTCTTATTAGGTTGCAGGCAGGTTGCCTTTTTGTTTTTAAGACTGATTATAACTAATTAGAACAGGGTTACAGTAGCAGCTCTGGGTGGGTGCCCTTAAGATTTTGGAACTGTTCATACTTGCATGTAAAATACTTGATTTCTCATCACTTGATTGCTCAGTTCTTAAGTTCATTCTTCCTCTCCATGTAGACATGTGGCAGGGGAGCAGGATCATGCACACTGGTTCTCCCTGCCTCAACGTTTACATGTTCAGCAGATGTGTAAGAATGACTCAGTGCATGTAGACTTGTCAACAAGCCAACAGTAAATCACACTGTGTAAGTTGGAGTTAACTCTTTATCAGCAAAAACAAGATGTGCATAGGAGTGTCAGGCCTAATGAGCACAGCAACTCATGTCCAGTAGGTCTTGGCCCCATGAAGCAGTTGCTGAGTCTGAAGGTCCCTAACTTTCCATAGCTGCCTAAGTTCCCTCCTCTCCAGGGTTTTCTACCCAAACAATCAGAGACTATGTCTGGGTGTTACTAATCTCTCCTGTGCCCTTTTCATGCCTCTTCTGGCTCTGGGAGACAAGCAGGGGGCGGAGGGGTGGAGCCTGTTGCAGCAGGAGGGGGAGACATCCCTGACTCTTCACCAGCCTAACTTGTCTCTGCCTTTTGCCCTCCCTCCTCTCCTGCTTCAGTTTCTGCCTTTGATTCTGGACTTCTCTCTGCCGCAGACTCTCCCAGCTCACCAAGCCCTGTTACCTCTTCAGCTTCCAACACCTCGTCTTCCCAGTCTTCTCCCTCTTCTCCCTGTGACCACTCATCATTGTCCCTGGGCTCTGAGCCTTCTCCCCTTGGGGGTTCCCCAGCTGGTTCCTCCCACCATTCCTCTGTGTCCAACCAGTCCACGACAAGATTCCCATGCTGTCTGGAACCATTCACATTCAGAGTTTCTAAACATATGACAGAGCTTTTTCATGCATATGTTGAATGTGCAGAGGTCAGAACCCTAGCCATGTGTTCTGTGTACACCTGAAGGAAATGAGTGAGCACGACTTTAAGCTGTAACGCTAAGCAAATTTTTTTGGACATACATCTCCCTGATTTCAAGTAAGCACATTTACAATCTCATGGCACATGACTCACCGCAGAATGCATGAACTTATTGCAAAAGCATTGCTTCAGAGACAAAATGAAAGTTCCAACTAAGTCATTTGTTTTGTACTGAAATTGGAGTGGCTGTGATCCTAAGCCACTTACCTGGCAATACATTTAGTCAAACGTAGCTCCAAGCTAATGTTTTTAGGGTGGGGATTTCACTCAGAAGCCAAAGGCTCATATAAGAAATGGGAGGAGGGCTGGTCTTCCAGCTCTTTAAAATAACATATATAAAAATAGAGTCCGAGAAAAGCAGTTAAAAATACATGGAAAAAACCAGAAATAGATTGAAACACACTCACATGTTGGTACTCTACTAACCCATCCTAGCATTCTACTAGAAAGCATCTGTGCTCTGTGACATCACCAGAAGAGCAGAGGAAAATAGAACTTTCTTCCTCCGATACTGATGGAATGTGGGCATTGATTCTTTGCATAGAATCAATGACAGAAGAACAGAGCTATTCAAGAAAAGGATTTCTGGCCATGACCTGGTCATTAAAAAAAAATACAATTATATTCACTCTTGACTGCTTTTTGAAGTGCTTTAACTTTGGAAAATTGGAACTAAATGAGAGGTCATGTTATGCTAATTGAATCCTATTATGTCAACGTAGGCTGTCTTGAGAGTACATGATCTAAAGCATATGATTCATACTTCACTACGTGTCACAGAGAGTCTGCCAGACTTTGGGCAAGTTGGGAGATTTCCCAGTGTGCAGTTTTATCTGTGAACCAGAGAGGATATTCATCCTTGCCGCAGAGTCAACACATCAGATACTGAAAAGACATCAGATAGATATGTATGCAAGCTATTTAAATTGTTAAACCACTTAAATTTCTTCATTACCAAACTATTTATAAGACTTGCTTCTTATGAAGCTGAGGGTGGAGAGCAGGCAGCAAAAGCAGAATCTGCTATTGTTCAGAGCAACAATGCCATCTAGAAGCCTCTAGATGGGCAGAGGAGCAACAGCTGATCTATTCTGACTTATAAGGGTAAAGAATTGTCCATGCTCCTGTGGCTGTACAATAAACAGTACAAAGAGGTTGAATCTTTGCCCGATGTGCTTTAGGATGCCAGTTCAAAGCCCACTATGGCTTGGTTCTAATTCAGATTTGAGGATTCTGCATAATCAATACTTAATAAAAATACTATTAACATGGCTATCCCTTATTTTCCAGGGTGATGCACTGCATTTTCAGCAAACCATTGTTTGTGAAGTATTCCTATTTTGTTGTATTGTCCATGGCCATTTATAGGTCAGGTGGGGGAGGAGAGATTGGTTGTGTTCTATATTATTATTATCATCAACAATAAAATCATACCATTTCAAAATAAACTGGTCCTTACTTTTTAACCTCTAGAGAATCTCAGTTTATATGCCATTTTTTTCTAGCAGAGATGATTCCCACACCTTTGTGTACCAGTATGAAATATCTGCTCTGGCTAGATCCCTCCAAAATTGGGTTGTTGCGTCTCTGATCACAGCTGGCATATGGAGAATCAACTCCATCCAGCTTAGTTCTTGATCATTATCATCAATAATTAACTGGCTGACTGACCGAACCCAAAGGGTGCTCATCAATGGTTCCTCTTCATCCTGGAGAAGAGTGACTAGTTGGGTGCCACAGGGTTCTGTCTTGGGCCCGGTCTTATTCAACATCTTTATCAACGACTTGGATGATGGACTCAAGGGCATCCTGATCAAATTTGCAGATGACACCAAATTGGGAGGGGTGGCTAACACCCCAGAGGACAGGATCACACTTCAAAACGACCTTGACAGATTAGAGAACTGGGCCAAAACAAACAAGATGAATTTTAACAGGGAGAAATGTAAAAGTATTGCACTTGGGCAAAAAAATGAGAGGCACAAATACAAGATGGGGACACCTGGCTTGAGAGCAGTACATGTGAAAAGGATCTAGGAGTCTTGGTTGACCACAAACTTGACATGAGCCAACAGTGTGGCGCGGCAGCTAAAAAGCCAATGCAATTCTGGGCTGCATCAATAGGAGTATAGCATCTAGATCAAGGGAAGTAATAGTGCCACTGTATTCTGCTCTGGTCAGACCTCACCTGGAGTACTGTGTCCAGTTCTGGGCACCACAGTTCAAGAAGGACATTGACAAACTGGAAGGTGTCCAGAGGAGGGCAACCAAAATGGTCAAAGGCCTGGAAACGATGCCTTATGAGGAACGGCTAAGAGAGCTGGGCATGTTTAGCTTGGAGAAGAGGAGGTTAAGGGGTGATATGATAGCCATGTTCAAATATATAAAAGGATGTCACATAGAGGAGGGAGAAAGGTTGTTTCTGCTGCTCCAGAGAAGCGGACACGGAGCAATGGATCCAAACTACAAGAAAGAAGATTCCACCTAAACATTAGGAAGAACTTCCTGACAGTAAGAGCTGTTCGACAGTGGAATTTGCTGCCAAGGAGTGTGGTGGAGTCTCCTTCTTTGGAGGTCTTTAAGCAGAGGCTTGACAACCATATGTCAGGAGTGCTCTGATGGTGTTTCCTGCTTGGCAGGGGGTTGGACTCGATGGCCCTTGTGGTCTCTTCCAACTCTATGATTCTATGATTCTATGATTCTAATTGTTTAGAAGAGCCATTAATATATGTGCCATACATTGCATGGTTTTAAATCCCATAATAAATAGACCTTGTGCATCCTTGCATCTCATTCATTTTGAGTGAAGGTTTCAGCCATTGCAATAAGTTTTTATTTTCCTAACTGAACAATAGATTATTTGCCAAACTGATATATTGTTTAGAAGATGCACAGATAACTAACTTTATGATAGTCATTTCATGTTGAATCATAGTTATCACCTATCAGTCTTAATGCATTTTGTGGTGTCAAAATATATCACAAAGTTAATCCTATCGGCTTTATGTGCATTGCAAATTGATAAATCATGATATAAATCATATGTGAAATAGATAATATATATATATATATTTTAAAAAAAATAGATCAGTGAATAATTTACACAGATATAGAATCTGTATACAAAACTATAATCAGTAAACATTACCATTTGGAGTTTTTAAAAACTAGAAAAGGCTAAGCTGGATTTTGCTCCAGGGATTTTGGATTCATTTAGAAGTAATATTTATTTTTTTAAAGATAAAATAAAATGTGTACAATAGCTATTGCTATAATTTTAACAGTGCTTGGAAAGTTCATTTTGAAAAGGAACAAGTTATAGTTTAAGGTCGTCCCATCCAAAAATAATCTAGGTTCAATTCAATTTTACAAAACAAACTAGTTCAAGTTGAGTTCAGAATCTTACAAGCTGTTATAATGAAGTATAGGCTCCAAAAGTAAACCAAGGGCCACACACAAGTAATATGATGCCTGAAACACAGAATATCAACTAGTGAAGCTTTCCCCATTATTGTATTTCTATAATAGAAAATGCTTGCCCTGTTTAATTTTGCCAGCCACAGCACTCTTAACGGCACTAGGCATCATTTGCTTTGTTTATGTACCAATACTTCTCACTGTAAGCTGCTACTGTTGGAAGAGAGTGCATCTCTTCAGCAAGAAAGATACAGGAAATGCCTCATATTCCTTCCTTCTCATTGCTTAACAACAGGGATTAAGTGACTAGGCATTCTTAGAAACAGCAATGCCTCAATATCTGCCTAATAAGCATTAAAATGCCTCCTGCTGGGGTGGGAGGGAATGAATGAATGTGAAGATCAATCAGAAATCATTCAGAGTTGTGCTCCAAAATGAACTTAATTCACCTTTAGTTCACCTGTTAATATGGGAACTACTTTCAGGTGTAGTTTTTTGAACTATTTTAGTGAACTTTGTTTAACTCAGCTAGCTCATTCCAAGCACTGAATTTTACTGAGGAGATATCAGAATATAAGTGACATTTATTCACCTTCTTGAATTGATTGCAGCACTCCATCTCAACTAATCTAAGAGAAAACTACTACAATTTATGCAAGTTGTAACTTATCCTGGTAAGACATAATAGAACCAGTATTGTTTTACACCCAATTGTATAATTGGACTGAAAGAAGATTAAGATTACTAGAAATAAGTGTCTGCTATTCTGAGAAGTAATATGTATATAACATCACTTAAAGTTAAGAATATGTACATTTTAGGGTATGTAGAATATATAATTCGAGATAACTTCAATAAGTAGAAGCTTCCGAGTGTGTTATTTGCCAAGAAAATAATGCCAAAAGGATCCTCCACATACGGAAACAGAATGCTTATGTACCTATGAATCTGCCTTTCAACCAAGTCTAGTCCACTCTAAACTGACTAACAGCAGCAATCCAATATGGCAAGCAGAGAGGTGTTCCCTAGCCCTACAATCTTGATATCCCTTTAATCCTAGCTACTAGGGATCAAACCAAATATCATTTTCTTGCAGCACAAGTGATCTACTACTGAGCTATGGCTGCTCCAATACTGCACAGTGATTGTACTCCTGAATGTGGTGTCATGGAAACACAGAGGTGTGGATATAATGTTCCTGAAGCAAATGCACTCTACTAAAAAATATGCTAGTATTGTCAACTATATTGTCACTAGTCACCTGATGAAGCAGAATATTGCAACAAGTAATGAGGCAAGATTTGGTATAGATACACACTGTCTTATGTATTGCTGTGTTTTTAAACCACCCTGTGATCCTCGGATGAATAGTGATATAGAAATTTAATTAACAACAACAACAACATCTAGTACTAGTGGGACTGATTACATTGTAAGAGGTCATTGAATCAATCCTACATGTAAAGAGACAATTACTTTTCATTGGGACCTGAAGTTTCAAGGGAAAGCGAAATTATAGAGCTTTGATACAGATGTGGCCAAGAGGTTTGTAAATTATTCATTTTATAACTCATTCCTCTGCTGGTCATAATTAATTATGATAAAATACTGCATACTAGATACTGGCATGCAGAATCCTAAAAAGAAAATTGGTTTCAACAATTTATAGCTGTCTCTTACTTCTTTATAATATCCACAAAGCACATAAGTAAACACATCTACCAGAGAGTCCTTCTTAATGATTTTGTAGCTGAAATAACTGAAGCCAGAGCAGATGAATTGACCTTGCCAAGTTTACAGACTGTGCCAGTAACAGAGCTGGGATTAGAAAACCAGATGATTAAAATTTTGCTCACTAGGATAAAACACTTAAAACGAATCATCTCAATTTCCAAAGTGTCCTCAGGTTGCTTTAGGCATAATAAATTGCAATCACATAACAGCAAACAATTATTTTAAAAATTAGGACTTAAAACATTACATCTGACACTGAAGCAGTGCAATCTCCACTCAAGAAATCTACTTACATTGCCAATGAAATATATAAT